ATGAACAAAACCCTGTCTTTAATTTTTTAAAGACAGGGTGAACATTTAACCCTGTCGTAGCTCAGTCGATTAAGGCAGTGTCTGGGATGCTCCCAGACGCAGGTTCGAATCCTTGTCACTGCCCTTGTGGATTTGTTCATAGGTATCAGGTGTAGAGAAAGCATGCCCAAATGTCTCACCCTGCATGAAAATTAATTTCTGGTCCAGTTGATTGCAGGTTTAATGCAGTGAACTTATTGTTATGTTTTTACACCACCACCATCTGATAAGGTAAACTGCAGACAAGACACGTGTGAGGCAGCACCTATCTAACCTATGCTTGAAACAAGCCAATAATCCCACATCTATTATGTTACCCAGTAATTTGCTCCATTTATAAAATTCTATTTCCATGCCAGTATTTACCCAAGTTTTTCCTGAATCTAAATTTATTTAATTTACAGTATATCCACTGTTTTGAGTTCTATTTTGTGTAGATATATTACACCTTTCCATACATTTATTTACAACAAAATTTACGAAGATGTCTGGTCGATATTTGACCTCTAGCACATGTAGCCTGTAGCTAACATCTACCCTAGCTATGTGATAGCCATAGGCTTAAAAAGATTTGTATAAAAAAATATCACCAATACTAGTACATGAATTAAAATTATCTACTGTACCTGTCCAAGGGAATAAATAATAGGTTTGAAGGCAGTACTAAGAAATTGAGCAGTCGTTTTGCAAATGTTTCATCATGCAATCATTCACATAGAAGTAGAGAACTCAAATCTTAAGACTCTAGAGCATGGGTGTCAAACATGTAGCCCCCCCCCACCCACTGATATACAATCTACAGCCAGGCTCAAGCACACCTTGAGCACCCAATTAAAAGTAAGTTAGAAGCACAACATATCTAATCACATTTCAATTTGTTTGTCCTGTTCATTCAAAGGGAGGTGCTTGTAGTCATCATAGTGGATGATTGAGAATGTCAGTTCAGGTCCCATTTATGTATGGCTATAAGTAGACTCCCAGATGAGTTTTAGGTTAACACTAACAAATTAAAATCACTTGAATTTTCTATTACAATTAATGAAAGTACAGAGTAATTAATGGGGCATATTATTTTGTACACAAGATAATTCAACAAAGCCCATTTTCTGTTTGGTAAAACCATATGTATAGTTACACTAGGATGTATTGGCTTAGGTTAGGCTTTATTGGCTCCATTGGATTAGGTTAAAAATAGTAGGCTGGCTTGGGTTAACTTTTAAGTAAGGCTGGGCTGAGTTTGGTTAAGTAAATTTCAAAATTCGTTGGCAAATTGTCTTGGGTACGAAGTGACTTTCATTCCTAATTAATGCACTTGGGCTGGACGGTAGAGCGACGGTCTCGCTTTATGCAAGTCAGCATTCAATCCCTGACCATTCCCTTTCCCAAATCCTTATCCTGACCTCTTTCAAGTGCTATATAATCGTAATGGCTTGGCGCTTTCTCCTGATAATTCCCTCCCTCCCTCTTAATTGATGCAAGGCAACCTGTAATTTTTATAAGTGGTAACAGACATGTTTGTGCAATTGACATCAATAAAAAGAACATAAAGTGATATACATGTGTATGGTAAGAGCGTTGTACAAATTGGGCATTTATTGGACAAAGGCTGTGCATCTGACTACAGATGGAGCATTACAAATGACGGGTAGAAAAGCTGGCATGACTAAATAAGGGTCACGGTAGTAGTCAGGTTCGTTCTTGACGCACAATCAAGATTTTTGGGTTCGAATCCCAGGCGAGACAGAAATGGTTGGGCACATTTCCTTTCACCTAATGTCCTACTCACCAAGCGGTATGTAGGGATTCGGGAGTTAGTCAGCTTACTGTGGGTTGCATCCTGGACAGAGTCAGTAATTCGACCTTGGGTGGGACCACGATATAAGTCAGCTTGTTGTGGGGTTGCATCCTGGGCGGTGTCAGTATTTCAAGCTTGGGGGGGGGGGGGGGGGTTAGGGGCCATCAATATAAGCCTAACGTGTATGAATACACTCTGGCTTCCTGTCCCCAACACAATGATTATTCTTAAATTAAAGCTGGAAATGTAAACAATTAATTCCCCAATTTCCATTGTATTGTTTGTTCACACAAGTGTTGTGCAGTAAAACATAAATAATGGATAATGTCATGATGTCATCAGAACGATAATGAACATTATATGAGTACAAAGTCTTAACCACAGTCAGTTTAACTGATTTTGGGAAGAAAATGAGAACGCTCGTGAATGGCTACATTACACTAATGTGCGATGGTCAAGTTGGGGAACTGTATTAAAGTGCTTTAAAGAACTATGTTGAGAAACATTTTTTAACAGAAATGATAGGATGTGCATGTACTAAAAGATAATGAATTGGTTTGTTTGTTTGTTTTGTACTAAAAGGTAATGAATTGGTTTGTTTGTTTGTTTTGTCAATGTTTGTATCACACCTTGTATGTATGTACTTTACCTGAATAAACATTTGAATTTGAATTTGGTTCACTAGCTTTAATGGTGAGTAAGAGAATGCTTGTATTATCTGAGCATGAAGAGTCAAAGAGAATAAATTGGCAAGTTTTAATATTTGGAATGAATACAATAATAAAACTGGTGAAACTCCAGCTCTTTGAAAACAACTTACACAAAGCACTTTTTTATACTTGTTAACCCTTGAAATTCCTGAGTTTCAAACTGATACTGGATACACCCACAAAACATTGCAGCAAGATTTTTTTTTTTTTAGGTAATGGCTGATCACAAGATTTACCAACTTTAAATGCCTTGACAAAGATTTCTTTATTTTTTTAGCTCATTCTCTACCATGTTAATGAAGTACTGTACCAGAATTTCTCCAGCTAGAAAAAGTACTTACAGTACAATGTGATTCTGTTCAGAGAAAAGATTATGAATGTTGATGTCACATTTTATCAATATCTAGGATTATGTCCATATTTGGATGCACATATATATAAAACACCTGTGAAATAGCTCTATTCTATAATGAACATTAACAAATCCTAGCTTCATTCTCTGCCTACTGATGCACACCTGAATTTAATACTCAAGGTTGCTATACCTATCATTTGCTCCAAACTTTCATGCTGTGTGTTACAGAAAGAGATTCACGTGTCGGAAAACCATAATAACTAAAAATGAGGTACAGTATACAAATATGTAGTTATTTACAAAGCTATTTCTTTTACTTGTGTTTCAATCATGCCTCTGAGGGGGTAAGGACTTCCTTGTTATGGCTACATTATTTAGAATCATACGAAATCTGGCACACCATAGCAAATGAGTTTGACATCTCTACTCTACGGCTTCCTGAAGTGAGCCACACCTCATTATTAAAGCCCGAGCAAAACAAATTGGAAATCGCTATGGTGTGGAAAGTAGCAGCTATGTATAAAAATATATCACCAGATCAAGTCTGTTAAATAAATTGATACAAAATACAACAGGAAACAATGAATACAAACTGTACATGTTTAGATTCATTAAAAACCTGTAACAGTAATTGATGTGGAGTTGCTGGATTGTTTCAAACATAGGCAAGACATATATAAATGTCTTGATATAAAACATTTATATTAGTATATATAAATGGAAATAAATAAACTACACCACACAGGTCAATAAGAATAGTGTACCAGGTATTTTACTTTACTTAGGTATTCATAATACTTTTGGAAGATCATTACTACATTATTAACATGGCTAGCTAGCCTACTTTTATTTTACCATTAAAGTATGCCCTTGGGAACTCATTTCTTAGCATTTATATAGGTAAATTCCTTGTGAGGAATTTATAAATATGGAAGTGCAAATCATCCAGTTGAGCCAACAAGCAATGCCAATAACTGTAAAGGGAGTGGGGCAACGAAACTGCAACACAAAGGAGCAAATTTGCTTTCAGATTGATGTTTTATTGAAAATGATGATGAACAGGGTTTTGGAAATTCTTTTGAACAATCAAATTCTGTAATGTATAATCTAGTTTTCTTGAATTTGTTCAGATTTTCTTTTAACATATCCCTTATGAACAGTGAGATATTATAAAATAAATGCTTTGTCACCTACAGGGTTATTAACACATGGAACCACCTACCCACCAAAGCTGTTAATGACAAAACTCTGTTGAGTTTTAAAGTACAGCTGGAAAAGATCATCAAAGCAAATGTGGGGTACCTTCGACAAGCTGCCAGCTTCCTGTCCTCCTCGAGGCCAGTAGTGTTAGTGGCTCTCGGGTAAACTCATTAAATCGAACACTTGGGGGGGGGGGGGCTTAAATTTTCAATACCCATCCATCATCAGAATTATCAAAGAATTTCTTCATTGTGGTAATTCTCATAACTACCACAAGATTAAGATAATGCTTAACTTGCATTCTCCTTCAAGCAGAGCAGTAACGAGGGACACGACTGATGTCCGTATATAAACAGAGGCAAGAGTAGAGGTCTAACCAGGTGATTTGTGTGCTACATAAACAAAAATTACAAAATTGGACAAGTTTAGATTCAGAAGATCCACGTAAATAAAGTTTTAGAAATAAGTTGTTGATTTATTGGACGTGTTTTCAAGTAGCTTAATAGATATGTATGGAATCACTAGCTGGTTTATAGCATAAATTTGATAAAATACAAGAGTAATTGCAGATGAATACATATAAATAGCCTACAAGAACTAGAAGTATCCAAAATGATCCACAGCGTTAAACTGATGACATTATACACCTCGCACATTATATATAAAACAATTTGTCCATTTTGTTAAGATAAAATAGGTTTGATTAAAAAGAAGTACAGTATGTAGAACTGCAAAACTTGTCTTGCTTGCCAAAAGCCTATCTACAGTTTCACCTGTTTTCTCAGTACTTCTAATCAGATGACAAGATGTGAAGGCTTGTGTGGTATATATATATATATATATATATATATATAGAAAATGGCTCATCAGTTTAAGAAGGGAAGCGTACAAGACTACTCACCTATAACATCTCCATGTGGATGCTTCACAACGAAGTAAGCGTCGTCCCCGAATTTTCCGGGTTTTACCTTTTCTATGGTTCTATTTTTGGGGAAACCACTGACAGCTGTAAGAAACCGTAACTTCTTAGGACAACCAGTGGGTGTGTTAAAGGAGTCTGCCTCTGTTGGTGATGGAGACGCAGCAACAGCCGACGGTGGCTGAGTAGCGGCTGCCTGGCCTCCTGTACTCACACTATATATGCCGTTTGCGACGGCTCTCGAGAAAAGTCGCCCGTATACTAAGACACTCTGCATGGTTCAGTACCTTGAGGACTCACATTGTGGGGTGTGCGAGCACCTGCACTTCACCAGCCTCCCTCAACACTGACAACACACGCCATGGCTCACTAACAAAAACAATCCTCATCACCTGATTTGGCGCTGAGGTCGCGTCGTCTGCTACGGCGCCAAATTTGAACACCAACACTTCCAGTCTTTACTTTCCTCAACACTTAGTCTTTACTCTTCCTCTCATTACACTTTTCTTAATATGTTCTTCTCAATACACTGCTCTCAATATATTATTCTCACTACATTGTACTAAATACATTGTTCTCACTACAGTACAATTAGGTATTTGAGTAATATATATATATATATATGGGGGGCCTTGTAGCCTGGTGGATAGCGCGCAGTATTCGTAATTCTGTGGCGCGGGTTCGATTCCCGCACGAGGCAGAAACAAATGGGCAAAGTTTCTTTCACCCTGAACGCCCCTGTTACCTAGCAGTAAATAGGTACCTGGGAGTTAGTCAGCTGTCACGGGCTGCTTCCTGGGGTGTGTGTGTGTGTGTGTGGTGTGGGAAAAAAAAAAAAAAAAAAAAAAAAAGTAAACAGTTGATTGACAGTTGAGAGGCGGGCCGAAAGAGCAAAGCTCAACCCCCGTTAAAACACAACTAGTAAACGCATTAGTAACTGTGCTGAACTTCATTCCCCTGCCAACAGCAGGGAAAGGACCTGGGGGCGCGGACGAAACCAAAGTCGAGAGACTAACACCCCCAAGTTCGGGTCCCTATAACCAAAACGGGGCAGTCTTGGGGCATCCTTGTGAGAAACCATCTTAGCGCGCTGTAGCAACCTATAACGTGCATGGAACGACGAAGCTACCTGCACTTGAAGATCAATATCAGTGTACTGGGTGATCTGGAGAACAAGCAAGCAACACCACTGGCAGGACTCCGGGTCGAAGGTGTCACTGACCCAACAGACAGCATGACAGAGGCAAAACAGGTGATTGTCACCCTAAGACAAAGGGACAGAACAACCTTCAAATTCGCACGAAACAAGATGGGATGCCAGGGGACACATCCATCAGACCACTGAGACCCAGTAAGGTTTTCCAGGGCCCTTAGATGCTCTGCTAAGGGAAGCCCAGGCAAGGTACTGCTAACCGGCACCCCAAACTATCAAGTAAACAACTAATATTTGAACCCCCTGGGACATTTACACATATAGGGACCTGGTGGACCACCAAAAATACAAAATATATATATATGGTGGAACAGAGCAGGCTGCTATATCAGGTGAAGAAAAGCTGCACAGTACCTGGCGCCCCTACCAGTGACGACACTACCTCCTACCCAGATACAGTGTACAGTGATGCATGAAACACCCCAGCTGACCCCAAGGGCTGGCAATCACCACTAAATATCGTTCATTTGATCTGCAGCCTTTTAATACAGGAAACTTATAATGCACATACCTTTCTACTTCTGAAAACAGGAAGCCTCTTTCTTCCTTTTTTGGTGAATCGAGTGCACAATTTCATTTTATTTGCTGGTCATATTTCTTTTTTACACTTTATTAAAAAAAATTATTATTATATTCTCAATCCTCCATTATATCTTGATTTTTTTATCTTCTTTATTATTTATATGCATTTAAAGACCCCTATTTCTTATATCTATACTCTTCTCTTGGCATACACACAAAAATATTGACTCTCCCAACACCTCAAACTGTTACAAATGTCATATACAAAATGCTACATAACTTTATATTTTTGTTTTACCCATTTCTGGTTTTATTTTTGCTAATCATCCCTTAATTTATTGATTGCTTTGAATGAATGTAAAACATTATATTTTATAAAATTTTATTCTTTCAAATGATAATACTGTACAAGTAAAATATAATTGTTCATTATCACATTATCTCATGACCATTTTTACATATGGTAATACTGTATTTTATTGAAATATTAATAGTAAACAATTCTTTACAAAATAAATTTAGCCTTTGAAATACAGTACTGTAGTTTCAGTAAGAAACAGAAGTAACAAATGAATGACACTATCAAGAGAGATAATACTGTACTGTATATATATACAATATACTGTACTGTAAATAAATATACAATATATAAATATACAATGTATAAATATATACAATATATAAAGATATACAATATATAAATATATATACACTGGTACATTCATTTACGATCGTAATCCGTTCCCAGACTCGATAACGCCCTTTAACTAATCAATAAAAAATGGATCTAAATTATTGATCAGTTAAAGGTCGACTTGAGTAGGATTATTGATACACATTTGTCTCACTAATACCGTGTTAATATCCACTATCACCCAATCCCATTCATATATTTGTTATTGTGCCTCACTTCCCTTCACCTCTCTCCTACCTATATACATGTACATGTATATCCAAATCTACTGACTTGTAAATCAATAGATTTAGCTCGTTACGGCCTATTGATACCCGTGTCTGTGTTGGTTCGGGGTCTTGAGTCACTTCAAGACCCCCGAACCAACACAAAAGCAATTAGATAAAACACGCAATGGTGTACCCATTGATTCACTTGTTCATATCAATCATGTCCTGTATCACCTCACCCCAAGCAAATATAAGAATTAGCAGAGTATGTAAAATTGTCTTTGAAAATGTAAGAAGTGTATTGCAAAAGGCTTTGGTGCTTAAATTTTATAACACTACAGCCGAATTGAAAACGGAGGTAAACAGATCGAAACCGTCAACGCCAAGAAATCCGGACTCCACCTGCCAAAGGTTATCAGGGAATACAAACCTGGTTTACGCATATGAGAATGTCAAGACCGAAAAGCCTGGAAACTCACTTCAGCCAATCATAAGCCAGATACTCACACCCGCATGCAGACTGGCTAAGCTACTCCTTATGTGCCTTGTGCTTTTACCCTGAAGTCTGCAAAGGAATTCCTTGACTTACTGCAGGGAGCACGGGCCACAGGCATAAGAGCCTCTTTGGATGTGAAGTCGCTGTTTACGAACATGACTGTGGACGAAACAATCAGGATGATGATGGACAGTGTATCATGATCTGGCTCGCACCCCTCTTGACATACCAGAGAACATATTGAAAAAGTTACTCAAAGCCTGCACTAAAGAGGCACCCTTCTTCAGTCCCGATGGGCACATGTACTGTATAAGCAAGTAGATAGGGTCGCCATGGGTTCTTCCCTATGTGTCCTGTTTGTGAACTTCTACATGGGTACCATAGAGCAGAGAGTCTTAGTGGACATGGACTTGAAAAATCTGCCATATACTGCAGGTACGTTGATGACATTTTTATGCAGGTACCTGATGTCAGACATTTGCAGCAGCTGAAGAAGGCTTTTGAGCAAAATTCGGTGTTAAGTTTCACTTACGAGATGGAGAGTGATGGGAGGCTGCCCTTTCTAGATGTAACAGTCACAGAGAGGAATGGTGGCTTCCACAATGCAATCTACACTAATGAAATGAACATAGGAATGTGCCTTAATGCCAACAGTGACTGCTCAGACAGGTACAAGAGGAGTGTTGTCAATGCTTACGTCGACCAAGCTCTCTCACTCACAGTTCTGGTTGGAAGCAGGTCGACGAAGAACTCTGTAGAGTAAGGCAGGTCCTGGTCAACAATGGCTTTCTAACAGTTATGTTGAAGACGCCATCAAAAGAAAGGTGAAACGTCATGCAACCTCTGAAGAGTCAACTAACACAACACTTGTACCTTCTATTAGACTGTTTTACAGGAACTTCTTTTCGACGACTCACAAAACGGAAGTGTGTCCTGAAAGATATTATTAATAGCAATGTTATCCCTACAGACACAAATCAGAGGATACAATTAACAATTTACTACAAAAACAAGAAAACAGCCAACCTACTCATGAAGAACTCTTAAGACACCAATCAGATCACCTTGAAAGAAACCAACATCGTCTATGCCTTCACATGCCCACTTGGGGACTGTCAACCCCAAAGATCTCAGTATATAGGCAAGACCAAAACGTCTTTTTCTAGGGAATTAACAATGCATAAACAACAGGGCTCCATCAAGCAGCATATAATGTCCTCACACAACCAGACCATCACCAGAGAAATCTTAACAAGCAACACAGAAATTATTGATAGATACAACAATAACAGGAGACTCGACATCAGCGAGGCTCTACACATCAAAAAGTCAAAACCAGCAATCAACAGCCAATTAAAACCATTATATTCTACCCACTTAAGACCCAGAACCAGCACAGAAGCAAGACGATAAATGTATACCCATGGTTATATACCTAATGTTTCATGTTCTGTCTTTTCCAATTGATTTGTTTCCTGTTACCTTGCCCAAAAACATTTGTATCCTGTCACCTCGACTTATGACTGCCCCTACTTACAAATTTTTTGAGTTATGAGGTAAATTTGGAATTTACGACGTTGGAAAATACGACTCGACTTCCGACCTTTGCCTTGACTAGCAACTTTGCTGATACGCGTATGGATCGACCGATCACGTGGTTCCTGGTGGCACAACCGACCCCGCCCTCGGTTTACCAGCACCGCCCACTTAGTGACGACCATGCTTGTAAAGAATTCCATTATTTTGGCGCTTTTTGTTTTTTGAACATAAAAGTAATTATTATATATCATGCCATGACTCCCAAGCAAGTTGGTGGTAAGGTTTAGTTAAGAAAACACATGTGAGGACCCTACAGGAAAAACCAGAGACCATTTGTAAAGAAGAATATTTTACAGTACGAGGGTTGTTGGTGTAGAGTAGAGGATGTCTCTTCCTCATATATTAAGAAATTGTGTGCAGTATGGGAAGAATTGCCAAGTTTTGCTGAAAAGTGTCACCCAAATCGAGTTGTAGCTGGCCGTTGTGTTAACCTTTTTAATGACAATGAGATGTCTCACACTTCAGACAAATGTTACAATGTAGGGAAAAACAAGTGTTGCTAAACACATTTTTAGCGAGAAGAACAAGCAGAGCACCACAAGCAGGTCCTAGTGGTATGCAGGCAAAACGTAGCAGTGTGTGTACCCCAGAAAAGTCATCACTGCCTGATGTTATAATGGAAGGGGACTCCCCTTCCAAACACTAAAACCTCTCCTCCTCACAGTCTTCCATGCGCCAACAAGAGTCCTCATTCAAGGCAAGATATACATACAGTATTCTATCATGCGTGCGTGTGTGTGTGCAATTACCCAAGTGTAATTACAGGACGAGAGCAATGCTCGTGGTGTCTCGTCTTCCCAGCACTCTGTCATAACGCTTTGAAACTACTGACGGTTTTGGCCTCCACCACCACCTCATTTAACTTGCTCCAACCTTCTACCACTTTGTTTGCGAAAATGAATTTCCTCATATTTCTTCGGCTTCTTTGTTTAGTTAGTTTAAATATATGACCTCTTGTTCTTGAAGTTCCAGATCTCAGGAAATCTTCCCCGTCAATTTTGTCAATTCCTATTACTATTTTGTAAGTATTGATCATATCACCTCTTTCTTCTGTCTTCTAGTTTTGGCATATTTAATGCCTCTAACCTCTCCTACTAGCTCTTGCCCTTCAGTTCTGGGAGCCACTTAGTAGCATGTCTTATATACTATATGATCTCCCAATTTGCCTAATAGGCCGAGTGATTTTCTTTATTTTAATTGTTCTTTTCTCAATTGGTTTATTTTCAATATTATTGTTATATTGCATTATGAACATTAATTATTGACTTAGTTATGTAATTTTAGGTTTGGTCAAGATAGATTAGGTTAGGTAGGGTTGGTTAGGTTCGGTTATATATCTACTTTAGTTTTAACTCAAAAAATATTAACTCGTACATAATGAAATAGATATCTATCATTTCATAAGAAAAAAATAGAGAAAACATATTAATTTAGGAAAACTTGGCTTATTTGGCAAATTGGGCCATGCATAGTAGGCCAAGTAGTGCATTCTGGTTATTAGGTACGACATATGGTACGGTATATATATGTCGTACCTAATAACCAGAATGCACTACTTGGCCTACTATGCATGGCCCAATTTGCCAAATAAGCCAAGTTTTCCTAAATTAATATGTTTTCTCTATTTTTTTTTATGAAATAATAAAGTTACCCATTTCATTATGTATGAGGTCAGTTTTTTTTTATTGGAGTTAAAATTAATGTAGATATATGACCGAACCTAACCAACCCTACCTAACCTAACCTAACCTATCTTTATAGGTTAGGTTAGGTAGCCGAAAAACAATTAATTCATGAAAACTTGGCTTATTAGGCAAATCGGGCCTTGCATAGTAGGCTGAGAAGTGCGTTCTGGCTACTAGGTACCACATATATATATATATATATATATGTATATATATGTATATATATATGTATATTATATATATATATATATATATATATATATATATATATATATATATATATATATATATATATATATGTCGTACCTAGTAGCCAGAACGCACTTCTCAGCCTACTATTCAAGGCCCGATTTGCCTAATAAGCCAAGTTTTCATGAATTAATGTTTTTTCGTCTACCTAACCTACCTAACCTAACCTAACCTAGCTTTTTTTGGCTACCTAACCTAACCTTACCTATAAATATAGGTTAGGTTAGGTTAGGTAGGGTTGGTTAGGTTCGGTCATATATCTACGTTAATTTTAACTCCAATAAAAAAAAATTGACCTCATACATAGAGAAAAGGGTTGCTTTATCATTTCATAAGAAAAAAATTATAGTAAATATATTAATTCAAGAAAACTTGGCTTATTAGGCAAATCGTGCCTTGAATAGTAGGCTGAAAAGTGAGTTCTGGCTACTAGGTACGACATATATATATATATATATATATATATATATATGTCGTACCTAGTAGCCAGAACTCACTTTTTGGCCTACTATGCAAGGCCCGATTTGCCTAATAAGCCAAGTTTTCCTGAATTAATATATTTTCTCTAATTTTTTTCTTATGAAATGATAAATCAACCCATTTCATTACGTATGAGGTCAATTTTTTTTTATTGGAGTTAAAATTAACGTAGATATATGACCGAACCTAACCAACCCTACCTAACCTAACCTAACCTATCTTTATAGGTTAGGTTTGGTTAGGTAGCCGAAAAAGTTAGGTTAGGTTAGGTTAGGTTAGGTAGGTTAGGTAGTCGAAAAAGAATTAATTCATGAAAACTTGGCTTATTAGGCAAATCGAGCCTTGCATAGTAGGCTGAGAAGTGCGTTCTGGCTACTAGGTACGACATATATATATATATATATATATATATATATATATATATATATATATATATATATATATATATATATATATATACACACACACATACACACATACATATACACACACACACGTATGTGTATTATACTGTATTACAAATATAAATTTTTTGTCTTCCTAATAAGAACAAGTCTTAACAATGGCAAGTTTAAAATGACTAGGAAACTGTAATACACACCCCTATACAGTATTATTGTACTTCAAAATAATTTGCTTAAAGACAAAAAAATAAACACACATACAGTATTTGAAAATAAGGAATTTTATGATGGGCTATTTTACTTAATTCTGGAATGGCTTGCCCCTTACCTAAAATTTTAGTTTTTAAGCTGAAATACCTCATTAATGGATATTGATACTTAAGAATACAGTATTATATTACCCAGTATATCAGAAGAATTAAATTACAATAATTTAAATTTTTAAATTTCAAAGATTTCAAATTTAAATCAAAGAGGAAACTATATTACCGTATAAAAAAAAGGCAATCTGAGATTCTCTGAAAAAAATTCATACTAACAGTTAAAGATTAAACTTTAAATTGTGGTATATTTCAGGCAGATAACATAACTTCCTTTTAATAAAATGTATTAAAATTATATACTGTACTATACAAATTACAAAGAGTTTTGTACAGGATTGAGATTAATATTTACATATATTATTACATTTGCACCTCACACTCTGTACAAAAACTCTATCCATTCTTTCTTGAAGAAATTATAAATCCAAAGATTTACTAACTCCATCAACTGTCCTACATCTAACTTTTTAAAAGAATTTTGCAAAGATTAAATAATATTTATCTGTAAGGCACCTGTTAAGCTGAATACTATCTACAGCTGAAATAGCAAAGCAAATAAGACCCATGTTTTTCAAACAACACATGTGAATCGCTAAATAAATGGCAGACTGTATTTAAACCACCAAACTTTAACATAATACAAATTAACAATAAGGATGGAGTTGAACAAAGCTATTATTAAGTCATTTAACTCCATTACAAGTGATAGAAATACATTGAATAATACAAGATGACAAAGTTAGGACTTTTCTTTCATAATACAGTATATACAGTAATCATCTTTAATGTAACCTACACATTTTGGTTTCGTTCCCATTATTAGGAACACTAAGCTTGTTAGGCTTATCAAGGACCCTCAAGAAGTTACTAACTATACCCACTGGAATTCAATCAATTGACGAAGTGACGCACACATCATCCACTGCGCCACCCAAACTCACTTAAGTACTAAATAAGTGTTCTAATAAAAACCATGACATAACATTATCCCTTTAAAATCATGCAAATGCCCTGTCTACATTATCTTAAAGCAGTCCATAATACCATTTAAAGAATGCATCAGGCAATATCATTAAACATTTTCTCTTTCAGTCTGAGAGAAATGCAAATCTCCATCTACTTCTTCAACTGAACCATATTTAGCCTTGCATATAACATGAGGTATAACAAAAAAATATTTTATAAAACACAAATATATATAATGAGATGTATTACATGTGATAAACCTTAACATACATTCAATATAAAAAATATCTCATTTACACTGAATTCAGAAATATAATTATTGGAATAATTTATCATTTCCCTATTGTATTTCCTTCTAGAAAAAAGTTCACAAAACAAATTTATATTATATTGTCTTTTGAAACCCCATTCTGAACTATAGCAAGTCATTATACCTAGCATGTATTGTGATGCTCATCAAGAATAAGGGCATTATGTTATCATTTTTCATACTTGTATCCATATAAGATGTTGGCTTTAATTCATACCCTTAATACAATGTAAAGGAAATTGTGTTTAACAAAAACAAATGCAAGTCTACATTCAATATTTGCTGCATAAATATATGAAACCATGTTCCTGTAAGTAAATAATGTCATTTTTTCTGTGAGGTATAGAACAAAATAAGCCTGTTTGGCTTTGGAGCAGCACCTTCACATCCTGTGGTCCTGGTGTTCTTATTAAAACTGAGCAACAAATATATTCCAAGTACAGTGCAGAATATTGGAATATTAAACAGGGGCAAAAAGATGCATCCCTTTGCCAAGGTAAGCTTGGTCACCAATGAATATTTAAGTAAGATAAACACCCAAACCTCCAAATCTAATGCCATATGACCAAAGGAGCAAAAAAAAAAAAAATTACATTATTGACTGGCCATCGTAATCTCCAGATCTCAATATGACTGAACATTTGTAGTATAAACTAAATAAAACAGTTTACAAGCACAAGCTGCCCAATCTGAAGGCATTGGAAGAGCTATATATAAGAAGGGGTAGTTAGATATCCCTTCTGCCAAGAGTAAAAAACATATTAAAAGGCTACAAAGTGCTTCCTCTATACCATATTGTCAAAGCTATTGGAGGAAAAACAATATCTTACTGGATTTAATGCAGTGTGAATAAATTTAAACAGAGAAGATTAAATAAAATAAGCAATGTTTTTTTATTCCAATACAAATACATTAGTCTTATATTCACATTTAAGAAATATTCAATGTATACTTGCATTTATATTTATTTTTTTTGTTAACACCATCTATCATTTACATTTTATCAACTCTACATGCTCAAAATATGCCTTCACCTAGAGAATTATAGTTGAATGGAGCCTAGATAGTCAAAACCTAAACATGTACCCCTTTTATTGTCCATTAAACTCATGAGAAATTACTCAATAAACTAATAAAATCACAAGAAATATAGTGTAAGAATTTATATACACAGAGAAATCACATCGTGATATATCAGTGAGAAAATCCACAGAAGCCGTGATGAGGATTCGAACCTACGTTCTGGGTATTCCCAGATGCATGCTCTAAATGACTACGACATGACAGTCATAGCATAGTCGTTTTAGAGTGTGTGTCTGGGAATACCCAGTGCATAAGCTCGAATCTTCTTCACAGCTCCTGTGGATTTTCTCGCAAGAAATTGTATATAAATTACCTATGAACCTGTTATGAAGGAAGTGGTTCTAAGAAATCCCTTTCAATGACTGCTTCAATGTGAGCAAAATTTGAGGATGATAATGAAGTTGCAGCAGTTTGGCCCGAGCCAGATGATGACACGGAGGAAGAAAAAGGAATATGGCTTCCACTAGTAGCCTGTCCCATTGTGGCTGCCGCAGGGGTGAAGGTTGGCAACACAAGAGTATTGAAAAATGGCTGCAAATCCACAAGTGTTGAGATGCTGGATACTGTAAGCATTAGCTGGCCAGGATGGTGATCCAGAGTTCTGGTGTTCTTATTTCCAGTCTAAAAACAAAGTAAGAGGAGAGGTATTGTAAATCTAGCATTAGGTCATTCCTTAAAATGTCAACTCTAGTCTTTTCCAACAGAACTATCTTACTTTTAAGAGGTAACAATTTAGAAAATTCTTATGCAATTTGTATGGTATGTAATCTAATTTATTTATTAATAAGTTTTGTCCTTTCTGCTAAGTATTAAAATGACTAGTGCTGAACCTTTTCTTTGTCTCAAAATCTCTAAGCAGTGCAGCATTATACTGATTTAAGACATACCATGTTTCCATATGCACCCTCACTTGCTTCCTATTTTATCAGCAGTGTTTAACCCTTGTGTTGCTCAGGGCTAATTAGCATTTGTCACCCACACGCACATATGAAAAGCAAAATTGTGAAGAACAAGAAAAAATAGTATTGAGTGCAGCAGAGAAGGAAGTGGTGGTGAGCCCAGCTTCCTAGCTCCCAAAACTCCCAGCCAAAGATGAGACCTATCAATTCAAGATAACCTCAAGATATCAATGGGAACAATATCTTCAACTTCCCACAAAATTACTTACCAATTGACATTGGAATTTTATGTTATAATTTGCCAGTCATTCACTCCAAAGTACAGTATATCACATCATTTCCTCACTACTCTAATCATCTACTTAACTAAGCAAATGAACTGACACAAACCTTGTCTGCCATGAGCTTGGCAATACGAGCAATATGAGGCACAAAATCGCAGCTCTTTAGGAGAATACTTCCGGCTCCTTCAGTCTTTTCCTCAATGTCTGAGGTTGGAATTGGACCAACAAATGCCCAACGATACCTAGAAAATATATTAAGCTGTACTGCATATTTATGAATATCTACAGTTTGAGCATTAACCCTTAAACTGTACACCAGTTTTTAAATCAATTTTCAGGTGAACAAAAAAAAAATAAAAATCCCAAATTTTTATTTTTATTTTATATCATAAGGAACTTATTTCTGTCTGGAAAATAAAATCCTAAACATTTTAGTATAGCCATAATAAGGTGAAGGAATGTTGAAAATGTCAAATTCTGATGATCAGTTTTTAAGTTAACTATTTGTAATGAGATTTAGCATAGCATCAATGATTCCTACCATGATGACGATGTTCAACAAAAATTAAATTTGCATCATTGTATAAATCTTTGAAGTTTACTCCTTTATATAGGGCACTTACATTTGGAACTGTGGTAAATGCTGTGCAGGAAGAGCCAGCATGAGATCCAAGAGTTTGCATGCTGACAAATAGAGGGTGAGCCAGGCTGGGTGGTTGTGTGCATTTAGACCGTTCTGAGAGCTAAATACCCAAGATGAATCCAAGGTAGAAAGCCGCTTCAGATGAGAGCTGAAAAAGTGCCACAGTTTAAGAATGCTTTAAGAGCCTGATGACCACAGAGTTCATTAAACTTTAATTAGCAAATAGATCATTTGCAGATCCCAAGGTCATAATGATTACTATAATTTATTCATAGGTTACTATATTGGGTTTGTTGAATGATAATGTGATGGCAACTTTATAAACTCCTTGATGTAAAAATGTTTTCTGTGGAGAGCTCCATCAGCTTCCTGAAGCTATTCAAACTGATATACAGTACTGTAAAGCTATATTAGTTGGGGTCATCAGTCACAGAGTTCTTATGATTACCAGGAACCAATTACCAGGAGCTTACCAGAGTTCTTATGCTTACCAGCCAGAACCTTGCCCACTCAGAGAGGTTATCTTGAGGTTATCTTGAGATAATATTGGGGCTTAGCGCTCCCGCACCCCACAGCCTGGTCCTCGACCAGGCCTCCTCTTTGTTACACATCCCCAGGAAGCAGCCGGTAGCAGCTGTCTAACTCCCAGGTAACTATTTACTGCTAGGTAACAGGGGCATCAGGGTGAAAAACTCTGCCCATTTGTTTTCGCTTCCACTAGGGATCGAACCCTGAACCACAGAACTACAAATCCAAACACTGTCCACTCAGCTGTCAGGCCCGAGAGGCGCAGGGAGCAATGGCCTATGAACACTTTACATTTAAAGTACAGTATTTCATACTTGCCATCGACCAGGGAAGGCATCCAGATGGGTAGGCGAACAAAACAGACCACTGGCTGGTTGAAAATTGCAATCTACGTCTTCAAAAGAGCAAAAGAACTCCCTCAGAGAGAAAAACTAACAAGCAACGCTTTGTCCAACTAGCCCTCCTGCTCATTAGTGCCAACTCCCCCTCCCTGCAGGGGGAGAAGAAGCCGGCCTGGGCAAGTTGGGCTTCTGGATTTTCTGTTCTGGATTTTTGCCTTTTGAGGCTGTTCCTGCACTTGTGGTGTATGTTGGCCAGGTGATCTTGTGTACTGGAGCTGCCCATGTCAAGGGACACCTTCCCTAGGTGCTCAGATCAGGCAGCAGATGCATTTTTCTGTGATGCTTGCCGAGTCGCCGGCTGCTCGAGCAACTGTGAAAGAGCTTGAACTTTTCCCTGTTGGTTTACCCACAGAACAGGGTCTGGCTTTGGAGGCTGATCTGTTATCTTCGGGGCAGCCCCTTTTGCTACTCTCATGATCACTGGGTTCGGCCGAGATAAGTTCTCCTTGTTATGTCCCTGTTTTTCCTTCTCTGTGGGTAATTAGCTTCAGGGAGCCGATGGAGCTTCCCACAGTAACCTAGCATTGAATGTAATGAAACGCCAGTTTGTGTGAGCCCCGGAGGCTCCCTGACCTCTCCCTCCCTTCGGTCATCGGTTATCATCATTCAAGAACTGGAGGGTGGGTAGCCCTGCTCCCACTTTCCCTACATGTGCAGAGGAGGGAGGGGGGGCAATAACGAGCAGGGGGGTCGAGGGTTAGTTGGATAAAGTGTTTGTTTTCTTTCTGGGGGAGTAGTTAAGTAATTATCAAAAGAAGGCACCAAGCCGGGGAGGCTATGTAGCACCATCAAATGTATGAGATATTCAAAAGGCACTAAATATCACTAAGGATGACAATACGAGAACAGAAGTGCATAAGGCAAACAACATCAAAGGTATTCGATTCACCAAGGATCTATCTATCCTTGATAGATCAAGTCTATCTATTGAGGGACAGGTGACCACACGGGACAGTCAGGAAGCAAGATGCATGCATATCCTGGAAGTCAGGACATTCAACAAGGATATGCAGGACCGTAAGAGGGACAATGCAGTTAGGACAGTAAGGAGCAGGGCGGTGCTCTTTTAAGTGCCCGTGAGTTAAACGAGGTATGGCCAATACCTAACCTCGCCAGAGCCATTTCCCACTGCCAGTTACGGTATTAGGAGGAAGGCCATGGGGGACACACTACCCTTAAGAGCCAAGCAGCTTGTCACCAGTAACAGAAGACCAGCGATCATGACAACGGGCACAGATTAAGGAACGAATCACAGGGCAGAAGTTGTAATATGGAACACCTTTGTGGTAAATGGGACAAGTGTGGATAGCCTTTCTGAGGAAATTGTTTTGCTCTTTTGAGGATGTAGGTTGCAATTTTCAACCATCCAGTGGTCTGTTTTGTTTTGGCTACCTTCTGGGTGCCTTTCCTGGTCGATGGCAAGTATGACATACTATAAATGTTAAGTGTTCATAGGCCATTGCTCCCTGCATCTCTCTGAGGGGGGGGGGGGGTCCCGGTAGGCATAACGCCAACTAATATAACTTATATCAGTTTGGATAGCTTCAGGGAGCCTCTGGAGCTCACCCAGAAACTGGCATTTCATTACATTCAACATTGGTTTTTTACTGCATGTTACCAAGTATATAAAAAATTAATAGTTTGCTTTGGTACATCATTACTAGCAACTCCATCATAGCACTATGTTGTACTTATAAGTTTTATTCTTACCCAAAATGTTGAGCACACTATGGACTCTAGAAATGTAATTTGTTTAATATATTTAAACTGTACCTAAACAATGTTAACAAAATGAATGGAATAATTCATCTATCTTTCATCATTCCAAAAACTATTATGAAATGTTGATACATTTTGCAATTACTGTATATAAGGAATATTTCTTAAATGGAATTAGCCATAAATAATATACAAACAATAATTCCATGAAGAAAGAAGAAAAAATTTAGTTTCGTAAGAATCTTTTAACAATAATATGGATTAGGTTTAGATATAAAGCATTTAGGGCAACATTTTCAAAATGATGTGACATTTAAACGTTATTTGCAGGCAACATATGCAGTACAGTTATAGAATTATAATACTGTACAGTGAAGGAACATACTTTTTTAATTAGCAATTGTAGCAGAGAGATACCTTTAGATTTGTAATTCAGTAGAGTTAGGTACTGCAACCATCTCTTACACAAGCATATATTATTGCATAATTTTACATAATAATTTATTGTAAACTCTTCAGAAAATGAAAGTAGGTAGGTAGCCCGAGCGTTGTCCGTGAGCTCACCACAACACACTAATGTTTATACTCTTTTCAGCTTTCTCATCTCAATTTTCATGCTACATCAATTCAATTTGGTATCAAATTGTTTGCAATAGAATGCTATAAGGGGATATTTGCATATAAAACCATTTAAGTCTCACTTTCCTATACTTTAGACCCGCCGCACACTGCAAGATAGTCCGAGTGTTGCCCGAGAGCTCACTCCTCCATTATGGGGCCGGCCGGCCGAGTGGACAGCACGCTGGACATGTGATCCTGTGTACGTCATTCTCTAAGAGAGATCCTCACTGTCCCAGTATATGATGGTACAAGACCATCATATGGTCTTGTACCATGGTCTTTTGCTGAATGGCTGTGCAAGAGTTTGGGTTGGCTCTTTGCTTTTGCTGCAATGTCATTCTCAAAATTGCTGCACTGATGCCCTCCTAATTCTTGTGTACTCATTTCTGGTCCAATTTAGTGTCTCCTCTGTACCCATGACCTTATAATTTTTCATGCGTTTTCTGTCTTCTCCTTTTCCTCCATATAGTACACTGTTGAACCATCAGATTGCAGTTCTCCTTTTGTACACTTCCCTTTTGTCTCCTTTTGAAAGGTATGAACTGTTCTACTGCGTCTTTACATTTCTGTATTAGGCCTTCCATCATTTCGTTTGTTGTTTTTCCTTCCATTTCAGTCTCATACTGAACATCCTGCAGATAATCCCTAACCCTCCCATAGTCTCCTCATTTGTATTCTCTTTTGCACCTTTCCTTTTTCCAACTCTTTTTTTTTTTGTTTTCAGTTTTACAAAGTAATCAAACATGATAATACAGTAGTCACTGGCTCTTAGTGGTACCTCATATTTTAAGTTCTCTACATCTTCATTTTGGGCAAACATCAGGTTTAGGGTAGCTGGTCGATCACCTTCTCTATCTCTTGATGGCTCTTTGATATGCTGCTATAGGAAGTGTTTGCCTGTAGTGTCCACAAGTCATGCTACCCTTGTTTCGTCTTCACCTTGAGGATCCTTTGTTGATCAGTCTTTTTCCCTGTGGTTAAAATCCCTATGTATCAGAATCTTTGCTCTGAATCTACTTGCTACTGTGGCCACCTATTCTATTATCTTCATGTATGTTTAACTGCATTATCAAATTCCTCCCCTAGCTTTGGTGCTGTTTATGAAGGGTTGTAAATAACACCTACCATTATCTTTATGGTCCTTGCTGTTATCATATCCAGTATAAAATCTTTCTGGTTGATTACCTTCAGAATCTATCACCTCAAAGCTCCAATTTTGTTGTATCAGTAGGGTTGTTACTCTTCTCCCAACACCCCCCTGTTTATCCTTTCTTACTACCTGGTATCCTCTTGGGAAGATTGCATCTTCTATTATGTTCATCAGTTTTATCTTCATATCTGCAATGATATGAGGATGTGGTTCTGTTATCCATTCCTCCAACTCTACTTCTTAATTTGTAATGCCATCTGCATTTGTGTATCAAGTTTTATGATACTTCTACTGGCCTGTTCTGTTTCATACCAGGTGAGGGGTAGACTTTTCTTTTGGGTTAGTTGTAGTTCCATTCCAGAAGGTGGCTTTTGTGAGTAATGGTCTAGTCACACACACTTTTTCCTAGGCTCTTTCTTCGCCAGTGTGATTACACCCAATTTCTTGCTGTGCCCGATATCCTCCTCCTGCCCGAGACTTTCACTTCTTATTCCCTCTGAACTTTGATGTTTACCTTGGTTCAGTGGTTGAAGAGGTCTCTCCTGTTGGTCTGATACGTTCTGGTGACTGTTCGGTTAGTGGATATCTGGGTCATTTCTGCAAGCTTGGGCTTGGGATACTCAGGTATTCCACCTTGTGACTTGAGTCTTTGTTAGGCATGGTCTTCCTTTCCTCGCCAGACAACTACGTTTACCCTCAGGACTGCCATTTACAATTTGTTGGACAAGAGAATTCCTTTGGTTACTCCATCTCTCTGAGTATTCCTGGCTGTTTCTAGGTCTGAAGTAGGACTCCCCAAAATCTCAGTCTATACTAAATGTCTTCTTTCTCTATGTAGCATCTATTTAGTCTAGCTACATCATCAACAGGGCTCTCAAGGTGGCAAAGTCCCTTGCACTACATGGAAAAGGAGCAATTCAAATAAGTGAGTCCAGAGGAGGAATGCAAATACTCAGAGAAAATAACTGGATAGGCAAAGGAATTGAGACCAGACTAGCTAGAAAGACTAAGAGAGCTCATTAATCTGAATTCCAGTATCCTGAATGAAATCACATTCATTGTTTTCAAGTAAATGACATGAGTAACAAGGTAAATGGTGGAGTAGCCAGGTAAACAACGGGAGTAGCTGGGTAATCAGTAGGAGTAAGAAGGAAAACGGCAGAAGAAGGAAAATTGAGTACAAGGATTGAGGTACAAAAATTTTAAAATTTATTAATTAGAATTTTTGGACATTCCTGTTAAGAAATTTGGTTAAGTTGAATGTTCAGCTAACTCAAATGAGGGTGGACCCCACATAATTTGGATTACCAAGCATAGATAAGATAAGTAGATAAAAGCCAGGCAACTTAAATCACTTGAGTCACATGATTGTAAAGCATAAATAATGATACTAATAATAGCAACAGAAGTCCTCATGCAGGACAGGATATCCTTGGAATTCAACAAACTATCTACCTTTCACTAAAAAGGCTCAGTAATAAGAGTGGTGACAGTTGGCAACCCTCTGTAACCTGAGCTGCCATCTGGCAGCGAGTCTTGGAGGTTTACACAAGGGTTGTTATCTGTGTCAAACTATTGGTCAAACTGTTTTCAAAATGTCTTAATCATTTCTAGGAGGTTTGGATATTTTTAGGTGATGTTTAAACCTTGTGTGGCTTGTTTGATGTACTGTAGCACTTTTAAATTTGCATATTTCATCATCTCTGTTAGGACACCAGATTTTGGTCCTAATTGTTAGTAGGAGCTCAGTGCCTTAAGCTAAGGGAAGTTTCTGAAGAGTCCAGTACAGAAAATTCCCTTTCATGTGTAATGTCTTCACTGATTATTAATGGGCTTAAGTCATTTGCATATATCTAAATTTCAAGTTGCAAATCTAGAATAGATGTCCTATGGCTCTTTAAAAGGCATAACATCTTACATAGCATTTGACTGACTGGTGAGGTTGCACTTGCAGCCAATACTTATTAGGACAATTTGAAGGAAATCATGGAAGGTGGTTACACACTATAGTGAGTTTTCAATGTTAATGAAAGGCGGCTGTATATTAATTCTTTGTATGCATGCCACTCATGTATGTGTGGTGCATTTACGGTATATTTATTTTATATGAATGGGCAAAAATACATCAAGAAATTGTTTTCAAGGAAAAATATTTTAAATTGCAATTAAATATATGACAGGTTTTGTTAAAAGCACCTGTGCCATTTAGTGAGGATTGCTTGTCGAGTAATAGCATAATTGGTAAATTCTTCAAAATATTTATTGACATGGAAAATTTATGAGATCTGCCATTACCACCAATCTAAATTTATATCTGTAACTTTACTGCTAATTTATTACAGTATGGTATAAAATACATTGTAGGTATTGTATTTAAATATTGACCGAAATGCTATGCCAGAAAACGGTATGCATGTTAGTGGCTTTGCAAGAGTGTAAGAACACCAAATGTTATGCACTCTCACAACCCAATATACCTACATGTAAAAAAAAAAAAAAAAAAAAAATTTAAAAATTAAAATAAAATAAATAAATATTGAAAAATGAGCAATGATTACACATTTTTTGTTCTCCGGCCAATTATACAAAATATATGGTACAGTACATACAATGAGATAGCATACATTACGGATATTAAGAAGATAAAATTCTGTAAAACAGTAAAGCAATAAAAAAATTGTAGGAAATAAATGCTAATTTAATAATGGTGCACCTGAGTATGTAAGCAACCAGCATTAGCTTAACGGGCAGATGCACAAGGTATGCTTTAAAAATAAATTATGGATCAGGTTTATAGCTTAAACTTGAGCAATAAAGTCAGAGGTGCTAAATGAATCAGGAGATTGTAAGTTTTTGACTTTATAGGTTAGGTAACAAGCTTTTCCTGAGAGATAATTGATTTTCAAATAATGACCAAAACATAAAAACAGCCTACTGTACTAGCAAAGATATTCCTGTAACTACCAATCATTACCTGCCCCCCTTCTTGCTGTTCGCCATCAACGCACCATCACCAGCAACATAGGCAGGACGGGGAAGAAATATAAGCTATTATAAAAGATACTTCCATACTCCTGGAAATACTTGTGACAAAGTGTAAAACCTGATTTGCGTGTTTTGTACAGTATTTTAAAATAAAGTCTAAGGTAACTGTGAGCACCATTTCCACAAATATTTAAAATTTAGGTTATATAATATGTGTATGCAAATTCTGACCAGTGATTAATGATCTCTTTCCACTCTTCTTTGGATGAAGGAAATGAAGCACTTTTAAAGTAGAAATAGTTTGCTACATTCTCTCAAGACAGTTGCCTGATTTATCATTTGCAAATATATTTTAATCTGAAGATAAAACCAGCATTGAATGTAATAAAATGCCATTTTCTGGGTGAGCCCCAGAGGCTTCCTGAAGATATCAAACTGACATGTGCCATATTAGTTTGGTGCTATCAGGCCCTGAAGTTCGAGTGCCAACCGGGGGCCACGAGCTAGAACTTGGCCCTCCCTCAGAGAGGCGAAGGGAGCAATAACCATATGAGCTCTCTACATTTAGAGTTTGTCATGTCTGCCACTGACCGGGGATACCTCCAGAGAGGAGGGCAAACCATTACAAACCTCTAAATGGTTAAAATTGTAACCTATGTCTGAACAGAACTTCCCCCAATAGAAAACTATGGAACAAGCAACACTTCATCCAACTAGCATGCCTGCTTGTTAGTGCCTCACCCTACCCCAACAGGGAGCACTGGGGAGTGGGGACCCCTCTCAGGTGAGCAGGCAGCACCACTCTCAGTTCGGAGAATAACCTCTGACCAGAGGGAGGGAGGGAGGGAGTCAGGGAGCCTCCGGGGCTCACCCTGAAAATGACATTTCATTACATTCAGTGGTAGTTTTCTGAGGGGAGACCCTGCGGCTGCCTGAAGCTATCTACCCACAGATAAGTAAAAACAGGGATTTACCGGGATGTGGCAGCACCGCAGGTCTCACGATGAAAACGAGACAACTGGCCGCGACAGATGTCCCTAGGCCACACAAGGCCACAGAGGGTCCGGGACGTTAACAAGATATCTAATTGAACCCTGATATCAAATTTTTCAAAACCCCCGTGCCCGAATATTGACCCATGACACATTACCAAAGATGGCAGCAAGAGCTACATACTTCCTCACATCATGGGCATGAGGGCAGACTGCAGGCTGACTAGACTTGATAACCCTGCAGACAACTTGAGAGAGACAAGCCCTAGAACAGTGAACCAGGGAAACCAGGTCCAGCCAGAGCGTGTCTACTGTCGCTGAACCAGTAGTTCGCAGGGAATGACGTAAAGCAGCAACCGGACGGTTTGTAATGGTTCGCCTACCTTTATGGGGTATCCCCAGTCACTGGCAGACATGACAAACTATATTTAGAGAGCTCATATGGCCATTGCTTCCTTCGCTTCTTTAAGGGGGCCAAGTTTTGGCTTGTGGCCCCCGGTAGGCACTTGAACTCCAAGGACTGATGGCACCAAATTATTATGGCACATGTCAGTTTGATAGCTTCAGGGAGCCAACAGGGCTTCCCTCAGAAAACCTAGCACTGAATGTAATAAAATCTCTCTTTCTGGATAAGCCCGTGACTCACCGAAGCTATCTTACCGAGATTTCTCTATGGAAGTGGGTCATGTCAGATGCCGAAGTTCAATTTGGCCTACCGGGTACCAACGCCAAAACCGTCGCCCAATTTTCATCACAGAGGAGCACAGAGCAAGTTACAATTTGCCACTACACCGGGAAAGCATCCAGAATGTTATTAAACTTTACAGACAACTGGGTGTGCAAAACTCATACAGTGTAGTACCATCCAGGTGGCCCATCTTTTGCATGCAGCAATCTTCCTTGATCAGCTCTGAAGGTGAACACCCCACCATTAAATTGACTAATCTGGTAGGAAAAAAAGGAGAGAGTCAGGGAGTCACTGGGGGTCATCCAGGAAGAGATGTTTCATCACATTCAGTGATGGGTTTCTGGAGGAAGCCCTCCAATGGCTCCCTGATGCTAACCAAAGTGAGCAAAAGTGGGACTTACCAGAGGAAAGAAGAAGACCGAGGCCAACACAGCATACTTATGAACATTATGGGCCCAAGGGTAAACTGCAGGTTGGCTAGATCTAATGACACTGGGAAATTACAGACCTTGGAACAGGGAACAAACGAAACAGGGTCATCCAACAAGCATCCACCAAGGTAGAATTGGTGACCCACAGGTAGCGGTAAAAAACTGCCAATGGACACAAGTGATGCACTCCCAGCCAGACTAACCAAGCATCAATCATCAAAAGACCCTTCAAAAGCTAGCCGACTCATTCTTTAACAGAAAAAAGAAGTCTGCACATGAAAAAACTGCCCAGCAGGGCCAAAGGAACTAGACCCACCACCTCCAGAGAAGAGCCTAAAATTTCCCAACCCTACAGCCAGAGGTGAGAGCCAACAAAAAACAGCTTTGAGAAAGAAATAAGCTGAAGGGGAAACCTAGAAACTAGGGGAGGAAAGGAAGACTAAAACCCAGTCCAGAGACTGGGACAGCTCAGGAGGAGCATGAGCTGGCCAGAGGTGAAAAAGCATAGGAGACAACTTGTGGAATGGTGCCGAGGAAGAGCTGATGCTGAACGCAAGCAACAGGGGTTCCGCCAACACCAAGTGATTTAAGAGGAGATATTATTAGACATGAGATGCCAATAGAGAAACAACAAAATAAAAGGATAGGACAACCTTGACCAAAACTCAAGAAAGATTATGAAGAGACAGATAGTGGTGAAATGAGCGCCAGGCAATCTCATACTGCCCCTGCGAGCAAAGATGCAGGTCGTACACCAACAAATCAGCCACCTGTTCACCATACAAAAGGCAATAGACAGACATCAAAAACTTCAGACACACACAGCAGAGGAGAAGGTGGACCAAGTGAGTACAAAGTCAGGCCAATCTGTTGAAAGTGGTGGGGCAGTAGAAAGTTGCTCAGCTTCAGACACTGGGCTAGAAGTTCCAGAAACTAAGTATGGGCATAACATATGACCTGGAGTAATATATGAACTGGGGTAAAAAGGTAAATGAGAATCCACCAAGACCAGTTCAGCCAAAAGGTATCCACCATGAGAGCCTCATGATCAGGAAACAGAGGCACATAGGAGGGAAGGCAGCAGTTCCACAATGATGTAAAACAGTCCACCTCGAGGTGAGCAAACATATCGCAGATCAAACGGAAGGATGCATTTTTTAAAATCCATGCCATAGAAATGGGATTGAAATGAGATAACTCATCCAAAAGAACACTGAGATACTAAGAAAATTAGATGACTGTCATGCCCATCAAGAGTACCGAGACAAAATGAGGGTATGGGGCACACCACATAGCAAATGGAATAAATGCCATGTTATGGAATATGGAATAGGCAAAAATAGACCCCACACAACCTACAAATTATGTGAGAAAGCTTTAAAAATTATAATAAAGAAAGAGATGTAGGAGTTGTTCTAGACAGAAAACTATCACCCGAGGATTACATAAAGATCATTGTGCAAGTAGCCTATGCTACACTTTCCAATTTCAGATTTGCTTTTATATACATGAATGGTGAAAAACTAAAGAAATTGTTCATGAACTTTGTGAGACCAAAGCTGGAATATGCAGCGGTTGTATGGTGCCAATATGTTGAGTAGCACATCAAAAAACTGGAAAAGGTGCAAAGACATGCAGCTAAATAGCTCCCGAAGCTGAAAGACAAGAGCTACAAGGAGAGGTTAGAGGTATTAAATATGCCAAAACTAGAAGACAAAAGACAAAAAAGTGGTATGATCACTCCTTACAAAAGAGTAACAGGAATCGGCAAAATTGATAGGGAAGAATTCCCGAGACTTGGAACTTCAAGAACAAGGTCAAAGATTTAAATTAACTAAACAAAGTTGCCAAGAAATACAAGAAATTCAGTTTCACAAACAAAGTGGTAGACAGTTGGAACAAGTGGTGGAGGCAAAAACTGTCAGTAATTTTAAAGCATTATATGACAAAAGAGTGCTGGGAAGATGGGACACCAAGAGCATTGCTCTCATCCTGTTACTACACTTAGGTAATAATTACACTGTATAACTCCCCATGTGTGAATCGTGCGAAGAGCCAAACCATGAGAAACTAAAAGCTGAATTACTCGAAATATCTAACTCCAAATTAGATATTTGATTGTAGGGAGATTGACTGAAGTGACTCCCTAGGGTTCATGCAAGGTACTACTGGACAGCAGTCGGAGAAGAATCGGAGCATGAAGTCCAGTGGGGGACAAATCCTCCTTTGGGCCTGCCACACAGCCACAAACTCATGCAACATACTGTGCACCCAAAAGAACAGGCCTCACCACCAACACTGGGCAGCCTGGTGGGTGCTGGTCAGAAAGCCCCAGCCCAGAGCCAAATTGTCCGTGAACACATCGATTGATAGGTAATATAGCACCATGGGACTGAACTCCGAAAAATCCAAAGCAGCAGCAGCCCCAAGACAGGCATGTGGGTCCAAATCTGCCAGTCCTGGGAGCAATGAAGTGGATGGAACAATAAAAACTAGAACAACACCTGAAGCCAAACTCTGCCCGGGGAAGAGAACACAGGCAAAATTGAGGCTCCACAAACTGGTCAACTAACTGGCAAGTCACCCAGGGTTGAACCAACATCAGCAGGCGATGAAGCTGCAGATGATGCAAACTGCTGGAGACTAAGAGAGAACCTGGTCAAAAATCCCAAACAAGACCCAACTAAGTCAGAGCCTGAGACACAATCAACTGGGACTTCCAATATTTCATAAAGGACCCAAACCTAGCAAGCCGGTTAAGACCCAAATCCCTGGCTAGATGACATGTGGACTGACTGGGAGGCCAAACCAGCCATTCAAGAGGTAGGCCAACACACATGAACTCCTAGAAGGCACAGCCAGGTAACAATCACACACACTAACCTGATAATCAAACAGCGAGCCAGATTCAAATCAAAAGGAAGAACCTTGAAGTGGTAAGCCTGATACCCCACCACAAAACCTAACCAGTAGTGCCTGAACCTGGGATGAATAGGGATGTGCCAGTATACATCCTTGAGGTCCAGGAACACTATCCAAGCTCCAGCCTGTAAAACCAAGTGCACTTGAACCAGGTGGTCATGTGGAAGATTGTATTGGACAGGGAATGAAGGTGTTCAAACCCAAAAGACCAAAGATGTACTATTGGTCCACCAAGTCCTTCTTTGGGATCATAAACAACTGGGACACCCACTGAAGGGATGAGGTCAATTTGATTATGCTTGCATCAAATCAACCCACAATGACCAGATGCAATGACCTGGAGACAGTAACTGACCCAAAGGCCCCAGCCCGAAGAAAGGAAGAGAAACTGACCAATTCCAATGCAAGCCACGGGAAATAACCTGAAAGGCCAACAAATCATGGGACAAGGAGCTGGCAAAATGCACCAGACATCCTTCCTATGGCAGCATCAAATGGAAACTGTGAAAGGGGCCAGTGCCTACCATGAGCAGAACCACTCTACTGCGATGCATAGTTATAGCATCTAGCAGAAAATGGTCTCGCAACAGGAAGTATGTCAACCTGGGAATCCGACCTTCCTGGGAACCTACCTTGACTAACGACAAGCAAGATCCTTACCCTACCAGACCACTTCTGGAAGATGGGGATGGGGGCAGAACCCAGAGAAAACAACAAATGATCAAAAGGCCAACAGGAGAAGGCTGCCACAGTCAGAACTTGAGACAGCATCCTCTAAAAAAAAGAGACAAGAAAAGGGAAGTGAACAAAAGGGAAAGGGACCAAGCTGAATTTAATGAACAGGATAACATGGTCTGTCAGCCCTGATTCAACAGGCAGCATGGTGGAGGTAGAAAGCATGATCAACATCTGGTAGCAAAAACTATGGACACCCTTCAAGGAGTTTGGGTTCGATGATTTGAACTAACCATGCCAAAGACTTGTGACGAGATTGCCCAGGCCTGAAGGCAACTAACCAAGAAAGACACCCAGGCACTGAGGTTGCTCACTGGAAGACAGACATCATGTGTAGCCAAAACAACCAGGTTACAACTGGCATCTGCAACATGTCATATAAACAAACATATGTACCACAATACAACCAACAGATGCCCCCAGCCTAGAGTCCAAGGAGAGGTGTCAAAGACCTGTGAATAGTCATATGTGAGGCTCTCCACCCCCAGTGGCCTGGTCTCTCAGGGGAGAACTCCCGAACACATTTTGGTCATTATCAAAGATATCATCTCAATGCAGGAGCAGTATTAGCAGGCACCCTGAGACAATCCCATAGTGCATGCAGCCTGAAGCACAACAAAACTAAGCCCACACAAGTCAGAAAGAAAATATGTATGTGAAGGTAAAAACAAAAATATAGAATAAAAAAAAAGCAACTGGCCCCCCCTCCCCTTCCCTGCAGAAACATGTTCAAGGACAACTGGTACTTAACTTGAAGAGGCTTACCACGCCTGAAAGACCTGGAACAGTACTGTCCTGTGGACATCAATGAAAGAAGATGGTTGCATGTGGAAGCCAGGCTGCCTAATGGTGGCATTCGGTACTACGAGTTCCCACTAATTTTGAATGTTTTTTTCTGTGTTAAACATTCGTGGAGTTGTTTGGCATTTTGAGGCTTCAGCCTCTGTTAACCCTTCAGTTGTCTGTAAAGCTTCTCTGACTGTCTGGATACTTTTCCAGAGTGGTGGTAAATTGTCACTGGCTCTCTTTACCTCTGTTGGAGGACCAGGTTTTGGCTCTGGTCCCTGGTAGGAAATGGAACTCCCACGTTTGATGTAACCATTTGCCTGGAGTAACGTTAGTACGATAGCTTTAGGGAGCCACCAGGGGCTTCCCCAGAAATGTGGACTCCTGAATAAGCTACAGCTTTATATGTCACCCCATATGAAAATTAATTAAAGAGCAAGCCCAATCAAAATGTAAAGCCATGATGTGAAAGTATTTAGAAGCTTGTTTTAAGAAGTCTCACACTTGAGCAAAAATATAATTTAAGAATACTGCTCAATAGATTATGGCAGTCATGAATGTCATTTAAATAGACAATTTGCTCATAAGCAGAACACATTATATAGTATGATGTACTTCCACCAAGACAATATTTAGCTTTCCAGAGAAATGAAAATGAAATTCCTATCTAATGTTAACTTTGGAGAACAATAAAGCTGTATTGACCAAAAAATAAATAAGGCAACCAATGTTCATGAGAATGCTCCATTTTCTGAATTGCTTTATATTAAAGATGCAATTACAGTAATTTAATATAAGGCATACTTTCTATACTGAATGAGAAGATATATGAGTGGTGCAAGTTAACAACAAAAATAAATTGTTACTGAAATTGCATGAAAATAACCAAATTTCAAATTTACTGATTCTATTTATGTGTGCAAGAATCCAATAATTCTAAATACTGTTGTATTAGTTAATCAACTACCCCTTACCAAAGGAACAGTGTTTAATAATACATCCACCTACCTGAATTGTTCTGTATCTGTTGCTAACTCTTGTTCCATCATGAGAAAAACTTGTACCAGTTCTGTTATAATAACAGGCCAGAGAGATGTTACTCCACGAGGTGAGAGCCTTAATAACAATACACGGAAGCACAGGAGAACTTGGGCCACCAGAGATGGAACAACTTGTCCTAAACGGGTCACCTCTGCCAAACGTTCTGGAAATCAAATAAGTAGGATCAAAACAAAATTTTTGGAAAATCTTTATATATGAATAATTAGTTTTAAACTGCTACTAGCATATGGTACATGTTACATTGACACTGCAAAGTTTATTTCTGCAATAATTTGCACTTTTATGTATTTTTACCTTTTTGTGGAAGGTAACCTAAGCCACAAGGGTAGTACTTACAGGGCACCTAGAGAAGGTAACCCGAAGTGCATGCAGCCCGAGTACAGTTGAAAACTACTCGTGGCACACACACCACCACTGAGGCAGGACCACACCACAAGGCACAGCACTGAAATGAGTTGGAGCCAGAGTCGCACGATCTGCCAGGTCACACATCAGCTGAGAACTGACTGTGTGGATAGCCGGTGCAGGGGTCTGAGGCTTCCCCTTTTTCCTCCCGGGTAGGGGGAGGGGCTGTGCAGACAGCAGTACGGTGACGATTGTGATGTCATGCTCATTTGCTAGTCTTATTTGGGGAATTTGGTCGAACAGTTCGACTTTCAGTAGCAATATTTTAACCAGATAGGGTTTGTTTCGGGGTGCCTACCTTCCTGGGTGCCCGACCCGGTCGATGGCAGACATAGAATGCTTCCAACCATACGGGGGTTTCCATAGGCTATTGCTCCTCGTGCCTCTGAGGGGGCCAGGTTCTGGCTCGTGGACCCCAGTAGGTCTAAGAACTCCATTCGCTTTGACTTATGCCAGGGTCTAATACAGTGTGTCCTCACTTGAACGAACTATATGGGGCGAAGCCGATTCGTTCCAGTGCGGAATTCGTTCCATCCGTCCGGCCCCAACAACCTTCTTATTTTTTTTTTTTTAAACATATGCCAGGACACATTAGTTTGTTTCTTTGTTGTGTGGTGCTTCATTATAATATCTTTCATGCTCTTTTGGTGTCAATAATAATCTGAGATGCGAGAATCACCATCCCCCACACCACCCACACCATCCTCCACACCACCCACACCACCCACACCATCCTCCACACCACCCACACCATCCTCCACACCACCCACACCATCCTCCACACCACCCACACCATCCCCCACACCACCCACACCATCCCCCACACCACCCACACCATCCCCCACACCACCCACACCATCCCCCACACCACCCACACCATCCCCCACACCACCCACACCATCCTCCACACCACCCTCACCATCCTCTGCACCACCCACACCATCCTCCACACCACCCACACCATCCCCCACACCACCCACACCATCCCCCACACCACTCACACCATCCCCCACACCACCCACACCAACCCCCACACCACACACACCACCCACACCACCCACACCATCCTCCACACCACCCACACCACCCACACCATCCCCCACACCACCCACACACCACCCACACCATCCCCCACACCACCCTCACCATCCCCCACACCATCCCCCACACCATCCTCCACACCATCCCCCACACCACCCACACCACCCACACCATCCCCCACACCACCCACACCATCCCCCACACCACCCACACCATCCCCCACACCATCCCCCACACCACCCACACCATCCTCCACACCACCCACACCATCCTCTACACCACCCACACCATCCTCCACACCACCCACACCATCCCCCACACCACCCACACCATCCCCCACACCACTAACACCATTCGCCCCCACCACCCACACACCCCACACCACCACCCACACACCCCACACCACCACCCACACCATCCCCCACACACCCCACACCACCCACACCACCACCCACACCACCCCCCACACCACCCACATCATCCCCCACACCATCCACACCTTCCCCCACACCACCCACACCATCCCCCACACCATCCCCAACACCACTAACACCATTCGCCCCCACCACCCACACTCCCCATACCACCACCCACACACCCCACACCACCACCCACACACCCCACACCACCACCCACATCATCCCCCACACACCCCACACCACCCACATCATTCCCCCACACCCAACCACACCACCCACACCAACCCACCCACACCCAAACCACGCCACACCACCCAAACCATACCACACCACCCACACCGTGTATTGAAGCAGCAGGCTTGGAAGCGTCTCAACTCGCCCGACAAAAAAAAAATGATGGGTTGACAGGTTTCCTCTTACACCTCCAGGACCCCCCCCCCCTCCCCCAGGTACCCGGCCATACACACCACAATGCCAAGTCAGCTATTGTTTTCTTCAGGAAACAATAAAACGTGTTAATGATTAATAATGTATATTAATACACGAAAATTAACATATTTTGGCATAAATATTTTACAGCTAAGATTGAGATTTATAATTGAGTATGAATGAGAGGTTTGGCAGCCATGCGTGGTCACCACCCTTCTCTCTCCACTTCCACCTCCCCTGACAACACCTTCCACCACTGACCCCACCTGCCTCTTTCCACCACCTGCCTCCCCTGACACCGCCTGCCTCCCCTGACCCCACCTGCCTCCCCTGACCCCACCTGCCTCCCCTGACCCCCACCTGCCTACCCTGACCCCACCTGCCTACCCTGACCCCACCTGCCTCCCCTGACCCCACCTGCCTACCCTGACCCCACCTGCCTCCCCTGACCCCGCCTGCCTCCCCTGACCCCGCCTGCCTCTTTCCACCACCTGCCTCCCCTGACCCCACCTGCCTCCCCTGACCCCACCTGCCTCCCCTGACCCCACCTGCCTCCCCTGACCCCACCTGCCTCCCCTGACCCCGCCTGCCTCCCCTGACACCACCTGCCTCCCCTGACACCACCTGCCTCTTTCCACCACCTGCCTCCCCTGACCCCACCTGCCTCCCCTGACTCCACCTGCCTCCCCTGACCCCACCTGCCTCCCCTGACCCCACCTGCCTCCCCTGACCCCGCCTGCCTCCCCTGACCCCGCCTGCCTCCCCTGACCCCGCCTGCCTCCCCTGACACTGCCTGCCTCCCCTGACACCGCCTGCCTCCCCTGACACCGCCTGCCTCCCCTGACACCGCCTGCCTCCCCTGACCCCGCCTGCCTCCCCTGACACCGCCTGCCTCCCCTGACATCACCTGCCTCTTTCCACCACCTGCCTCCCCTGACACCGCATGCCTCCCCTGACCCCGCCTGCCTCCCCTGACCCCGCCTGCCTCCCCTGACCCCGCCTGCCTCCCCTGACCCCGCCTGCCTCCCCTGACCCCGCCTGCCTCCCCTGACACTGCCTGCCTCCCCTGACACCGCCTGCCTCCCCTGACACCGCCTGCCTCCCCTGACACCGCCTGCCTCCCCTGACCCCACCTGCCTCCCCTGACCCCGCCTGCCTCCCCTGACACCGCCTGCCTCCCCTGACACCACCTGCCTCTTTCCACCACCTGCCTCCCCTGACCCCACCTGCCTCCCCTGACACCGCATGCCTTCCCTGACCCCACCTGCCACCCCTGACCCCGCCTGCCTCCCCTGACCCCGCCTGCCTCCCCTGACACCGCCTGCCTCCCCTGACCCCACCTGCCTCCCCTGACACCGCCTGCCTCCCCTGACACCGCCTGCCTCCCCTGACACCGCCTGCCTCCCCTGACACCACCTGCCTCCCCTGACACCACCTGCCTCCCCTGACACCACCACAAATGATGCCAGCCACCTCACCAAGGCCTAACGTTCACACGACCTGTGCTTGTTTTATTGGCCTCCTCAAAATTTATTCTAAATAGATATTAGTACAGTACGTAGGCTGTTAGAGGAGGGAGGGAGGGATCCAAGAAACAACCCCCCCCTCCCACCCCCCACCCCCCCAATGGCTCAGGGAGCGACCGGCCGGCCACACAATGCCGGCTGTTATCTACACCCCAATTGTATTAAAAATTCTGTGAAAAGGAAATGTGTTCAAACGGTTTAAAATATGTACTGTATATATTACAATTTTCACCATTATTATTGCTCCAATATGACATTTTTCTAATAAAAAGGCTATTTTCAGTGTAGATAATGCGATAATTATCATTAAATTGACTCTTGGCATCTGACGACGAGAGGAGAGTGAGTGGTCTCTGGTCAGGTGGAGGAAGGAGGGTGGGGGCGGGGGAGCACGTGTTGCCTCCTGACAACAACTCTCTCACCAATGCCCCCCTGACACCATTTTATCACCATTTTTATCACCATTTCTCCCTAGAAACAATGGGTAGGGTTAATAAAACACTACATAACTGTTTACACTCTGGCGAATCATAGTTGATGACAGCCAGCTCTGACGCTCGGCCTCGGTGACCGCTTGGACGAACATTCCTCACTTAATCGAACATTTGTATGTTCCACTGAACATTTGGTACCGAATTCAATTTGTTCGGCTCTTCCGGGAATTCGATAGAGCGGGGTTCGTTAGTCTGAGGAAGCACTGTACATTCATATCAGCCCAGATAGCTCCGGGGAGCCGAAGGGGCTCCCCCTAGAAAACTGCAGCAATCTTCATTACATGTGGCCTAGACCTTAAGATTTTAGACACATTCTTACAATTGTCCATGCCACCAGAGGAGTTCCCAGAATCATAAATCTATTATGTAATAAGCATTTGTTATACTGTACATGGAAAAATAATTATTTCATGGGACACTTATTCTTCACTATAAACACATTCACACTACAAGTATGGCTTACCTTGAATATCTGGGATGTGACGCATGTACTGATCTGTCTCCGAGCAGAAAATTGTAAATGCCAATCTTTTTAAGAGATCAGCACGAGTCTCATATTCAGATTCTTTGCTTGAGAAAAGATTTAGTGATCCTCCTTGAGACATGGAGACTCTACCTGAATATTTAACAAATTACAAACTATATTTAAATATATTTAGTAAATTATGTAACAACTTATTTTATTAGTTTTTATAATTTAAAAATTAATATTAAATATTAAATTTTCAGTAATATTAATACAGAGAGAGACAAATATTAACTTACTCAACAGCTCTTTAAAGACACTTTTATCATGTGTACAAAGGTAATCAACAATAGTTCGCCAGTATGTAAGTATGGGGGGAAGCATCATGAAGGCTTGTGAATCTAGCAGAAGGTCTATAACATCTCTGCGCCAAGCTCGTACAGTATATTGGTACCCAGAAAGTGACGATAGGAGCTGAGAGCATGCCGCAAAGGCTGGCATATTATTGCGCCTGAAAAATCATAGTTGTTAATACTCCTAGTGAAGTATCAATTTCTATAAGTAATCTACCAAAATATATGCAGTGAAGTATATACCATGCAGTGCTTTCACTTTAAATACAACAACAGTTATATGTTTGTATGTAACATACTTTTGCTAAAAGGCTGAATGTCATCAAATGTGTAAAGTACATTTTATTCATAAACATGGAGAACAAATTTAATTCATTTGGAACCTTAATATTGAGGATGGGATTGCACACAAAAAATCGTCCACAACTGCTCACCAGCATCAAAAACACAATGTCTATTGACCACTGTGATGCGCCGAGTTTATTGTGACATTCCCCGTGTGCATAAAATCAAATGTTTGCAAAAAAAATTATTTGATCTTTGTAAAATGATAAATTCCCTTCCCTGAATACGTACATGTAAAAAAAACTAAAAAATTCCCCCTACTGGTACTTTGGCTGTGGGGGACGTGGAGAAGGGGGCATCACGGCTGGTCGCCTGTGAGTGAAGCTCCCAGAGGCGGTCGCGCGCGCTATTCAAGCACCGCAAGTTGCAACAAATATATTTTCAATTATTTGTTCTATGTATTTCCAATGCGGTTTTATTAGATTTTTTATCGTATATGATGCATATTTGTGTTCTATTGTATACAATATGTATACAATGAACACAACCTTCATAATGTTCCATGGAACTGTGATACATGTGTCAGTAATGTGTCCACAATGAATGCTTATTGTTGCAATATTACTTGTTAAAGTCACTAAAATTACAATATGTACAGTTTCACACACTATTTACGCAGTAACACACTGTATTACACACTCAGTACTGTACTTCGGAAGTGAGTGATAATTAACGAAGAAGTTAAAGGTACACAGCGCAACTTCGCTCTCGTTGCACCAGATACAGATAGATTTTTGCTTCCTGTTCTATGTTCTGTGTGCTTGCAAATAACGCACTTACGTACACCCTTGGCTTTAGTGCCTGTACGTGGTATGTAGCCAAGCTTGTGAAGCGTAAGGTAGATTTCTTACAATCTTGAAAAGATTGTAGGAAAAAATCTATTTGTAAGGTGGTTATGAAAAGATCGTTTTGTAAGGTCCCTCAATGGAAGAGCTTCAGTTATTCTGGAAGAGATTCAGTCAATTAGGAAGTGTGTCAGCCATTCGGGAAAAGATTCAGCTATTCTTGAAAATATATATGGAAAACACCACCATGGAAGCTGCTAACAGTTCATCTATGCTACCTGTATCAGATGCATCATCACTGAATCCAGAAAACAATTCATCTATGTATCATCTATAAAAATTGGAGATGGCAAAGGTGGTGCTCTGAGCTATAAATGGATATGCTCAAAGCTACAACTGGATACGCTCACTATATCATCCTCATCCATGCTGTATCACTTGCATCCGACCTTTGTGTTAAGTACTTATTGCACTTAACTTGATCAATATCATGACCCTTATGTTCTTCAGACAATAAGGTCTAAATATGACCAACACAGAGCAATCTTTCAACACCGCGTTGGACAGGCGTTTGGGAGCCAGAGCGCCACCCATGGTTGCTCACTCAGTACTAACCCAGCCAGCAGCCCTAGGGCATTCTGGGAATTTTTTCCAAGATGGCTGCCTCTCACTAGAGGTCCCAAGAGTTCATTTCGTACACAGCCTACTGCACACGCATTTTGAACGGGTACGAAATATTCAAAATGTATTTTTTCGGTTGGCACAGTTTCCCGCCGACCGAGTTTTCTCGGTTGGAGCAGCACAGTGGTTAATGGCATTGTGAGAATGTATCATATATACACCAAAACTTAAAAATTTTACCCATTGTACTCTCTTGGAAACAAATAAAAATATAAATAAATAAATAAATAAATAACATCTCTTTACTAAGTTATTAACTGCCTCCTAACAGTTAACACTCCTGTGACAATTGTCAACTGTCAGAGCTAGAGAGATAAGGATATTTCAAACAAGTAAAGCAGCAAAATTACATTGCCAAAAATGTGGCATAAAAAAAATCCAAAACTCATCAAACATATTCATTTTATATGTATGCATACAGTATACTGACATGCATCTTTCTGGTAGAGCCCCTGTGGCTCCAAGAAGCTATCTCGCTGAGATTGCTCTGCCGAAGGTCACATCAATAGCAGGAGTTCTGTTTAGCCTACCTAAAACCAGAGCCAAAATTTTGCTCCTTCACAGAGGTGAATAGAGCAAGTGACAATTCACCACCCACACTGGGAAAGTATTCAGAAAGTCAGCAAACCTCTACAGACAATTGGAGAGTTCACAGGAAATGAATCCTTGAACCCACTAAACTTCACAAACCATTCACACAGAACAAGAGATTCACCCACACTAAATAAAAACTCATTGGTACTGATTGCCACCACCAGATGGTCCGGCCCCCTGCCCACACCCAGCTCCACTACTCGGTTCTGGAGCTGATCAACAACTCACAGACAAACCTGGATGGATGGAAGAGAATCAGGGAGCCACCAGGGCTCCACCACAAACAGGTGCTTCTTTACATTCAATGTTGGGTCTCTGTGGGAGGCTCCAGGTGGCTCCCTATAGCTAACCAACCAAAGAGAGCAAAAATGGAAAAACCAGAAAGAGGAAAGGCAGCAAGCACTAGGAAGAAGAGAACCCAAGCTGAGAGAGATGGCCCAAAGCAACAAATGACCAACTTGGACCAGGAACATTAAATACCAGATCGCCAGAGCCCTGTTATAATGCCAAGACTCCTGAGCCCAAACATCAGCCCAGGACATGTTGGAGAAGACTACAGCTGAAGCGACATATTTGTGAACACTGTGGACTCAAGGGGTAGACCACAGGCAGGCTAGACTTAATAACACTGAAGACAAACTGGGAATTGCAAGCCTTGAAACGGGACCATGGATACAGAGTTAACCAACAAGGTGCCCACCAAAGCAGAATTGGTGGTCTGCAGGTAGAGGCAAAGGGCTGCCACTGGACACAACAAATTATGCACACCAGCAAGACCAACATCAATTAAACAAACAAATATCAATCACCGAAGGACCCCTTCAGAAGTCGGCTAACTCATTTATCACCAGAAAAGAAGAAGGCTGCAAATGAACAAACAGCCCATCTGGCCCAAAGAAACAGAACCACCACCACCACCACTGCAGAAGAGTGTGAAGTTCCCCAACTCTACAGCTGGAGGTTAGAGCCAACAAAAACACAGCTTGTGTGGAAGATATCATGAACCAAAGTGGAAACTGTAAACTGAGTTGAAGAGAAAAAGATCACTCGTTCAAGACACCAGGATGACTCAGAGGTAAATTGAGCTAGCCAGAGATAAAAAAACCAGCGTTGAATGTAATGAAATGCCATTTTCTGGGCGAGTCCCAGAGGCTCCCCGGAACTATCCAGGTTGATATGTATACTGTATCCCTAAACTTTGGCATCAGTCAGTCTGAATGGAGTTCTAGGCCTACTGGGGACCACAGCCAAAACCTGGCCCCCTCATAGAGGCACGAGGAACAATGGCCTATAGAAATGCACATGGGATTTGGAGCATTCTATTTCTGCCATCGACCGGGACAGGCACAAGAAAGGTAAGCGCTTCAAAACAAACTCCTATTCTGGTTAAAAAGGACTAAAATAGACCAACTAGTGGACAGAACTCCCTAAATGAAAATGAGCAAACAAGCATGACGTCACATGAGCCGCGCAGCTCTTCCCCCAACCCTGGGAGGGGGAAGGGGGTGCCCCAGTCCCCCATACCAGTGATCCACCCACCAGTTCTGAGGCTGGATGTCAAAAACGCGCGAAAAACCGCCGACCGGAGGGAGGGAGAGTGGGAGGGTTGCTGGGGGTCCTCTGGGACTCACCCAGAAAATGGCGTTTCATTACATTCAACGAAGAGGTTCTGGGGGGAGCCTCTTCGGCTCCCCAGAGCTACTTCACCAAAAACGAAAATAGAGGGGCCTACCCGCGAGGCGGTCGGTGCTCACATCTCAACTCGAAGTCGAGACAACAGGCTGCAACAGCTGACCCAAAGCGACACAGGCCCAACTAGGTCCAGGAACATTTACGAGGTAGTGTGCAGCCAGGACCCTGTTCGGCCTGCAAAATCACATGCCCGAATGTCAGCCCAGGACATGTTACCGAAGACAGCAGCAAGCGCAGCAAACTTATGAACGTCATGGGCACAGGAATAGATCGCAGGTTGGTTAGACCAAATAACCCTGCGAACGACCTAAGAGACCCGAACCCGAGAACAGGGACGAAGGGAAACCGGATCAATCCAAAGTGCGTCCCCAGCCACAGAGGCAGTGGTGCATGAATAACGGCAGAGAGCCCGCAACCGGAAACAACATATCATACACCCCTTTTCCTGACAAACCAAGCATCATCAACCCAAGGACCCCTTCGGAAAGCAGCAGTCTCATTCTCTCATTCTTCGCCAGAAAAGAAGGAGACACCTGCAATTGAACAAACCTATCACCCTGACTAAAAAGAGCAGAAATCCATTACGAAAGCATAATTCGGGTCGCGCAAGAGGTAAACTGCAAGGGCTTCCTGCACCACATGGGATGGGACCCGGGAAGCCGAAAACCTCCGGAAGAACAGAACCGACGGGATAACGGAACCAAACCCGGGGAGGGGTAGATGCCAAATCCAATTCGTAAAAGGAGGGAGCGAAATAGAACCCCCACTCTTTGTAACACCCAGTCCTGCTTGGAGGGTATAAAAACCCAGGCGGGGTCCAACGGGGCCCAAGGCCTCCAAGTCAACCCCTCCCCCGCCCCGGGAACCTCACCCCAAGGAGCCGGGGTCGAGCCGTCCTCCAAACTGCCTGCCTGTAAAAAAAAGCAGGAGCAGCTGAAAAAGCAGGAATGGAGGAGGCCCACAGGTCAGACCCAGAAGCTCCGCCTGAAGGACCAGGCTCGAATGCCTCTGCCGCCATCCCGGAAAGGAACATCCCCGATACTGCCCGAGTGTCAACACCAACCAGACCCTGTCCCGATTCCAAAACCCTCAGACGTTTCGGAGCCGGAGAAGGAACTGGATGAACAACCGAAAGGGAAGGACAAGGAGGGGCGGACAAAACCAAAGTTGAAGTGACTCTCACCCCCCAAGTCCGGGTCCCTATAACCAAAATGAGGCAGTCTCGGGGCATCCGGGGAAGCAACCAACCTATCGCGTTGCAGCAACCTAAACCAAGCATGCAACACTTCAGCTGCCTACACCCACATATGATCAGTAGCTTGGGTGAACTGGACTGTGTACAAATAACAAATGTCGCACGACTCCGGGTCAAAAGAATCACCGACCCTACAGGCAGTATGGTGGAGGCACAACCGATGATTGTCACCTTGAGACAAGGGGACAGAGCAACCGTCCACCTAGCACGAAGCAAGAGGGGACTCAGCGGTCGCATCCATCAGACCAAGGAGCCCCCGTGGGGTTTCCAAGGGGCCCTTACCCTTTGTAACATGCTAAGGGAAGCCCAGGCAGGGTACAGCTAACCAGTGCCCCAAAACTACCAAACAGACTGCTAAAAGCTGTACCTCAGGCACGTACACACTCGTGGGGGCCTAGCGGAGGACCACCAATAACAAGAGGGTATGACCATGAGGCAGACCCTTCACCAGGCAGAGACAATAAAAAGAAAAAGAAAACCACACAAGAGGATAACATGCCCAAGTGGAACAGAGCCAGCTGCTATGAGAGGTGATAAGCTGCATTGTACCCTGCGCCCCAAAATGTGTCGAAAACTATCCCCTACCCATATTCAAACAGGGGTAAACAAAAACCCCAACTGACTCCAAGGGCAGTCTATCACCGAGCAGTAAAAGACACAGCAAAGGTATACCCCAAGGTGACTTGTGGAAGGTGGCCCCAAACCCTAAGGGCTTTACTTACAGGGCACCTAGGGAAGGAAACCCTAGGTGCATGCAGCCCGAGTACTTGAAGAATAATACTCCTGGCTCGCACACTGACCGTAGAGACAGGACCACACCAAAAGGCACAGAAAACGAGACAAAATCTGGTGCCGGAGGCAAACGACCTTGCCATCAACACATCAGCCAAGAACTGAAGGATGGATCGCCGGCGCAAGGGTCTTTGGATTCCCCTTCTCCTCCTGGGGAGGGGGAGGGGGGTTGCACAGACAGTGGCATGGCAACATGATAATGTCAAATTAGTTTGCAAATTTTCATTTGGAGAGTTCTGTCCACTCGTTGGGTTTTTAGTAATTTTCATTTGGGGAGTTCTGTCGACTCGTTCGGCTTTTGGTAGTAATTTTTTCGCCAGAATAGAGGTTTGTTTTAGGGCGTTTACCTTTCTGGATGTCAGACCCGGTCGATGGCAGACATAGAATGCTCCCAACCACACAGCGGGTTTTATAGGCCATTGCTCCTCGGGCCTCTCTGAGGGGCCAGGTTTTGGCTCGTGGTCCCCGTTAGGCAAGAACTCCATGCACATTGACTAATGCCAGGGAGCTAATATATCCACATCAGTCAGGATAGCTCCGGGAAACCGACACGGCTCCCGCCCCCCCACACAGAAAACAATGACGTTTCGGTCTGTTTTGGACCATTATCAAGAACAGATAGGCATCGAATGGCAACTATGAAGTGCCATATAAACAAGCATGTGAACCCAAGTGGATCCCGGTACAACCAACAGAATGCCCTCAGCCAAGGGCAAACACAAAGGAGTCAAAGATCCTTGAGCAGCCCAAGACTAGGCCCTCCACCACGGTAGCCTTCCTCTCAGGGCGAGTTCCCGAATACACCAAAGAAGGTAACTGTCAATGCAGGGGGCAGTATTAGTGAACTCTCGGGAAAAGAAACTCTAAGCACATGCAGCTTGAAACAACAGAAGCCATACCCACATAAGCCAGAAAAACACACACACATGAAGCTAAATACTAAAGAAAGGAACAAAATGCAAAGCAAATAGCCCCTGCAGGACAAGTTCAAAGATGGCTGGCCTTCAGCTAGAAGCAGAGGGGCTTGGCACATCTGAAAGATCAGAAGCAGTATTGGTAGAACTTTCCAACAGAACATCAACAACAAAACTGAGTAGGGCAACTAGCTGCGGGCAGGGTCCTGGTGGTGGCGATCGGTACTAATGAGTTTCGACCTAGTTTGCTTGTATCTCTTGTTTCATGAGAATTATTTGCAGAGTTGTTTGGTGGTCTCAAAGCTTCATTTACTGTGAACCCACTAATTGTCTGTAATCCTTTGCTGACTTTCTGTATGCTTTCCTGGTGTAGTAGCAAATTGTCATTCAATCTCTGTACCTATATGAGGGGGAGGTCAGGTTTTGGCTCTGGTCCCCAGTAGGTCAAACAGAACTGCAACTGATATTACTGTTTAGCTGAAGCAATCGAAGAGAGAGAGCTTCAGAAAAACTACCTCAGGGAATCACCAGGGGTCTTTCCCAAAAATGAAGCATGAGTTTTGATAATTTTGAACACATCTAATCAAAGAAAATGGTCAGTCAGATATTTGTAAGGCCAATATAGCTGATAAAGCACACACAACTTACGTATGGTTCCGTAAATATGGAACAACATGGGCCATTATGTTGGTGAGAAGAGGTACAACTTTATCCTTCTCTTCACTGACATACAAAACATCTAAAAGTGGTGCTAACAGCTCTGCAAGGACGCTGAGTGCTGCCACACTGTATACCGATGGATCTACAAATTAATGAAGCATTAAAAGTTTTTTATATTAGAAACAGATTCAGATTAGCCAAAATATATACTGCACATGAAACAAGAAAATGTTATAGGGAGTTGAATTTAGAAACGAATGAATTTTGACATTTGTATTCGCCCTTTTGAATAGTTCCCAGGAATAAATGACAATGGCATGTTTAACAAAACAACTGTGCAGTAAAGAATGCTATGTACAGTATTAATAACACATTTTAGCAAACATAAGTATATATAGTGAATGGGGCAACAGCAGAAAAACTTTTAATTGACTAGAATTGACTTGAAGTGTACAATGAGTTTGTGGAGAGAAGCATATTAAAGTGCACTCAGTAGTAAGTACAGTACCGTAGTTGAAGTCTTCAACTTACAATTGATCCCCAGGTGGGACAAAAATAGTTGGGCACATTTATTTTCACTTGATACCTCTGTTTACCTAGCAGTAAATAGATACCCAGGAGTTAGACAATAGGTACCCAGCCACGTTGCTCTGAGTATAGAGGGGGCTACGAGGGTAAGCATCCAGATGAACACCTATTAATAACAATTCCAGTTCCCAGAATAGCAGGACTACAGAAAGGTCACATGACCATATTTCCGTAGAAGACATTACCGCAGGTACGTTGGCAGTCAGGAACAGAGGTGACATGGTCAGGCAGTCAAGACGGATAAAAGGATCGGACCCAGGATAGCAGCCTCATTATACGTTGAAATGTAAGTCTCGTCCTAATCACACACTCAAGTCCTTGACAAAGCACTCAGAAGAGTGCAAAAAACTTTGTGTAAATTTCTTACATAAATTTCACAAATACACAAGTGTGGGTTTTTACCCTATGTTATTATGTCTGAGAAGATATTACCATTATTAGTTAAACAATTGTTGTGAATTTCATTTCATTCATTTCAGGTCAGTAGTTGACTGCCTTAGGGTGACCTTGATAAGCCCAAGTGCAAGCTTCCTGTCCACGACAACACAAATTACTATAATGATGTTGTTACAAAAGATTAAATATTAAATAACTGATGATTCCTTATAAAAGTTTTTCATATTCAGAGCAAACAATTATGATTGTTCATATTTTCCACAGCATTTCATAATGCAGTCATGAATGCAATCTAGACAAAAAAAATAAAAGCTACAAGCATGATGCTTGCTAGGTTTAAACAATCATGTAGAAATGCAGAATGTTTACTACTACAGAATAAAGATCAATAAAGAGAGACAACCACATGTAATGACTGTGTGTCTACCTTCAACAGCTATCATTACCACAAACATATCAGTACCCAGAAAGTGAAAAACCCAGCGCTGAATGTAATGAAATGCCATTTTCTGGGCGAGACCCGGAGGCTCCCCAGAGCTAATCCTGGCTGATATGAAACTAATAGACTTTGGTATCAGTCAGTGTTAATGGAGTTCTTAGGCCTACTGGGGACCACGCGCCAGAACCTGGCCCCCCTCAGAGAGGCACAAGGAGCAATGGCTTATAGAAATACACAAGTGATTTGGAGTATTCTATGTCTGCCAATGACCGGGTCAGGCATCCAGAAAAGTAAGCATCCCAAAACAAACCCCTGTTCTGGTTGAAATTACTACTAAAAGTCAAAACAAGTGGACAGAACTCCCTCAAAGAAAAACAAGCAAACAAGCATGACGTCACCACATTGCCGCGCCACCCCAGACCCCTTGCTCTGGAGACCCACACCTCTACTTCGAAAGCTGTATGTCAAAAACACACACACAAAAAAAAAAAAACGCCGACCGGAGGGAGGAATGCCGGGAAGCCTCCGGGTCTCACCCAGAAAATGGCGTTTCACTACATTCAATGCTGGTTTTATGGGGGGAGCCCCTTCGGCTCCCTGGAGCTACTTACCAAAAGATAAAAGCAAGAGGGACTTACCTGTGAGCCGGTCGGCACTTGCCCCTCAGTACGAAGTCGAGACAACTGGCTGCAACCGCCGACCCAAGGCGACAAAGGCCCAATTAGGTCCCGGAACACTGACTAGGTAGCGCGCAGCCAGGACCCTGTTCAACCACCAAAAACCCCACGCATGAATGTCAGCCCAAGACATGTTACCAAAGACGGCAGAAAGAGCAGCAAACTTATAGACCGCAGGCTGGCTAAACCGAATAACTCTGCAGACGACCTGCGAGATCCGAACCCCTGGAACAGGAAGAAGGAAACCCTGATCAACCCAAAGCCCATCCCCAGACACAAAAGTTGTGGCGCGCAAATAATGGCGGAGAGCCTCAACCGGACACAACACATGATGCACCTCCGGCCTGACCAACCAAGCATCAACAACCCAAGGATCCCTCAGGAAAGCAGCCGTCACATTCTTCGCCAGAAAAAGGAGACGACTGCAAACAAACCTATCACCAGAGCCAAAAGAGATGAAACCCCTGGGCCGGAGGAGAGCATAAAGCTCCCCGATCCAACTCCCAGAAGTCAATGCCAAAATGAAAAAGAGACTTGGAGAGAGAATCCTGAACCGAAGGGGCCACTACAGTACAAACTGCTGGGAAGAGAGATAAGAGAGCACATTGTCCAAGGACCAGGATGGCTCAGGCTGTGCATGAGCAGGCAGAAGGCGAAACAACGCCCGAGACAGCTTGCGAAATGGCACAGAAGTAACATCAATGCTGAAAGCAAGCTGCAGCGGCTTCGCCAGTGCCACACGATACGAGTAGACAATATTCGGCATAAGATGACGGTCCTGAAACAGCCACGAGAGAAAGGACAAGACCATCTGAACAGAAAGAGAAGTACACCTACGAAGAGACAAAAAGAAACGGAAGGACCACCAGGAAACTTCATACTGCCACCGAGATGAAGCACAGAGGTGGGACACCATTAACGAAGCCATCTGATTACCATACAAATAGATGGTAATAGACCGAGTGAAAAATGCCAGATGCCAATGCAAGGCTCTCGGAGGCCGAACCCAGCGGTCGCGAGAGAGGCGAAAGGGATGTCCTCGAAGGAACCAGAACAGCCGACGAAGCCAGCCCCCAACCCAGCGGGTAGGCCATCACAGCAAAGTTCAGGCTCCCGCACAAACTCTTGAGCAACCACCAAGTGACCCAGGAGCCCCCCCAGAAACAAGTGAAGGCGGGAGCGCAGCCGAAGCAATGACTCCGGAGAGAGAGAGAACAAAACGGTCTGAGAGTCCCACATAAGACCCAGCCAAGTCCGCACTTACCCCAAGGTAAACAAGGGAGGAGGAAACCCCCTAACACTCCCAGGGTAGTCAGTTACCAAGCAGCAAGAGACCAACAGAGGTAGACCTCAAGGTGACTTGTGGAAGATAACCCCAAGCCCCAAGGACGGTACAGTATTTACAGGGCACTCAGGGAAGGGAACCCTAAGCACATGCACCCAAAGTACCTGTGAATATTACTCCTAGCTTGCACGCCACCGTAAGAGTAGTACTGGACACAAGGCACAGCACAACACACACAGAATCTAGAGCTGGAGCCACACAACCGAGCCAAAATCACATCAGCCAAGAACTGACAGGTGGATAGCCGGCGCGATGGGTCTAGGGCTCCCCCTTCCCCATCCCGGGGAGGTGGGAGCTGCGCTGACAAGCGGCGCGGCAAGTGTGGCGTCCTGCATATTGGCTCTTTTTCATTTGAGGAGTTCTGTCCACTCGTTAGCTTTCAGTAGTAGTTTTAACCAGAATAGGGGTGTTTTGAGGCACTTGCCTTTCCGGGTGCCTCGCCCGGTCGATGGCAGACATAGAATGCTCTAAACACGCGTGCACTTCTGTAGGCCATTGCTCCCTGTGCCTCTCTGAGGGGGCCAGGTTCTGGGTCGTGGTCCCCAGCCCCCTAGAACTCCATTCACACTGACTGATGTCAAAGTCTACTAATATACATAAAAGCCTGGATAGCTCCAGGAAGCCAAAGGGGCTCACCCAGAAAATTCCAAAATAAAATAGGAAATGTCTTACCATTTACACCATCCTTTTTCTCTAGGAAGCTCTCTGCTTTCACAGTGAGGTTTCTCCTTAACCAGGTGGTGGGCTCAAGACCAGACCCAGCAATGTTACTGCATGACTCCAGTAACTTACTTGATACTTCCTGAGTAGGGAAGGATTATAGGAGAGAACTTAGCATACAAATACACAGCTAAAATTAATTATACTTTACAAAAATTCACAATGTGATAATATTAATATTTTGACAAAACGCAATATTGGATGAAATGCTAGTGGCTAGTGATGTAAGTATGCAGTAGAGCAATTGACCTCAACAACTCAGGAAAACACTATCATGGAGGAAGAAAAATGTAATGCCCTTTTACCAGACTGATTTTTCTTTTCATGAGCTACACACACACCCTAATTATGATAACTGGTGGCCTTGCTCAAGAGTCTTCCACAACAATATTAAAATATTATTTTCCTATTACAGCACATTTTTTTTCCCAATACTCATGCCTCTTTTCACTAAAAAGCACTGTGTACCATAAACACTTATAGCTTCAAATAAATTTCCACAAACCTGAAGCTCCTTTATATCCTTCTTCTCTTGTGGCAATGAAGCTCGTTGAACAAACTCATTAAGAGTAGCAAGCAGAAGAAGCTGTGCTGGAGGAGTGAGAGACAATGTTCCTTCCTTAACCATAGTGAGCAGTGATCCCCAGCACTCACCAAGCTGGGAGCCAGGGCACTGCTGGACATACACATAGAACACCTGTAGCACACTCACTTCCAGAGGTAGAGTCTGTCAATAGGAGTACAGATATAATTACATTTACTGCATTTTCCAAATTCTGTATTTACATATGGAGAAAATTATGCATATCAAACCTAATGAATATAGGCATTGGTTTAGAATGAAGTACATGGATACACTGATCATTATGCAAAGCTTATCTTATTTCAGCCATGGAAGTTAACTTATGATTCAGTAGTCTGTCCAATTTATGCTAGGTGACAACATGGACTGCTTGCAGACAAATAAAAACCGAGATCATTAATCTGTTTTTACATAGTTGATGTTCGATTATACATGGGAGTCCTGCTTATAAAAACAGATTCATAAGACTTTTTTTATCACAGAATAAGAACGTCTGTTGCATCTGAACATTGACATTCTTTGCTATACTTTACTGTATTTGCCTTAAATATTTGTAGGGATATTTTTACCACAAATTATAGAACAAATTTTTGCACATTTTTACATATATTTTGAATATCAAAATATATGTACAGTACTGGTAATTAAAATGATTTTACATTTTTTTTACCTTGCTCTAGGGCTGTTGTTCATAATGCGCTATACTGTCTACAGAATAAAAATTATTTAAACCCACATTCCATGGATGTGGCCAGGAGAACCTGATTACACAGTTTTCACTCTCATCACTGACTCTTACCAAAGGGAAGAGGGTGGGAGCGAGCACATTTTTCTTTGAACACCTACATATTTGGAGTTGAGGTACTGGTGCTCTTATACCCACAGGAAGTGCTTTGCCTGCTACTGCAACCCCTTTTGCTAAGAGCAAGTAGTCCCCACCCTATTTGGGAAGGGGGACTGCTTGCTACAGCTATGATGCTGAACTGTTGCATTTGGGACACATCATGGCTGTGGTTGATCCTCTCAAGGACCCATTCATGGAGGGCCCCAGTCCCACCATGGTGTAAGGACATCAGGCTAAGGCCAGGGATTCTTCAGCAACATAAACAATGTCACAGGGGACTATTCTGGACTTGGTTCCCTCGTTTCCATTGAAATATGGCAAGTCTTGACGGAAGTCTACCCAACTCTGAGTTTAGCTCTTGGCTCTGAACAGGTTTCTGTGCTCTTTTGCTCATCATCAGCTCATGCATCACTATGTCTGAGCCTTCAAGGCCTTGAAGATTCTCCTACTTAGGTGGTTTCCCATGGGGAGTGCTGTGCCACCCCAAGGTGTGCCTGGCATTCCATTAGAGCACAGTAATACTGAAAAGTGTACACTCTTCAACTTTGTCATCTCAATTCTCGTTCTAGGTATTTCAATTTGATATAAATGTGTTTGCAATAGAATTCTCTACAGGATTAAATGCATAAATAGTCCAAAAGCCCGGCATACCACCCACACAAAACAGAGAAAGTGAGAGCGTATTACCCGGGAGCACAATAGCAATAAAATGTGTATACTCTTTTCACTTTGGTCACCTAAATTCTTGCCCTAGGTCTTTCATTTTGGTATCATTGTGTTCGCAATAGAATTCCCTACAGGAGTATCTGCATATATAATGTCCAAATGCCCGGCGTACCACCCACAGCAAACAGAGAAAGTGACAACGTGTTACCCCGGTGAGCGCTCATCAAGAGCAATAAACTGTGTATACTCTTTTCAACTTTGTTATCTCAATTCTCATCCTAGGTCTTTCATTTTGGTATCATTGTATTCACAATGAAATTCCCTACAGGAGTAGGGAATAGAGTATATAATGTCCAAAACCGCAGCGCGCCCCTCCCACAACCAAGTGCGAAAGCAGGTCAAATTTTTTTAATTTTTTACACCATACTGTGTCGTTAACAAGCGGAAGTGTTAAGTTCATATTTCAGTTCACTAATAGTTTGTCTGCCATAATCCATTTGAGCAAGTTTGCACCATCTTGCCTTGCTTGACTGCACTTAATGATTTTAAAGAGATGATGGAAACTCACCTTTAAGTGCAAATGAGTGAACAAGATCAGTCACATATTTTGGGATGCAAATAAAGTATTCCTAACAGTCACAGAGTGGTGTAACTTTACTTGAGCATCTGAACACACATGCCAGCACCATTATCAATGTTTACCATGTTATCTAGCTGCCCATTCAGGCAAACAAAAAGTTGTTTAGCTTACCTTAAGACATAATCTGAATCACGTTTCTTGCATGTTACACAGATTTGAGTTGTCAGGTTTGAATTAGTAAGATTCCATTATTCTTATTCACTGAGGAATTCTACACAAGTTAAAAAATGGAAAGAATTCCCACCTGTTTTGATCCATCAACAATGGGTGGTTGTTTAACCACTTGCTTGACTGTTGCTACTAATGTGTGCAATGGCAGCACTCGCAGTAATGCCATCATTTCCACCAGTGCCAGCTGCTGAGGGCACCCACTCCACAGAAGACCACCAACTCCACTTTGTTTATTATGAGTGTTGTTGCCATTATTACTGGGAGAAATGGAAGCTTCTGTTGCAGCTATTCCAATGCCCTGCAAAATATTCTTACATCAATAGATGAAACCTGTACAATAATAAATTTTATTAGCAACACCTATATAACCATCACAACACTGTGCTTAGGAGCTTATGATTATCTCTGATCCACACAATTTTGAACCAGGAAATAAATAAATGCTTATATGATACTGATGTAACATTTAACTATATAAATTTTACTTTTTACATTCTATTTCTTATACACAAATGATTAATTTAAAAGGATGGATCATACTAAAATTTCCTTATGACATTTGATGTTAAGGATACATATTTCTATAAATCCATTGTTAAACCAGACTTTGTACTATTTTGTTAAGGGTCTTATGGAAAAAATTGTATTACAGAACCAAGAATTGTATTATATAAAAATTAAAAATTAACTTAAGAAATGATGTATAGTATTGTAGTGTAAAATGTTTGAGTTCATTAAAATTATCTAGTACAAAACTATGGACATAAAAGAAAGTCTCAAAGTGTTTATATGAAAAAGGAGCAACTTTAGGCCTCATTCTCAATGCATCCAAATGTGACATAGTCTCTCCCCAACTCAGCCATCATTGGCCAAATAAATAACTGTTCTTCCAGACATTCTCTTTGTCCAGCCGCCTGACTGCACCATTCTGGGTGCCCCCATTGGCCTTCAAGCAATATAAGAGGTCACAGATGCAAAATCACTGACCTAAGAAGGATGCTAACAGGATTGACAAGATTAATGCTCATGATGATCTCTTCCTCCTCACAAGATGCCTATCCCTTCCTTAGTTGACGTACTTTCCGAGGTGTTCTCCATCCTACAGCAGCCCTAAATTAAATTAGTATGACACTCTTCTGAAGTCCTTGCCGGAGGAAGTCCTGAACCTCCCATTGGATGGCTCTGAAAGGGAGCAATCAAATCTCCCTGCAGGATTCGGTGGCCTTGGCGTGCACAGCCGCCCAGATCGCTCTACCAGCCTTCCTTTTCTCCTCCCATGCATCGAACGACCTTGTATGAAATATCCTACCAGAACCTGAGTGATTCAGCAGGGATACATGATTCGGCTTTCATTGAATGCTAAAATCAGTGGGATGCCCTTGCAGCCACAGCACTCAAGAAAAATCCAACAAAAAACACAAACAGTCCAGCTGGGACAGCCCAATAGTGGAAAAAAAATAGCTGATGCCATGTTAAGTGCTGCAACATCAGATAAGGAGAAAACCCGCCTCAGAGCAGTGTGTCCCCATGCAGGGACTTTTTGACAGTACCCACGTCAGCAAAAGGCACGCGTCTAGATCCAGAATCCCACCACGTAGCAGTGGCCCTCTGCCTTGGTGCTCTTATTCACACTGAATACAAGTGTATTTGCAACAGGGAGGTAGCAGACCAATATGGACTACATGGGCTGCACTGCAGGAGCTCCAAGGGCTGGCATGCAAGGCACAACAAGGTTAATAACAAAAAGGAGCCTTGCCTCAGCTCGGCCCAGCAGAGAGAGAATCTCACTTCCTAACAGACCAAAACCCAGACAATCCTGCATTTGCCCCCCCCCCCTATCCCCAGATGGCATCACAATATACCCATGGAAGAGGGGCAAACAGCTGGTGTGGAACTACACGTGTATCTTTCCTCATTGACATCTACACACACTTCGGTGCTGATCAAGCAGGTGATGTGGCCAACCACAGGGAAAGAGCAAAATCAATCAAGTACAGGAGACTGGAAGGTCAATATACCTTTGTTCCCATAACGTCTGAAACGCTTGGCCCCTAGGGTAGGAGTTCCATGGACTTTCTCAAAGAATTGAGTTCCAGGTTCATTGACATCACCAGAGATCTTAGAGCTGCCAGTTTCTTGTTTCAGTGCCTCAATGTGGTGATCCAGAAGGAAAAATGCCTGCTGTGTCCTCGGTTCCTGTCCGTAAACAGAGGAGCTCCAAGAGATCCATAACTTTTAAGCACTCGTTGCATTAACTAATGTACAACTTGTAATCTTTAAATATCTAATAAAGCACAAAAAAACATAAAAAGAAGGGGGGGGGGGGTGATAGAACAAAAAAAACATGGAAACTCATCCCATTTATAGGATGGGACCTAAAAATCCCCTCTAATGCATTTTGTGTGCTTTTCACCGAGGCATAGATATCCGAGCTGTGCAGCACCGTGCGCCTCAACCAGCAACAAACACTCCCTAGCCAGGGCCAAATGAAAGCACCAAGACCCCCGCTGACCCAAAGAGCAAAGTCAATGCCAAGCGACAGCAACCCCTACGGGAGTGAGAACCTGAAATCCCAAGGGAAGACAACTTCGAGACCCAAGGGAAGTACTTACAGGGTGCCTAGGGAAGAGAACCCTAAGCACATGCACCCCGATGTACAGCTTTCTCCTGGCCACTGCACCACACACACAACAGATACAACCACAAGGACAAAATTCTGACAGGATATTGGGGCCAGAGGTAACGTCAGCCCCAGCTGGCTTCAGTGGGCGAACTGGTGGGCGAGCAGCTGGCTCGGGTGAGTGGGCCCCCCCCTCTCCTCCTTCCAGGGGTTGGGGGGGGGGCCTGCAGAGCGTCGGTTTTATAATGTTTTGCTTGTTGCATTGTTTTTCTTGGAGGGAGTTCTTGGGCTCTGTTTGGTCTTGGGTTGCAATTTTCTACCAGTTGGGGTTTGTTTTGGGATGCCTAACTTTCTGGGTGCTTAACCCCAGTCAATGGCAGACATGAATATACTCTCAAAGAGTGGAGTTTCCATACTCCATTGCTCCCTGCGCCTCTCTGACGGAGCCAGGTTCTGGCTCAGTTCACGGTAGGCAGAACTTCATGTGACTGAAGCCCCCAGACTAATATAGCATATATCAGTTCGATAGCTCTAGGGAGCCTCTGGGGGCTCCCCACAGAAAAACCTGGTAACTGTACTCTGAATATCTTGCTTATTTGAGACATTCTGATAATTTCAAAATGTTCATCAATGTGAGGATTTGTTAAAATGAAGCTTCATTAAAATGAGGTTTTACTATAGCAAAAAGTTAAATAATTAAGCACTGCAAACAAAAGGTCTAAAAGTACAAGTAAGCCAAGCATAAGAATAATGAAAACTAATTAGGTTTCAAAGATCTTATTAAATGAACTATGATGATCTTACTTTATGAAGAGTAATAAATTGGAGGGAAAAGTAGGTGTACAACCTGGAAACCAGTTTCAAAATCCTACAAACATATTGATGTTATAAAAGCAAGAAATGTGAGAGTAAATAAAGATTATAATGTTTTAAAGACAGCTCGCTGGGAAATCAACGAGATTTGTTGAAGTCTGTAGTTGGAGTTTGGTGAATCTACCACAATGAAATAATAAGGAATGATTTGAAAAGGCTATATAAATGGTAAGGTTGAAGAAAAAGTAATAAACAGTTTAAAAATGCATCAAAAGACAAGGGGCCAGATTCACGAAGCAGTTACGCAAGTACTTACGAACGTGTACATCTTTCCTCAATCTTTGATGGCTTTGGTTACATTTATTAAACAGTTTACGAGCATGAAAACTTCCCAATTAACTGTTGTTATTGATATAAACAGTCTCCTGGTGCTTCGGAGCTCATTAACTGTTTAATAATTGTAAACAAAGCCGCCAAAGATTGAGAAAAGATGGACAGGTTCGTAAGTGCTTGCGTAACTACTTCGTGAATCTGGCCCAAGAAATTTAGCATTCATTGGTGTATGGTAAAGAGCTGAAACAAGGACAGTACAGTATATTGGAGATACTGAATTTCCAACTAACCACGAGACATGAAAGGGCAATGAGATCACATGGATAAGTAGAGATGCTATTTATCTTATAAATGATCTTCAGTATTCATTAATAAATTTAAACACTAAGAAGTTAATTCAAAATCAGTTCAATTACACAAAATTATTTTGAATTCTCACCTGCCACACCACACTGACAGCTGCCAGGAGATGTGGGGTTTGATGATGGCAAATTGGTGAGAGAAGTTCCACTATTTGCTGTCTAACTCCTCGTCTACTACCCAACACGAAGGCCGACTCCTGATCATCTCCTGTTGCAGCCCAGAGGGAAAGTAATGAAGAAATAATTCGAGGCAAGTGGCAGAGAATTGTGTGGCGGGCACAAGCTGGTGGATCCAAGCCACTGCTATCAACAGGTGCATCCATTATTTCCCCTACAGGGGAGAAGACGTGAAGAAGGTTATACAAGATCTGTCCAGCACTCTGACTTGTTGGAGACACAACTGATGTTGAAGTAGATGAAGAAGACCCAAATGCTGGTGACTGTGTTGGGTCTAGGAGACAGTAATGAACTGTCATAGTAAGACACTGCAGCAAAGTCAGTGTGTAGTCTGGAGGTGCCTGTGGAGATGGAGCACCAGGAAAGTAGTAATGAGCCATGCACTCCAGTAGTTCACATACTAAATATGTTACACGTAGGCTGTTATTAGGCAGTGATGGACCCATATGAGGTAATGCAGCTGTAAACAAATGTAGCCATGATCCATGAAGGTGGCGTAAATGATGCTGTTTCAGAGCAACAGTCAGCACCTCCATAAACATAGGTTGTGCTGGAATTGGTTGTCCTGGTTGATATTTGGTAGCACTGAATCCGGAATATTTCATACTAACACTTGGTGGATCACGGATCCCTCCGCTATCAGCACGGTCAGTTGCCAGGGTATCTTCTAGGCGAACTAAAGCAAGAGTAAGGTCAATGATTCTGGCTAAATAGGTTTCTTGATGTGGAATGGTACCCGACTGGCCTGGGTAGCCACAGTTATAATCAAGAACTTCTTCTGTGAAGGTACGTGTCTCCTGGTTTACACATAGTTTTTGTTCTGAAGATACTGCTGCTCCAGTGGAGGTCATTGCATGTACAGTGGAAAGTAAGCAATGCAGCACACATTTCTGCACTTTACACTTACTTAGCAAATCAGTGATATATGGTGTAAAACCACGAGGTGAATCAGTCACTAAAGGGGACAAGTGAGTGAAAATAAGAATGAGAACTTCTGCTGATGCTACCTGGACTTCCTGGTTATCTTGCAAGTGTTCATCTCTTAGTCGCAAGTGTGGAAGGCATGGGTAGTATGAGCGCAGGTAATAAAGGCACACAGTGATTACTACTTGCAGATACATAGTAGACCGAAATTGACTCACCATATCAGTCACATTTCCACCATCAAATCCATCGCCAAAAACAGAGCGACGATGTCTTGCCAATAATATTATCAATGGTGATGTTGACTGCAATGTATTAATGCTTGTTGATGCAAGGGCCAAGAGGGAATTTTTAGGCTGCGCTTCAATAATATTACGAATTAACAACAAACCATTTAGGCACTGTCCACTGTCAACAACCTGCATATACAAAAGCATATGAGAATGGAATGGATGTCTAGTTAACTCAGGAATATTTCCATCACTTGTAATTGATTGAGATATTGTGTCCTGTTCACTAGAACCATCACTCTCGGGATATTTATGATGGGAGTTTACTACCGCATCTATCACATCCTCCAAAATACTTTTGATCATCTTTGCTGGTGTCCACTCTTCATCATCATCATCTTCAGTATCATCATCATCATGAAATCTAGCTGGTGAAGCATCACTGTTTAAGTCATCTTGAAAATTAGTTGTAGGTGATTTCTGATAATTTCCATTTTGTATCCGGACTGCATTAGAAAGATTTAGTGGTTTATTCATTTTGGCAAGATCTTCCATATCTATCCATGGATGCTGCATGAAAGGGTTTACCATAAGAGAAATAGATGACTGCAACTGTGGCTGCTCATGACTAGATGGCAATTCAAACTCAGTAAAATCAGCATGGTGAGTAACTACTCTCTTGCTATCTTTGGATATAGATGTGAAGGCTAATATGTGCTTAGCTGGTGTAGATATTGGCTTTCCTCTAGTCTGAGGTTGTCTTCCTTCTTTGCTCACGTGATACATGACCTCTCCACCTTCAGAACTAATAGCATATATCTGGGATTCTTCTATGATACATTTGTTTCCCTGGCATTGTTGTGTAGGTGGTAATTTCTCAATATTAACATGTTGCACACTAACTCTACGAGTGTGAGGATGAAGCAGCAGAACTAGAATTGGATCAATTAATCGAGCAGTGTCACTACGTTGCAAAGCCGTGGCAAGCCAAGCATGGGCAAGGCTACGTTCAATGCCACTGTCCCCACGTAAACGTTCAACCATTAAAAACAAACATCTGAAAAAAGCAGGTGCTATTAGTACTTAAAATTCTTCGATATTCTTATACACATTATTAATTATGAGGATATTAAGAGGTCATAAATTAAACACTGTAGGTATTCACACAGAAATCACAATAGTGTGATGCATCCAATGAACAACTCCACAAGGGACGTGATGAGGGTTCAAACTTACGCCCGGGATGATCCCAGACGCTGCCTTAGTCGGCTAAGGCATCATCTGGGATCATCCCGGGCTTAAGTTCGAACCCTCATCATGACCCTTGTGGATTTGTGCACTGTAGGTATGTCTTAACACAATAATTATAATCAGCCACTGTATTAATATGATACATTTAGTATGATACATTTAATATGATACATATACCTTACCTAGCCTGACTTTGTCCAAGATGATGTCTTTCGCTCTACTGGTTAAATAATGCTCTCATCCATAAACGTTCCCAACTTCTCAGTAAATTCTCCAAGTACTTATGTAAGCATCTACCTCAATCTTAGCAAAAGCCTACTCGTTTGTACTATTATATCAATTATCTTTTAATTTAATGGTGATTTATTTAAGATTAATCATTAATTAATATCAATTAATTAAGATCATTAATTATATGACACAATTAAGCTAATTACCCATTAAGAACAAGGTGGATGGGATGGGGTGTAAGAAGGGGGGTAATACTTTCATGCAAACTGCATGTATTGCGAAGACGAAAAAGAAGAAGGGTAATAATGGATATAAGAATGGGAACATAAGAATAAGAGAAAGAGAGAAAAAAGGGGGGGGGGGTTGCTTCTGTTAGGTAAACAAAATTTCTTTCATCCCAAACCTGTTTTCAACACTAGTACCACTGCGTTCTGCCTTTCCTTCATATCTGAACTCAAATTCTCACTAATACCCTTCGTCCTCTTGACATAAGGCTCGTCTTTCAACAAACTAACACTCTTCGTAGTAATCTGGTTCACACTGCTCCTCCTGCTTCTAATGCTGAGCGTAGCATAGATTTTGAAAGAGAAATTGACAATATGCCCATGCACTCAGCCCCAGGTCCAGACTCATGGGATTCAATATTTATAAAGAAATGCAAAGTGCCAGTAGCACAGGCACTCAGTATAATATGGAGGAAGAGATTGGACATGGGAGAGATACCAGATGCGCTGAAAGCAGCAGACATAGCCCCTCTACACAAGGGAGGTCGCAAAACATTGGCAAAGAATTATAGACCAGTTGCACTAATGTCCCACATAATAAAAGTACTGTATTTGAGAAAGTGATCAGGAGTCAGGTCACTAGATTCATGGAAACCAATGACCTCCACAATCCAGGCCAACATGGATTTAGAGTGGGAAGATCATGCCTCTCACAACTACTTGACCATTATGACAAAATCACTGAGGAATAAGAAGAAAAACAGAATGCAGATGTTGTATACACAGACTTTGCAAAGGCATACGACAAATGTGACCGTGGAGTGATTGCACACAAAATGAGATCAATGGGAATAACTGGCAAAGTAGGACGCTGGATACTCAATTTCCTGTCGAACAGAACACAAAGAATAACAGTCAATCAAATAAAATCGAGTCCGAGTGCAGATAAAAGCTCTGTACCTCAAGGTACAGTCCTTGCACCACTACTGTTCCTTATTCTCATATCAGATATAGACAAAAATACAAGTCACAGCTTCGTGTCATCCTTTGCAGATGATACAAAAATCAACATGAAAATTACCTCTGCTGGAGACATTGAAAAACCACAGACAGACATTAACAAAGTTTTCGATTTGGAAGCAGAAAATATCATGATGTTTAACGGTGATAAATTCCAGGTACTCAGATACAGCAAAAATGGGGATCTGAAACATAATACAGGATACAAAACACTATCGAATCTGCCCATAGTAGGAAAACAGCATGTCAAGGATTTGGGAATAATGATGTCTGACGACCTAACGTTTAGGGAGCATAACCAAGCAAATATTGCATCAGCCAGAAAAACGATAGGATGGATTACGAGAACCTTCAAGTCTAGAGATTCCATCACAATGGTTGTACTCTTCAAATCACTTGTTTTGTCCTGTCTTGAGTACTGCTCAGTACTCACTTCCTCCTTCAGAGCAGGAGAGATTGCTGAACTAGAGGGAATACAGAGAACATATACGGCACGCATAGACAAGATAAAGCACCTAAATTATTGGGATCGTCTCCAAGCTCTCCAAATGTACTCACTAGAAAGGAGACGAAAGATACCAAATAATATACACATGGAAAATACTGGAGGGACCGGTCCCAAATCTACACAGTAAAATAACAACGTACTGGAGTGAACGATATGGAAGAAAATGCAGAACAGAATCAGTGAAGAGCAGAGGTGCCATAGGCACAATCAGAGAACACTGTATAAACATCAGAGGTCCGCGGTTGTTCAACGTCCTACCAGCGACTGTTAGAAATATTGCCGGAACAACCGTGGACATCTTCAAGAGAAAACTTGACTGTTTTCTAAAAAAAAGTGCCGGACCAACCGGGCTGTGATAGGCATGTGGGCCTGTCGGCTGCTCCAAGCAACAGCCTGGTGGACCAAACTCTCACAAGTCAAGCCTGGCCTCGGGCCGGGCTTGGGGAGTAGAAGAACTCCCAGAACCCCATCAAGCAGGTATCAAGCAGGTATCTAGCTGGTGTCTACTCTATTTCCTGTTTGTCTTGTCCTCTCCAATACTTTGGGGAAATTGGTCGTACACTAAATGACAGACTTAAGGAACACAAAAGTGTTAAGTCTGCAGATATAATCAATGCTCTCTCCTGTCATGTTAGGGATTCTAATCATCCTATTGATTGCTCTCTTCTAAAATAATCTTTCCCACCTCTACTCTTCACATATGCTGTCTTGTCGAATCGGCTCCGTTACACAACATACCCAACATGAACCTAGTCCTGGCTTTGTTGCTGTTGACTCCATCCTTTCACAGTACACACTCAAATGCTTTAATCTTTCAAACAAGCATGACCTAACATAAGCCTAACCCCCCTTTTTTTTTCTCCTCTTAATTTTACATTCCCATTCTTATACTCATTATTACCCCTTTCTTACACCCCATTATTACCCCCCATCCCATCTGCCTTGCTCTTACCTTCCTCTAGATTTTTCCTCCTCATCTCTCCCTTGCATTACTTAACCCTTAAACTGCACATGGCATACATATACGACAGAACCTGCTAGTACCATAAGTTCAATTTCTCAAGCTTGCTCAAACACTTTCCAATTTTTTGTGAACAATGTACTAGCAAATCTTGCAACCTTGTCTAAATGATCACAAACGTAACTTGAAAAATAAGAAGATAAAAAATAATTATAAAATTTAATATTGAAAACTTCAGATTTTCAAATCGGCTGCAAAAATGTAAAATATCACCAAATGTTCATTTGGTGTTATCATGCTCTCAGAATAGCATATGATCTTCATTTTCATAGATTTAGAATATAGGCTTTCAGTTTAGTTTACTGTAAAAAAATCGTCAATGTGTCATTTGAAATATGCACCAAATTTAGACAAAAAAAATTATAACTCCAAACGTTTATGGTTTATGAAAAATCCATTTTAATAGTACTGTAGAACAGACAGCTGTGCACGCTATATGTAATAATGATGAGAATCGGTCAGAATCTGGATTTTTTGAAGCCGACTCATTTAAAACTCTAGTTTTAGAGATAATTGAAGTTGAAGTTAACGACAATGAATAAGACAGTTCTAATTCATTTATTTACTTGAATGTTTTAATAAATAATGTTTGGCATTTATACTCGAATATGTGAAAGTTGTAGGTCAATGTGTGTTGGAATGAAGTCAAGAAAAAATAACCCACCAAAAAACCAGCATTGAATGTAATGAAACGTAATGTAATGAAATAATAATGTAATGAAATCTTGATCTGAAACTTTTCCTTGATAGATGTAATAGAACCCATGAGCACCATACCAGAAATAAATATATCTTTGAAATCCCCAGTCAAACTAAATCTGTGCAAACACTCCATGGAAATAAAAGGACCCAGTCTATGGAACTCGCTTCATAATGAATTAAAAAATTGTCCAACCTGTGCCTTATTTCATCCTCAGTTTCCTACCTTGTGCTTCAAACTCACACTGTATCTTGTTCTACCCACTTCCCCAATATTAGTACTTAACACATCTTAACCAGTGTAATCACCTCTGTCAATTTATATTGTAGTTAAATATTGATATATAACTTTACTACAATGTACCTTTTCATCTTACCTGATATGTTAGATTAAGGACCTGCCTGAAATGCTGTGCGTGTTAGTGGCTTTGCAAGAATGTACAAATACCAATCTTATGTAATCTCATGAACCCATTGTATCGTCTTGTGAATAAAGATTATTATTATTATGATGATATAACTGTATGTATACACCAAATCTTTAACAAAATCTCATGCCTGTTCTTACAAATAAGGATCATTATGACTATAAAAGATTTGACATTTCCTGGCTTCATCCTTTATTCTTTTACTGCAGATAATTTCACTATCATTATGTATATCAATACTTCTCCTGAAGTTTCTCTTTATATGTCTCTGAACTCTACAAAACTGTATTATTTCCAGGTATGGTGGAAAGAAAACAGATTACCTATCAAACCCCGGACGTTTTCCTGAGAAGCCAGACGAAAGAGTACGAGACACCTGCCACAAGGTCATCCACTGCTGCATGGATTTGCTGTTGTATTCTGCCCTAATGCCTTCATGACTCCATACAACCCCAATCTGATGATTAACACAACATTTTTTATTGGCAAGGTATATGTAAAGTATTATGTTTGATTTTCATTATTCATACACAGTATATCAATCTCTCATTACAGTATTCATCTACATATCGTTATGAATTAACATTTTTTTTTTAATTCACTTTTATCTTATTCCCATCATTTTGTTTTCTTACCTAATCCTTCAACAGTCTAATATGTACAATACCCTTCAATCATTAAATTTTCTTATGGGTTTTCCTTTCATAATAATCATATTGAGACAACAAACTACTGCTATCATTTCTTACAGTGTGATAACAACATATACTCATAGATGGATATAACAATAACAACAATATTATCTTAATTTTTAAAACCTCCACTTAAATATTTATATACACAACTACAAACAGCTAATCATAAATTAACTATTAAAGTTTTATTTAAAATAAAATAAAACAAAGTGCATTTATTTTTTCCATATATTTTACATAGATTATTAATACAGTAAATGTTTGAATAAAAACAATACCATACCATATCATACCTTTTCCCTGGCAGAAGAAATCTGAACTGGACAAGTCAAAGCAAGAAGAATTTGCCTCTCAACAATGGAAATTGATGACTGTGGCGGAGCAGATGTTAGAGTTGCACTGGAGCCATGAGGTAGTGTCAAATTATGCAACTGAATTAGCAATTCTGTACTGGTTACATGGAAATGACTCGTATTGGGTCTCAGGTAACTCCACAGTTGTCGTGCCGTGTGCTAGAAATTTATGCAGTAGATAAAAGGTAATAGTATTTGTGAAAAGAGTAATTGCAACATAATACAATTGCCAATATTGTACTGTAGTGGTATTTGATGAATGTTAAATCTCTTACAATTATCATATCAATTTTGTACAATCATTATCATCAAATGGATGTGATGTGTTTCATTTGACAAATACTGTATAAATCTTTCACTCACTATACATTATTAGCCATGAGAATATTATTTTAAGGCAATGGGGTGGCTTAAACCAGTGTTCTGGTGATTCCCAAACACCTGACTTAACCTAATCAGCCACGATAGGACAAAAGCCAACTCAACTCAACTTGGTGGGCCTCGTAGCCTGGTGGATAGTGCGCAGGACTCGTAATTCTGTGACGCGGGTTCGATTCCCGCACGAGGCAGAAACAAATGGGCAAAGTTTCTTTCACCCTGAATGCCCCTGTTACCTAGCAGTAAATAGGTACCTGGGTGTTAGTCAGCTGTCACGGGCTGCTTCCTGGGGGTGGAGGCCTGGTCAAGGACCGGGCCGCGGGGACACTAAAGCCCCGAAATCAACTCAAGATAACCTCAAGATAACCCAGAACAATTTTTGTTGAACCAATCCTGTTTCCTGGTTCTGCATCTCTGCTTTGGAATAAACTTTTTGTGCCTATCATATATTTCACAAAACTTGACATACATCTCATTTACTTCCTTGCCTAGCAACAAGTCTGTAATATGCTTGTGTGTATGTTGGTATGAGGAAACCAGTAGGAGCAATGAGGAGGATTCCGAGGTTACATTGCTATTACTGTACTCACCTAGTGGAGATAGGCGAGTACAGTAAAAGCTGTGTTGAGTACAGTGGGTACTGTATTGTAGTATAGTGGTCTAGGGTGCTAGGTTGGGAGTGCCAAGTGAGCAAATTACTCCTCATAGCTCCTATTGATTTTCTCATTGATACATCACATTAATGTTATATCACTGTGTATACACCTAGTTGTGCTTGTAGGGGTTGAGCTCTGCTCTTTCGGCCCGCCTCTCAACTGTCAATCAACTGTTACTAACTACTAACTAATTACTGTTACTAACTACTAACGACCCTGGGATTACGAGTCCCAAGCACTGTCCACTGAGTCACTGCCCCCGGTGTATATATGTATGTATGTATATATGTAAAATATTTATATATTTATTTATATTTTAACAAGTCAATAACAATCTTGTACTGTATTTTAATTTAAAATGTATAATATGAAACACCCTACAATAATGATAATGTTAATGATAATGGAAATTATAATATTGAAATGGATAATGTGATGAATACAGAAAAAAAGAATCGACTATTAAATGGCACTGCAGTCAATGTAATCAATAAAAAGAAAAAAGAACTATAGGGTTCAAGTAAGTTTACTGAGATAATAAAATACATCATAAAAGGATTAAGTAGCTTAGGCTAACTACAGGATTAAGTGAAGAAACAGGCATCCCCATTTACTTCCACCCATTACAGTGCTTCTATGTGACTAAGGCAAACCAATTTACTGCATATAAGCCAAAGCCCTAAATAAAGTACTGAATGGTAAAATTAGCATACCTGATACACCAGCGTATGGTACAACAGAATGTGTGTGTGTGTTGGAAGAAGTAACGGCGTAATGTTGACTGTCACCACTCCAGCGTCTCCATCTCCTCCTAGTGCCGATTCATTTTGCCACACGGAGAGCTCTGATTGAGCCAACATTACAAGCTCCAACAGGGTAGATACAGAAGTTAAAGTAAATTCTGGAGAGACCTGGTTTCCACAAACAACGCATGCTAAGAGCCCAACAAGCCACTGCGGAATGTTGGCACTTGGCCGGGTGAGTGCCAATCCTGGGGTTGTAGGAAGTGATGAAAGGTCAACAAGAATATTACAAGACACCTTAAAAACTCTTAGCTGCTCATTTGATTTTGGGTCTAACTGAAGAAAAGATGAAAAATCAATATTTTCATTCTTGCTATTTGAATTAACAGGCGAGGTTGACCGTGACAATGTTGAACAAATTTTCTGTGAAGGTAACAGTAATGATCGTTGTTTTCCTACCACTGGAGATTCCTTTGAGCCACATTCAGCTTCACAACATTGTAAACATTCTTTCAGTAAATACTTCAATTCAGACAAGCTGTCTATACCAAACATATCAGACCTATACAACACATTTTGAAAGTCCACAATAGATGACTTATTGGATATTATTTTTTTCTGAATGAATTCAAGAAAGAATTTTTCAAAATCTTTCACATAGTTATGTATAGGAGAGGAAGCATGATGGTTAGGGCTTTGTGGAGCACTCTCATATTCATCTTCACTTGCCTCTTGGGATACTTGTATCCTAGAAAGTTCCTGGTGTGCAGCTACCCCTCCCATGTCCTCCTCTCTGCCAATTAGCACTTTATAATCCTCAAGAAATTTACTCTCTGTTCTATCAATATTTTGCATTTCATTTATCTCAAACAAGTCAACAGGATCATTAGGATTCATGCTAAATATATCATCATTCATAAAGTCATTTTCATCAATACCAGGTTCTTTACTCTTTCCAGTATCACTTTCAATTTCCATCTCAGATTTTTTAATGTCATTTGCTAACAATTTAGAACAATTAGATATAAATGAGGTTTCTGCCTCCACATCAGTTAAGTTCTCATTTATATTACTACTACTACTACTATCCCTTGTTACAGAAGTACCTGAACTGTGTCCCAAATTTTGGTTTTCTTCACTCTGACTCACATCTAGTTCATTTGCTTCAATGCCAATCTGAACAATGCCACTTTCAGTAGGAGGACTCTCTCGAGCAGCAGCTTCTGGGACAACCAGGGATCGTGTGACTGTTGTCACTTGTGAGAGACCATGCAGTTGCAAGGAGGCAAAAGTACCAATGCTAGCTCGTGATTCTGGCCGAGAAAGGTTAGATACTGGAGGGAGAGTGACCGAAGGAATAAGTTTGTGCAAAATAGACTGACAAAGGGAAAGTCCCACTGAAAGTTCATGGGCATTCAGAACTGTGAGATGTTCAGTAAGGAGAGAAGTTACCGAGGAGAGTACCTCTGGTAATCTAGAGGCTTGAGTCTGCTGCTGGGTATCTAAAGGAAGTGAAGTTAGCAAATGCTGCAGCAGAGTACACACTTCACATACACTCGTTTGCACATTTCCCACTGCTTTCACAAATGAAAAATAATCAATATCATTATGTCTCTTTTCCTCTTCCATTTTATTTCCAGATGTTGCTTTAAGTAGACAGGCTTGACTAAGAAGGCCTGTGAGATGCATCCATGGATAAGAAGGTTGCAAAGCACTGAAGAGTAAGGTAGCTGTTTTTGTAATTTCATGAAACCCTCGGTTACCCTCATAGGGAACTTTAGCGCCATCTTGAGTTAATGGCAGTGTAGAATTTTGCTTGTCTATGGTGCTTTGACGTCTACTGCTAGACTCTGCTGGCATCTCATTTGAAATTTGTAAGACTTGACATGTGTGGTATAAGCACCTGAAATTGATATAATTTAACTATAGTAAAATAATTTTCCAGAAATGCTGAACTTTATTTTTAATCAAATAAATGCACATCCTACTGTTTTTTTTACATGAGTGACTAAATGTTTAACCCTTCTGCTGCACATTCCATCATATGATGGGGTGAGTAATTATGCTCAGACAATTATAATTTTATTATATTAGGATATATACAAGATTTTAAAATCCCCCGCAGGTACAAGGATCTCACATCAGCTTTCTCAGGCTTCCAATAAACAAACACCATCTTGAAAAAAATCATGGACACCATTCCCGAATGTGAGGCCATCAGTAATGAGTAAGCAACCCAGGCGACTTGTGGAAGGTAACCCCAAACCACAAGGGTAGTACTTACAGGGCACCTAGGGAATATAACCCTAGGTGCATGCAGCCCGAGTACTGGTGAAATTACTCCTGGCTCACACACCAACAGAGGACATGACCACACCACAAGGCAAAGCACTGGAACAAATCTGGAGCCAGAGTCGCACAACCACCAGGTCTCAAATCAGCCACAGAATTGGGGGTGTGAATAGCCAGCACAGGAGGTCTGAGGCTCCCCCTTTCCCCTCCTGAGAAGGGGGGAGCTGTGCAGACAGCCGTGCGGTGAGGGGTGTGATGTCATGCTCATTTGCTTGTTTTTTGTTTGGGGGCGTTCTTCCAACAGTTCGGCTTTCAGTAGCAATATTTTAATCACATAGGGTTTGTTTTGGGGTGCCTACCTTTCTGGGTGCTTGACCCGGTTGATGGCAGACATAGAATGCTTCCAACTACATGGGCGGTTTCTATAAGCCATTGCTCCTCGTGCCTCTGAGAAACCCACGTTCTGGCTTGTGATTCCTGGTAAACCTAAGAACTCCCTTCCCTTGACTGATGCCATTCATATCAGCCCGGATAGCTCCGTGGAGCCGAAGGGGCTCCCCCCTAGAAACATTTTTAACATTTTTTTATAATTTATGTGCATGGATGGTATTATCAGTTGTGCAGCCCAAGGGTTAAGCAGACTTCATGCCCTACGGTTACTATTTCACATCCCATGCTAAATCAGCTATCTTTCCTTAATTTTCGACCACCTTCTCACTGTACTGGTTTGTATGAAAATTGCTATACCCAACTGAAATGTTTTCATAGGAACAGAATGTCTATCCATCTGTTTACAGTATAAACCTACAATGACAAAATCTAATATCTGTGCCACTGGTTTCCTAAAATATGATTAGAGACAGGCATTACTTTTCATACCATACTAAATAAACAAATCTGATTAATTTACTGCACATAAAATATTCATGCACTATGGTTAATTAGCAATTTCTGGGGAACAAAAAAAAAAAAAACTATCAGGAGAAAGCACCAAGTCATTACAGCTATATAGCACTTGGTAGGGATTAGGATGAAGATTTGGGATTGCACATGGGAGAAAGAATGGTGACCAACTTCTTGGACGGCCGGGGATTGAACACTGACCTGCATCAATTTCTGGGGAAGCCCCTGGTGGCTTCCAGGTGCTATTTCACCGAGATTGCTCCATGCAAATAATTTATAATTACCAGTAATTATAATTATATTTCATTGTGTGCAAATGGGTCATATCAGATGCAAAATTCTGTTTGGCATACTGAGTACCTGACCACAACCACCTCACAGAAGCACAGAGCAAATGGCAACTTTCCACCAAACTGAGAAAGCATCCAGAAAGTTAGTGAAGTTTAACAGACAACTGGAGGTTTAACAAAAGCATTCAAATTTAGCATGAAACTCATAGAACCAAATGCCACCACCAGGTAGCCAGGCTTCCACATGCAGCCATTTTCCTTGATCAGTTTTTTTGATGATGTCCAATTGGACAGTTGTGTACCAAGTATTTCAGATGTGGTAAGCCCCTCTGCTTCTATATGCCGACCATCCTAGGATTTTTTCCTGTGGGGGTGATTTGCTTTGTATTTTGTTCAATAGTTTAGTTTTTGCTTTACATGAGTGTTTTCTATCCAGTTGATTGTGTGGGCTTGGTTTTGTTGTTCTTGTCAGGCTGCATGCGCTCTAGGCTTTTCCCTGGGTGCCCATTAACAATGGCCCTGGACTGACAGTTATTTTCTCTGGTGTGTTCAGGAGTTCACCCCTGAGAGGCCAGGAAATCAGGGTGGAGAGCCTTTTCTTGATTGGTATTTTATGCCAAATACTGTCGCCTCATATTACTTGGCATTGGTGGAGCCACTGTTTGTTTCCCATCAACTTTTTCATGGCACCATTTCGCAAGTTGTTTCATGCATTTTTCACCTCTGGCCAGCTCATACTCTTCCTGAGCTGTCCTGGTGTCTTGACTAGATTTTGGTCTTCCTCTTCTTGCCTCATTTTATGGTTGCTGTTTGGCTTTTAATTTTTTTTCAAGGCAGTGTTTCTGTTGGCATTTGCTTACAACTGTTTCCTTAGTCCCGTTTCAAGGCTCATATTTCCCAGGTTGTCTGCAGTGTCAACAAGTCTAGCCAGCCTGTGGTCTACCCTCGAGCCCCATGAGGTTTACAAGTACAGTTCTGTATGCTGCACTTGTTGCAGTCTTTGCCAACATGTCCTGGGCTGAAATTTGGACTCGGAGAATTTTGGCATTCTATCTGGGTTCTGGAAACTCTGTATTTGGTTAAAGTTCCTGTTCCTAGTCAGTTGTTTGTTGTCTTAGGCCATTTCTGATGGCCTGAATTATCTTCTTTTTCTTAATGCATGCCACCTCTCCTCCTCCATGGGAAGTTTCACTTTTGTTCTCTGTGGTTAGTTACCATCAGGGAGCCACCGTGAAACTCCCACCAAAAACTCAGCCCTGGATGTAATGAAAAGCCTCTTTCTGGATGAGCCCTGGTGGCTCCCTGCCTCCCTCTCTCCATACCAGATTAGTTTGTCAAACCATGGGCTGTTCATCAACTCCAAAACTGATCAAGGAAGATGGTTGCATGCAGAAGCCAAGCCACTTGGTAGTGGCATTCAAAACTACAAGTTTTGTACTAATTTTGAATGTTTTTCCTGTCTTGTATGAATTGTTTGCAGACTTGTTTGGAAGTTTCTGTTAACCCTCTGGTTGTCTGTAAATGTTTGCTGATGTCTGGATACTTTCCCAGAGATGGTCAATTGTCACTTGCTCTCTCTGCCTCTGGTTGGGAGGGAGGGATGGTAGGAGGGAGGGGATAACGATTTTAGCTCTATTCCTCAGTTGGTCAAACACAACTCCCACATCTGATGTGACACTTTGGCACAGAGCAATCTCATAGCATCAGGAAGTCACTGGGGCTCATCCAGAAAGGGGTATTTCATTATACAGCAGTACATTCAATTCTAAGTTTTTGTAGAAAAAAAAAAAAAAAAAACAGCTTTGAATGTAATGAAACCCCATTTTCTGGGTGAACCCCAGAGGCTCCCTGGAGCTATCGGGCTAATATGCAATACATTAGACCAGGGGATTAGTCAATGGAGTTCAGCCTACCGGGGACCACAAGCCAGAAGCTGGCCTCCTCAGTCACAGGGAGCAACGGACCCTGAAAAATCCCCTTTTGGTTTGGGGTTTTTCTTATCTGCCATCGACCAGGGTTCAGCACTCATAAGGTAGGTATAACAAAACAGACCCCCACATGGTAAGAAAATTGCAACCGAAAACCGAACAGAACTCCCTCAAATACCTAGGAAACAAGCAAAGGTCACATCTCGCCATTGGCTAATGCCCTGGTCTCATGTATCACATATTAGCCCCATAGCTCCAGGGAGTCAAAGAGGCTTCCCACACAATTAATGTATTTCGCACAGTATCCATGTCTTGTGCAATATGGGTATTATAAAAAAATAGAGACCATTGCCTTTTTTTACTGTTTTTGGCTGAATATCTAGTACACTAAATGTGCCTTGATCATAACGAATGTTTAGCGGATGGATAATTGATCAACAAATAATAGATTAGCCACTATTTATCTACATTCTTGGAAATTAATAAAGCATTTTTGAGATCATTGATTAATGTGTAACAGAACAGTATATTTTCTCTTGAACACAATCAACATTTAAAACATAAGGTTATATATCCATAACACAACTTACCTTAACAAATCCAAGAATATATTATCCAAAATATATGGACCAATCTCTGGTTTATCTAACAGTGAAACAATAAGCCTGTAAGGCCGCAGATCTGGTGGGTTTGTTCCTTGACTGGCTCTCAAGCATGCAATAATGCCTTCTACTAGCAAAGGCCTGGAAAAAGTTTCAAAATAGGCATTGATCTCAGCCCCATCTTCAGTATTTGTATCACTCATGGCACTGTTGAGGCGCTTTACAACAGGGTGTTCTGATGACAGGAGGGAAAGATTGATTTCAGAGCCCAGTAGCCATGCGTACAATCGCCTGAAAATAATTCAAATCCTAAGTGAAAAGAATGAACATACTACAGTATATTAAAATTAAAGTAATTTTCAAAATTAATATTTTATTTCTAAAGGAACCAGCTGCCAGCACAAATGGCAATTCAAAATGACTTGTAAATTCAGAGAAGAAAATACTGAAATGCTACTTGTTTTATATATGCTTTGAAAAAATGTACAGTATACAGTATTGTATAGAAAAACTTCTTGAACAATTATAGTACAATGAACATCAATTTAACAGTGCTCTTCATTTGTCAGAAAATATTTAAACAGAAAGTCATAATTTTAAATGTAAAATCAAGGCTCTCTCAATCTAATAACATGAATTGCAGCAAGAGAACTCTAGTCACATTTCTTAACTTTCCACAAATATTACACTTCAGTTATGAATATTAATTTAAATTCTGTTTTATTTAAGAAAGTTACTCTTTGTTACAGATGTCACACATCAAGGGGTGAAAACCACTGTAAATTTCGTATGTGATGTGATCCTAGACCATCAACAAACCAGCATCGAATGTAATGAAATGCCATTTTCTGGGTGAGACCCAGAGGCTTCCTGGAGCTATCCGGGCTGATATGAATATATTAGACCCTGGCAACAGACAAAGCAAATGGGGTTCTTATGACTACCGGGGACCACGAGCCAGTACCTGGCCTCCTCAGAGAGGCACGAGGAGCAATGGCCTATAGAAACCCTCCCAAGTGGTTGGAAGCATTCTATGTCTGCTATCGACCGGGTCGGGCACTCAGAAAGGTAGGCGCCCCAAAACAAACCCTATCTGGTTAAAAAGTTGCTACTGAAAGCCGAACTGTTGGACAGAACCCTCCAAACTAAAAACGAGTAAACGAGCATGACGTCACAACCTTCACCGCGTCAGTCTGCGCAGTTCCCCCCCCCTCCCTGAGAGGTGTAATGGGGAGCTCCAGACCCGCCCATGCAGGCTATCCAGCCCAGTTCTGAGGCCGGATGTCAAAACTCATGAAAACCATCAAACGGAGGGGAGGGAGGGAGGCCATTTCGTTGTTTCATTATATATGAACTTTGCAACTGTCTGTAAAGCTTTGCCGACTTTCAGGCTGATTTCCCGGCAGGGTGACAATAATAGTCCCCAGCTCTCTGTGCCTGTGTGAGAGGGGGGGGGGGGGAACCAGGTTCTGGTTCTGATTTCCGGTAAGCCTAACTGGACTCCTGCCCAGTAGTGGAGATCCATATCAGGAAGATAGCTTCAGGAAGCCACCAATGATCCCAAAAAAAATCAGAGCTTCATGGGGTTAGTAGAAATTATGCAATATAGTACAGAACAAGGTTACCTTGGTTACCTTGAGGATACCTTGAGGTGATTCCGGGGCTCAGCGACCCCACGACCCAGTCGTTGACCAGACCTCCTCGTTGCTGGACTGGTCAACCAGGCTGCTCGCAGGCTGATGTTTGAGTCACAGCCTGGTTGATCAGGTATCCTTTGGAGGTGTTTGTTAAGTTCTCTCTTGAACACTGTGAGGGGTCGGCCAGTTATGTCCCTTATGTGAAGTGGAAGCGTGTTGAACAGCCTCGGGCCTCTGATGTTGATAGAGTTCTCCCTCAGAGTACCTGTTGCAACTCTGCTTTTCAAAGAGGGTATTCTGCACATCCTGCCATGCCTTCTGGTCTCGTGTTTTGTTATTTCGTTTGCAGGTTTGGGACCAGCCCCTCTACTATTTTCCATGTGTAAATTATTATGTATCTCTCCCGCATGCGCTCAAGAGAATACAGATTTAGGCTCTTTAGTCGGTCCCAATAGTTTAGATGCTTTACCGAGTAGATTCTAGCAGTAAAGGATTTCTGCACACTCTCCAAGTCAGCAATTTCTCCAGCTTTGAAAGGGGCTGTCATTGTGCAGCAGTATTCCACTCTAGAGAGCACTAGCGTCTTGAAAAGTATCATCGGTATCGTTTCTCTGGTGTGAAAGGTTCTTGTTATCCAACCTGTCATTTTTCTTGCAGTTGTGACAGCTACTTTATTGTGTTCTTTAAAGGTAAGGTCTTCTAACATGAGTACACCCAAATCCCTTACATTGTCTTTTCATTCTATGTTATGATTTGACTGCAATTTGTACGTGGTTTCCGTTTTTATATTTTCATTTTTCCATAGCGCATGAGCTGGAACTTATCTTCGTTAAACACCATATTATTTTCTGTAGCCCATAGAAAGACCTGATTTACATCTGATTGGAGGTTTGCCATGTCTTCTATGTTGTCTACTCTCATAAAAATCTTAGTGTCATCTGCAAATAATGATACAGTACTATAGGTTGTGTCCTTGTCTATGTATTGTCATTTGTCATGAATGTCATCCGATATGAGGATGAGAAAAAGAACTGGAGCAAGCACAGTACCCTGGGGGACTGAGCTCTTCATGGTTGATAGACCAGATTTGATTTTGTTGACTATTACACATTGGGTTCTATTAGTCAGGAAATTGTAGATTCATCTGCCTATTTTTCCGGTAATTCCTTTTGAACGCATTTTAAGTGCAATTACACCATAGTCACATTTGTCGAAGGCTTTTGCAAAAGTCTGTGTAAATTACATCAGTGTTTTGTTCGTCTTCCATGGCATCTAGTGCCATGTCATAGTGGTCCAGCAACTGTAATAGGCAAGAGCGCCCTGTTCTGAAACCATGTTGTCCGGGGTTATGGAGATGCTGTGATTCCATGTATTTTGTGATCCATGTATTACAGTCTCCGTGGTGAAGTGGTAAGACACTCGCCTGGCGTTCCGCGAGCGCTATGTCATGGGTTCGTATCCTGGCCGGGGAGGATTTACTGGGCGCAATTCCTTAACTGTAGCCTCTGTTTAACGCAACAGTAAAATGTGTACTTGGATGAAAAAACGATTCTTCGCGGCAGGGGATCGTATTCCAGGAACCATAGGATTAAGGACTTGCCTGAAACGCTACGCGTACTAGTGGCTGTACAAGAATGTAACAACTCTTGTCTATATCTCAAAAAAAAAATCTTACTTCTTAACACTTTCGCGTTCCACAGACTGACTATTAAGTCACTCATTTTTCTACTGAATGTGTTCCAATGACGCAGTACTGAGTCACTCATTAAAATATTTTTTAAAAATTTAAATTTTATCAGATCAATCTGGTAGTGGTTTTAAAATAAGCGCCTTTAGATTGCACACAATTTGATACCAAAATCAAAGATATAACATGAAACTTGATGTCCAAACACTTGAAATATTATAAATAGGCCTATGGTCCGAATATTAAAATATTTGTTAAAATTCTATTTATTGTCCTATTATCTTGGGACTAGTTTTAAAATGCGCGCCTTTTTATTGCGAACAATTTGATACCAAAATGAGCGACGTAGCACGAAATTTGATGTTATCAAATTGAACGAGTTGAACATTAGGTTGCAATGTACAAAATGGTGCTCGTTCACGGGTAACTTTAGGCTTTTCTGCGGGGAGGCACTCCAGCCTTTTGTACATTTTATTCATACACATCTGTAGGGAATTTAATTGCGAACACAATGATACCAAAACGAGCGACGTAGCACGAGAATTAAGGTAAAAAAATGGAACGAGAATGCACATGTTACTGATTTTGTGCGTTTTTGCCGACTTTACGCTTTGCTGTTGGGAGTCACGCTAGGCTTTTGGACATTATATTTATACACACCTGTAGAGAATTTAATTGCGAACACAATGATACCAAAACGAGCGACGTAGCACGAGAATTAAGGTGAGAAAGCTGGAACGAGTATACACATTTGGGTGTCACCGCGCGCTTACCCACACGGAGGGGCTACCTACCCCCTGTCAACCGCAAGTTCCCACGGAGCGCGAAAGTGTTTTAACACTCAAAGATTTTTATGATGTGTGATGTTAATGTTATCGGTCTGTAATTTTTTGCCTCTGCCTTATTTCCTCCTTTATGGAGTGGTGCTATCTCTGCTGTTTTTAGTATGTCAGGGATAACACCAGGGTATCTAGGCTTTGTCTCCAAAGAATGTGAAGGGCCTGCGATAGTGGTACTGGTTTTTCTATTTCAATTTAGCCCATGTTATAATAAATTTCTTTACCCTGAAATTGCCCTTTAGTGATATTGGAATATACTATAATATATGCTGTATCTATATAGTGAGTAATGAAAAAACGAAAAATAAAATTTACCTGTTTAAAGACATATCTCTTCTTAGCAGCACTAATATAGCTGATGTAACAATTCTGACTAAATCAGGTTGTAATAGCTGAGTGTTGTGCATGGGAAGCGCAGCCAGGGTAAGATCAAGTGCTGCACGCTGCACCATAACACTCGAATCCTCCATGGCCTGACAGAGTGCTGACACCTAGAGATTTGTATACCATAAATACAATATTTATCACAGAAAATTAGATTATTTTCCTAACTATCAACCGTTATCACATTTGCGTTCAACTACACTTCTAATCCACATACTAACATAATGCATGACCATTGTAAAGTATGTGAACCTCAGTATCTTCAACTTTTTCATGCTAATGCAAATAATACATATAAATGTGACCTAACAGTCATAATTTTACCTTACTGTAGAATTTTATGTGTGCATACTTTTAATCAATTTAATTATAGGTAAATATGTCATGTCTTCCCTTTCCATTCCATATACTGAATCTGAGTATGCATCACATCAGTACAGTCTTACATATATTACTTGTCAGAGCAATCCCTTACACAATCATCACAATTCAACCCATCCTCCTGTTTAGATAGTACGTATTGTGATGATCATCAATAGTCACAAATTTGTACCTACTTATCTTTTGGATAGTAGTATATCGACTAGTAGGGAATACTCTTAAAATAAATGAAGCTAAAACAAACTTAAATATTCCTAGGCCTAGTATAGCACACACATGTACTATATTAGGCTTCAGATATCAGGTATTATGCCTTGGGAGGTTAGGATAGGTTAGTTTAGTTTGTCAAAGCAACACAAGTAAAAAAAAATATTCCAGTTTGTCCAACTCAATAGTTCAGATTTCTACTTTCTAATTTCGTTGTACGTCGGTATATATACTATGGTCGTCATCGTTATTATAAGTACTACCTTAACAGGAAGATGGGCTGGACAATTTTACTTCAGTGTAATCATTTTTTAGAAATTTATCTATGTTTGGATTTCTTCTTTGCATTCTGCCCTAAAGATGTGGGGGCTCACTTGTTCCAGGCCATTAATTATTTTATATACTGTATCTAGAGGAAGAGAAAAAGCACATGTTATCAAATAAATTTCAGTATATGAGAAGAGATGACTGGTAAGGTGATGTGATAAGCATGAAAGAAGACATGATTTGAGTGTGAACAACACAACTCATTTGGCAAGGTATAAGGCTAGATAGAAGCAGGATGTAGAGAGGGAGTGAATAAATTTGTTTTGTATATGGCAATTCACAACAAGCACTGTCATTATTCTCACTATATTATTCACCTGTGTTTTCCTGGCTGATGCCTCACCACTCCATTAAAGAGAGAAATGGATAAAAATAATAAGGATAATGAAAATTTATGTTTACAAGGAACAGAAGTCAGGCTTAACATGGTAAGGAGAACATGATGTTTCTTTTCATGGACACAATGACAGAATTCTTGGAGAAATATTATAATTTCTGGGAAATGAAGAGTCTGGCAAAGAAGTCTAACACTGATTCTACTAGTTTCTAATCTTAAAAAGAAGAAAAAATAGAGCTTGGAGTTTACTGTTAAGACGGAAAAGATTATCAGGACCTTAAAGTGTGTGTTAGATGAGGAAGTTCACAAGTGGTTTATGCAGGAGTGCATTGTAAGAGTACCCATGGGTGGTAATTTATGGCAGTAACAATGACTGATCATAGATTCAACATTGAAAACTTAATGGATGAATTATGGTTGACCTCAACATTTTAAGAGAAGACAAGTACCATAATTAGTACAAGAAAGATCTCTAGTGAGGCAATAGGTTCTTATGTGGAGTGTATAGAGCTATTTAAAAGAAAATTTTATCAGAGTATCGCTGATCTTAAAATAATTTCTGCAGTGCACACTGCTGATGAAACTGGGGTAGTTTGGAAAGGTATGCAATCTGAGACACTGGGTAGCAAAACAGAGGAAACTATACTAATCTATAATACTAGGAACTGCAATTGTAGAAAAAGCTGCAAGGCAAAAAACCAGCGTTGAATGTAATGAAACGCCATTTTCTGGGTGAGTCCCGGAGGCTCCCTAGAGCTATCCAGGTTGATATGGATATCCCTATCTTTGGCATCTGTCGATGTGGGTGGCGTTCTAGGCCTACTGGGGACCACGAGCTAGAACCTGGCCCCTTCAGAGAGGCACGAGGAGCAATGGCCTATAGAATGCACATGTGATTTTGGAGCATTCTATATCTACCATCAACCGTGACAGGCACCCAGAAATGTAAGCGCCCCAAAACAAACCCTTATTCTGGTTAAAAACGACGAAAATAGATAAACGACTGGACAGAACTCCCCAATTGAAAACGAGCAAACAAGCATGATGTCACACGAGCCACACCGCATGTCTGCGGATCATGTGACCCTAAGCACATGCAGCCCGAGTACCTGTGAATATTACTCCCAGCTCGCACGCCACCATAAAAGCAAGCATGAACCAAAGGACAGCACAACACAAGAGTCTAGAGCTGGAGCCACACGACCATGTCTTATCACATCAGCCGAAGAACTGGGGTGTGGATCACCAGCACGGGGGTCTGGGGCTCCACCGTCCCCCTCCCGGTGAGGGGGGAGCTGCGCAGACATGTGGCGTGGTTCGTGTGACGACATGCTCGTTTGCTCATTTTCATTTGGGGAGTCCTGTCCACTTGTTTGCCTATTTTCATTGTTTTTAACCAGAATAGGGGTTTGTTTTGTGGCGCCTACTTTTTTAGGTGCCTGTCACGGTCGATGGCAGATACAGAATGGTCTAAATCACATGTGCATTTCTATAGGCCATTGCTCCTCGTGCCTCTGAGGGGGCCAGGTTCTGGCTCGTGGTCCCCGGTAAGCCTAGAACTCCACCCACATCGACTGATACCAAATTCTAGAGATGCATATCAGCCTGGATAGCTCCAGGGAGCCAAATGGGCTCCCCCCAGAAAAATATAGTTATGGCCAAAATTATCAAATATTTGATGTACCAGAAGTACTTACAGTGATATCAATATTGGTGCCAAGGATGTAAAGTTGATCTTCTGTTGAAAGCTTTTTGTTGTAACATGCCATGATGTGAGAGATGGCAGGAAGACGAACCCCGGAATTGCCCCACACACAGTCCCAAAGGCAGCCAAAGAACTCTGCTTGACCTACACCCTCAGCAACTCTTGAAAGCAGCTGAGATGTCCTTTTGAAAAACCATAATATTACAATTTAAGACATTTAAAACAAATAAAAATAATATTTTGCTATAGAACAAAAATACATGCTCACAAACACATACACAATGAACTACTGTACTAATATTACTGTTATAGTTAATTGGTGTTCCAAACCCAATGAATTACTGTACTTAACATACAAAATTAAAACAACTCGGAAACAAAAAATCATTACAGTATTTGGCATACATCTCATTTACTTCCTTGCCTAGCAACAAGACTTTCCAATTAAATTCATTAAAGATTTTGCTAAAATCCCCATAGTGTCCTCTATCGAAACCAAGTTTATCAACTGTTTCAATGTCCCCATTCTTTTCTAGGTTATATCGCAAGGCATATTTAATTTTAAACAGGAACATGATTACTCTTTTTCCCAAGAAAGGAAGGTATTGAATGTCAAATATCTCCTCTTCTCTCCCGGTGAATATTAATCCAGTATTGACTAAACATCCCATTCCCTCCTGGTTGTGGCCTACTCGATGTAATTACCCAAGTGTAGTTACAGGATGATTGCTACGCTCGTGGTGTCCAGTCTTCCCAGTACTCTTTGTCGTATAACGCTTTGAAATTACCGACGGTTTTGGCCTCCACCACCACCTCACTTAGTTTATTCCTACCATCTACCACTCTGTTTACAAAAGAAAATTTTCTAATATTTTTTGGCACCTATTTTTTCTTAGCTTGAATCTGTGTCCTCTTGTTCGTGAAGTTGCTGGTTTCAGGAATTCCTCTTTGTCGATTTTGGCTATTTCTCTTAGTATTTTGTATGTGGTGATCGTAGCATCTCTCTCTCTCTCTCTCTTCTATCTTCTAGTTTTGGCATGTTTAATGCCTCTAGTCTCTCCTCATAACTCTTGTTTTCAATTCTGGATGCCATTTTGTGGCATGCCGTTGCACCTATGTGTTGGTATGAATGTTTGTGTGCCTTCATCGTACATTTCCCAACAATTGGCATACATCTCATTTACTTCCTTGCCTAGCACCAAGTCTATCCAATTAAACTCATTAACCACGTGATGCACTTTGTTCATCGGGACATTCCATTCCGAAAATCAAATGTTCGCAAATGTTTTTTATCTTTGTAAAATGATAAATTCCTTTCCCTGAAAACGTACATGTAAAAAAATAAAAAAATTCCATTTACTTTGGCTGTGGGGATGTAGAAAAGTGTGTGATGTAGAACTGCGTGATGTCATCACTGACTGGTCGCCCGTGCGTGAAGCTCCCACAGGCAGTCTAGGAGCACCGCATGTTGCCATAAATATATTTTCAATTATTTGTTCTATGTATTTCCAATGCGGTTTTATTTGTTTGTTTCTATCATATTTGATGCATAGATGTGTCCTTTACAATATGTATACATTAGAATGTTTATAATGTTCCATGGTAGTGTGATACATGTGTCAGTAATGTGTCCACAATACATGCTTATTGTTGCAATATTACTTGTTAAAAATTCACTAAAATTACAATATGTACAGTTTCACACATTATTTACACAGTACTTCGGAAGCGAGTGATAACCAATGAAGCCGTCTTCAATGAATCAATGAAGCATGGTACACAGTGCGACTTCACTCTCAATGCACCAGGTACAAACTTTTATTCACTATATACAGACGTTATATATAAGTATCTACATGTTTTGTTCACCACAACTGTACAACTAAGCTGATATAGTTAGTTAAGGCACTAAGAGATGTCGCTACACACAGTCAGCTGGTGGCTGCCTCCCCTCACACATTCAAGGTCAGATGCACTAAAATTTCACCCCCAACAATACTGTTTGTGGTGTTATTACCCTATATACACACATTATATATAAGTATCTACATGTTTTGTTCACCGTAACTGTTCAACTAAGCTGGTATAGTGCCCAAAGAGCATAGTGGACACCCCTACCAACATGACAAATCATATTGATGTTGCCACCCTCATCACCAAAATGGCTTCTCCCCCACACTCCTTTTGCTGTTATTACACTGTACATACATGTTACTGTATATATAAGTATCTATATTCGTGTTCACCATAACGAACCACTAAGTTGGTATGCTCAGTGGCAGTGGCAGCCAGCTACTGGCTGCCACTTCCTCCCTACCTCACCTCACTTGACTCGCCACCATTCTCCTCCCACAATACTGTTTTTGCTTTTATTCACTATATACAGACGTTATATACAAGTATCTGCATGTTTTGTTCACTATAGCGAACAACTAAGCTGGTATACTGAGTCCAGACAGTAAAAGGTAGTCACACAGAGTCAGTAGACAATGCTACCTCCCTCCCCACCAATATTACTCCTCCCACTACAGTGCTAATTATCACAACAATCCTGCTATTATCAGAATCCTGGTCATTTTTATCACAGTCAGGGGTGTTCTGTAATACTATCATTGCTAAATAATAGCATGAACATATATATTATGGCATTTTTAGGGGATGCTGTGGTCACAAGCTGAACAGCAGTGCTGTGAGCTCATGCTGCATGCGTGAGTTACTCATGCTGCATGCATGAGTTACTCAACACATCATATAATGTGTTGTGCAGTTTAAGGGTTAAGAAACAGGGAACAGCCTACCTGACAAACACCGAACGAACCTTTTGCCAACTCTATCGCGGCTAGAGTATGTCACATAGAATATTTTTTTTTAGTTTCCCATGATCAGAGACTGCATTTTAACAATACTGTATAAGAGAAAAAAAATTTGGAAAGAAGTTATTTTCGGCACACCACAGGTGTGTTGTATTTTAATGCAGAGCAGTGCAGTGGTTAAGCAAGTCATACTTTATATATCTGAAGTACATATACAGTATAAATTTAGAAAGTGAGATAGCAATGCTGAATTTTCCTGCATTCTGATCAATGGTGTTATATTGTCTGGTGGCTACATACACTATCTTTTAATGTTATTTTCTTTGATGATGAGTTTAGCTGCCACTTCTTCAGTGTAACACAATCATTATTGTTTTTATCGATATGGGAGGCGTATACTGTATATAATCATAAGCCATGGCATCTAGAGCCCAGACACAAGCAGAAACAAGAGGAACTGGGAAAACATCAGACTTTTAAAGTCCTGCATTACTATTAAAAGCTTATTTGTCATTTCATGCCATGATGAGTTTCAGTTCCATACACTTAATCCTATTGATAAAAATGTAATGTAATCTATACACTGGAATTAATAATGGAATTACCTCTCAAGATGATCTGAGCCTTCCTCCAGTCCAGCAAGAATGCCTGATAAGAAACCGTTTAATCCTGGTCTCAACCTGGGGCCTAAAGGGACAAAGCGAGTCTCATACACTGTCAAAAGTGCTGACCTTACATTCATCGCAGCACTACTGAAGAGAGGAAATAAACCTGCAAAACACAACAAAATATAAATGGTATAAAGTATTTTTATTACCTTTCCTTCTACTATTTTATATATATATATATATAAAATTCAAGTACCCTCTTATCTAAATTACAAAGGATCATGCAGAATTTATTTTTAGTCAGACTGCATGCTGCATACCAAAAGTACTCATTAGCCTTTGTTTGCCCGACACAAATATTTCAGTTTCATTTAATAATTAAATGTAGTAGTGTTGACAAGCAATATTTTCCAGCAAATAATTAGTTTCCCTCCAGAGTACAGTACAGCCTCGACAACGTACCCTGATTCGCTGCATCTCTGGTTTGGTCGCACACTTTTCAGGCCGGATTTACTCACCCGGCTCGGCGTACTCTGGTTTGCCGAAGCGGGGGATGTGCGGATTTGCTTACAATGTTGGGACAAAGTTCACAGACTGGTGGAAAACTTTTTCATTCTATCACAGATTACAATTAATAATTCCTTCATATGACAAGTTGGATCACACACAAATGGACCACACAACAAATAAACCATTTGAACCAAACACCAGCCAGAATGGTCCACATAACAAGTGAAGCATATTAACCCTTAAACCACGCTTATCATATATATATATGATATCAGTGACAAAACCGAAACCGCGCACATCATTTATATATGCTTTCGTGTCTAGTGCTATAATTTAAACGCCTAGTGAAACAAAGCTGCCGGAAAAATATGAGAAAATTCATTTTTGTAAACAGAGTGGTAGACGGTTGGAACAAGTTAGATTAGAAGGTGGTGGAGGCCAAAACGATCAGTAGTTTCAAAGTGTTATATGACAGTGTGCTGGGGAGACAGGACACCACGAGCGTAGCTCTCATCCTGTAACTACACTTAGGTAATTACTTAGGTAATTATCCAGCACGAGCACAGCCATACCCAGCACGAGCACAGCAGTAGCTAGCACCAGTACAACAGCAGCCAGCACCAGCTCAGAAGCAGCTGAAGCAAACACAGCAGCAGCGAGCACCAGCAAACCTGATGCAAGCATCTAAGAACATCGTATGTGGAGTGTACAGTCAGAACAAGTGTTAAATTTAAGTACATAGTGTTAAAGTGTTAAGATTAAGGTTGCAGTAATTTCAGTGTACAAAAGTTTTCAAAATCTGTATTGTAGTACTCAACATACAGCACAGTACGTATTTACTGTACAGTATTCACAACTCCATGAGAATTCAAGATGGACATAATTCCAACAATAAGGTAAATAAAAACTGTAACACAGTATTCTTTTAGTAGAGTAGTAATATATAGGTACAGTATATATTATGATAATGCATTTTTATTGTTTACAAGAAAAAAAAAAAGACACCGACACAAACACCACCTGAAGGTTACCTCCTGCAATGAATCCAACGCACCGGGGTTGGTCCCATATAGTGCAAGGAATGGAGGTTGTACTGTAATGATGTATTTCTGCAAGTATTCCAACATGTCAAAATCTAAAGTTTTCTCCTTGTTGCCAACCTTTTGTCACTCATTTGTCTATCTATTAAATTAAAAAATTAATGCCCAATTTACTGCAATGCTTGATAATTGGCCACATGTAGACTATTTCATACTAATAATTAAAATAATCCGTGATTTTTCATTATAATCCCTTCTAAAATACAAAACTACTCTTAAACATTTAGACTGCCTTACTTCTACTGTACTACAATTCTGTTCATATACAAAATGTGAAGTCTAAACTCTTCATTACTTTAGCTGAAGTTTCCACTGCCTCAAAGTAAGAGTATATATGAAGCTAGGGGTCAATGAGACCTTATTTCAACTCCAATACATGGGGGGTGCCTTTTCAAGCAACACTCACCACACTATCTGGAAAAGTCTCAATCCAGCCCTGAATGATCAATAAAAGTTATATTCAGCTATACTGTATTTGAACTTTTGCAAGAATACTTAAAATTAAACAGTGCCAAAGATTGCTCTGTTCCTGTTCCTGAAGCCATCCTATTAGTTGCCTGCATGGCAACTAATAGGATGGCTTCTGGCTTCCACATTTCATTTCCTGCAAGTCACCACAGTCACTGTAAGAAGGAAAGAAAGCTACAGAACAAGAGGGTCAACTTATGCTACATGAGGGACTGGGAGAAGCTGGTGAGGATGAAGTGAAAGTGGCCATGAGAAGCCTACATCTAGTTGAAGACAACAAGGAAAAAGCCAGGAAGCTATTTAAAAAAAAAAAAAAAAAAAAAAAAAAACCCAAAGGGAGAGCATGAAACAACCATTTCTCAATTCGAGCCAGTCCAGAGAACAAACTGAAAAGCAGAAGGAACACATATTCTAAGAGGCAAGAGATTACAAGCAACCCAAGTGCATTGTACAAGGGCAAAGTCTGAGAACGGAACCTGGTCACAAGGCCTTGGTGATAGAAAAAGTCAACAATAGAGCAAGTAGCCAGAATCCTGAAAGGCTGCACAAAGCAAGCAAAGTCAATTATGAGTTGAGGCCCTGGGCATGCAGTAAATAGGCAAGAAAACTAGACAAATAAAAATCAAAGATTCCAAACACACAATCCTAGAGTAGACTACATGGAAGGAACATTGTTATAAGGCCTGATTAAAAACAGAAGTCAACATTAGGAAATGAGTAGCCAGCACCAAAAACAAAAACTGCATAAAGCAAGCAAACTCAATGCTTTTGTGGAGAACCAGTGCCTATAACACACTAGATTCAACTAGGTAGAAAACCTTGGTGGGTCCTAAGCAAACAGCCCCCAAAGACAACTCTAAGGAAGGGGCCTGGTCACAAGACCTAATCAGCAAGCAGCAGCTGGCAACAGTAATAAATTGCCAGCACCTCAGGACATGGATCAAAGTAGGTAAACTAAGTCTCGATTGGATGTTTAGCACATACAGTACAACACTCGGAAAGGTTAACAACGTATAAAACCAAACTACTGTACCTTACCTTGTGATTACCTTGCAATGATTTCGGGGCTTAGCATCCTTGTGACCCAATCCTCAACCAGGCCCCCCTGTAGGTTCCAGGACCCAGATTTATAAAGCTGTTACACAAGTTACTTACAAACGTGCACATCTTTCCTCAATCTTTGATAGCTTTGGTTACATTTAATAAACAGTATACAAACATGAAACTTCCCAATTAATTGTTATTATTGTTATAAACAGCCTCCTGGTGCTACGGAGCTCATTAACTGTTTAGTAATTGAAAACAAAGCCGCCAAAGATTGAGAAAAGATGTGCAGGTTTTGTAAGTGCTTGCATAACTTTTTATGAATCCGGGTCCAGGTACAGTACACTATCCCCAGAACAAAGATGTGGTCGACAGAGGGTGGAGAGTTAAGTGACAATAACAATGAACAGAAATCCTGTGATGCCACAGAAAGCAAGTAAGTTTAATCTAAATTGGGGGTATCCTCTTGCCACAATAAGGTGAGCAAACTAGGGAAGAAATCCTTAGAAGGGTCACAGGAAACCACCTTTCCTAGACCAAACCTCAGGGAACACCTGGTCACACAACTCTCACAGCAGGAACAACAAAATGTATATGAAAAGATCTGGCAGAATCTACCACAATTGTACCAGTCAAACGTAAAGTGGAGGCCCCCTTTCCTGCCATAGCCAAAAGATAAAACTAGGGAAAGAAACTCTAGGAGATCCAGAAAAAGAAAATAGACCAAACCTAAGGAATGGACCTGATTCAACACCCATAGAAGTAAAATCAGTCAAAAATGTAGAACGTTACCTAATCACAAGGTGCATGTAGTAGGAACAGTTGGCAGCATAAATAATGCTGCAAGAAAACCTAAAATCATCATCAAGCAGGTGCACATTTAATTCTAGGTGGAGGCTCTCTGCCTGCAACACACAGTAAAAGCAAACTAAAGAAAAAATCTCTACAAGGATCCCAAGCAGAACCCCCATTTCACATAAATTCTGGAAAGAGACCCAATCAAGACTCGCGCAGTAAATCCTAAGCATTTAATACATAATGTTTTATTGGCATTATTAATGGGTAGCAACCCAATAAATGGGTTGTGAACTTAGGAACAGTGATGACACCACAACTGCCAACCCAGGGCAATATACTTTTGTGTATACTGGTTGAAATCTATGAAACAGTGAGGACAAATATGAGTCAGTTATAGCCTATGCCAAGGCAACAAAATTTAATATAGACCAATCTGATTTATCAAAAACTGTGACCTCCAGAAAGCCAAACATGTAGTGGATAGCAAAACATATTGCTTATCCCCCATTTTAAATTTTTGGTCAGTACAATGAGGTATTCTCAAAATATTGAGCAGAACCCTCAAGAGAAAATAAGAATCAGTGAGAAGCAATAAACATGATTAGACCAGTGAAACCTAAATATTAGTTGTTAAATGTGTGTGTGTGTGATGTTAAATCAAAGTACAATGTACTCTATTCAATAGGTACAAATTTAAATAATATCTAGACAAATCTACTAACCTGCACTGTATATAAATAGTTCTTGTGAGAGGCGATTTGTACCCATACATTTGAAGATAATATCATAAGTTTCAAGGGCTTTCAAGTGAACTCCTGATGGCAAAGCAGGATGCATACACTGTGCTAATCGCTTGCTGATGGTTATACGTCGTGGAACTACAGGATATTTCATGTGGGAGAGTAACACCTGTTTGGATACACATTATGAATCAGCTCCAAAAATGTTAAGTGGCAGTGAGATATTAAAGGCTATACAAAACGAAATATGATTTAAATTATGAATATGTTTTCAAATGAATGATATACGTATGAACAACTCTTGATATTCTGTACTGAACAACAGAAGACAAAGATAACACTGACACATTACAATGCCTTTTGAACTTTGACAAGTAACAATGTTAATCAATGTTACTAAGTTAATCATAACATTGCCTTATGAAAAATAAAATAAACTTACCTTATTAAGTTTTCCCAGTGTTGATATAAGATCTGCCCATTCACTAGTATTTTCAAAGTTACGCAATGTCTTATCAACCGATGCCACATAAGCACGGTACTTTGAATCTCCAAGTAAGTCATATTCTTCAAGACTTAGTCCACTCATCCTGTAAATGAGTTACATGTGGCAATTTTGCATTAGTAAACATTGTAAACAATGCTACTACTCTCCCTACCAATACACACACACAGAGAAGTGGAGAAAAGCATGGGTTTCTCAGAAACATTCTGCCCATCATTTATATCTTCATATCAATGAATATGTGAAATATATTCTTCTATGAAATTCACAGTAAATATTAGATGTCCCTAACAACAGACCATAAAAACATAGACACAGAATTCAGACACAAAAGCTGAAATATTAGCAAATACATAAATTATGTGAAAAAGCTTAAAGTGTTGATAAGGTGCATGCAGAATGTTTGTAGAAAAAGGAAATGGAATTAGAACTACTGAGGAGTAATTCCAAAAAAAAGCTATGGAAAGTGCTTTACCAGATGATTTGAAAAAAGTTGTGACTGTACATATGCTTTATATGTATACAGAATAAAACCAGCGTTGAATGTAATGAAACACCATTTTCTGGGTAGAGCCCCAGAAGCTACTTTGAGCTATTGAACTGGTATTAGCTAATATTAGTACTGGCTTCAGTCTTATGGAGGTCTCATGCCTACTGGGGACCACTTGCCAGAACATGGTTCCCTCAGAGAAGCGAAGGGAGCAATGGCCTTTGAAACTCTTATGTATAAAAGTATTCATGTCTGCCATCGACCGGGGTTGAGCACCCAGAAAGGTAGGCGCTTCAAAACAGACCCCCCACCTGGTAAAAAATAGCTCAATGAAAAATGCAACATTTTCAGTTTTTATAGCAACAAAAGCAAGAAGTGCATTCAAAATACCTGTGGATTTGTTAGCTTACCGATCAGATGTGAATTTAAATTTTGACTTCCTTGTCACTTCGATGTGTGGAAATGAAGAAGAATGCATCGTGTACAGTACTTGTTAAAAACAATTCTATAAGGATATAAATTTTATAGTATACTAAATATGCAGTCAAAATTTTCAAATCCACCTGTCATACTTTGTGTAATCATGCCTTCATCTTGCTAGTTACAACTCCTGCAAAAGCAAAAAGCGCATGCATCATAAATTATTAATTTATTGTAGTGTAAAAATTTAAAAAGGTTTTAAAAATGTAGGCATGCAATAATAAAGACATGCATTTGTTTCAAGTAAGACATCAAAAAGACATGCTAGACATTTTTACAAAGAATACTAGTGATTACTACAAAAAGAATTCAATACCCTAAGAGACAAATTTTCAGAATACAGTAACTTGGCAAAATATTTAATAATTTATGTACAGTTTAAAGTTTTAAATTATGATTAAACAAGAGATTAGTTCTACAGTTGTATATATAAATTTATGCACTATAACAATTTATGCACTATATACTTCTAAAGCTTGTTATTAGGAATGGAAATCTAACATACCACATTATCTATTATGATGCAAATAATGTAGCTGATACCAATGCTATGCTCCCAAGAACTGGAGATCACAATCTTGTCAATGAGTAAAGTATCAATTTTACTAAGCCTTTCTACTACAGAATACTAATTTTATTATGAACATTCACTGTTTAGTCTCACATAAGTCAAAAGCTCCCACAGACACCGACATCCCGTTTCCACCAAGAATGCCAATTAGTGGTGAAGATGAACACACATCAAGATCGTCTCTAAAGTTATCAAGATTTTAAATGACCATAATTTTCAGACAAAATAAAAATATATATGCTGATATATATACAGTATACTGTATATATATCAGCATCATAGAATAAATAGGGAGAAAAAATATTGAATTATGTCAAAAATTTTCCAAAATGGTCAAAAATTAACATCAAACAAAAGTGTCAACTGAAATCACAATAGCATATAATAAAGTATTTTAATATTTACTTTTTTGCCAAAAAAAAAATTCCCCCCCCCAAAAAAAAAAAATTAGATTTTTTTTCTCAATTTTGTTTCATATTTTTTATCAGCCGATTTGCATGAAACTTATACACCTTACAGAACGTTTGCCTATCTGTAAAGATGCAAATTTTGGAGGAAATTGGTTGAAGTCAACTTCAAACCACAGGTGGCAGAGTGTTTGATCTTATTTATTTTCAAGTAACAAAACTGCATCTCCCCTTTCATTTGTTTTTCAATTTACATGAAATTTACACCTTATATGTAGAGTTGACGTCTCTACAACATTTATGAAACACTATCCCTAAGTTCATTTATTGATTTTATAAATATTTGCAAACATGAAATATTGGCATGTATTTTATGGGAACTTTGACTACTTGTATTAGTAAAACTAAGCATATTTTGGAGAATCCTGTTTATAAAAATCCTTTATTATATGCTAATATGAGATACGAGTGTCATAGAAATGATGTCATTTGAATATTGTGGTAGAAGTAGGATATTGAAAATGTGTAAAATTCGTTGGAAAAAAAAAATCTCTCTCTTTCTATTTGGGGTGCCATACTGAAACATAGAACAGTTGCAGCCCTTCTTACATACAACTAGTAAAAAAAGTTTGGTTGAAATTTCACGACTTTTAATTTACTGTAATCTGGCCCCCTTAACCAGAATAAAGTATAATGAACAAAATAATACATGAGGTAGTTAAATCTCAGAAATTAATAATTATCTTCATGGCATCCATTATACAGACAGAACCTAAAATTTCCTTCTGCAACCAAGATCTTCTTTAATTAACTGACTGCATACTGAACACGTTAGTGTGAGTTTATTTACAGCTGCATAACTGACAAGACACTAATAATACGCTTGTGTAATGCATGTAGCACCACATACCCTTAATTACGTTCCACCTCTTATCATTACACACTAACGCGCCACTCACCTACCTGTCTCAAGACAAATACCATACATTCCCTTGGACGAAACTCAATCTACAAGTTAATGAAAAGCCATGGGATAATCCCCAACACCCAACCAGCTGTTTAAACACCTGCTGCTGCGTGAGGCATGGGGTTCACGGACACTTCCCTTGACACGTCCGGGCGGCCAGATAGTGCACCACTGTTTACACCTGCATCATCATCTGGACGTGACGTACACCTTTACAGAGACCCACACTATAATGAAAATAATAATAATAATAATAATAGTAATAATAATAATAATTATTATAAATAATACCATTGCGCAAAAAAATAGCTTCCAGCAATAACATTTTCCATTTTATTTTTGTTTTTACATTATCTAGGATGAATACTTGGAAACCCTTTAGATAATTTTCTTAGATTAAGGACCTGCCCGAAACGCTGCGCGTGCTAGTGGCTTTACAAGACTGTAATTACCATAATTGTATCCTCACATTCCTTATGTACATTCTTGTATATGCATAAATAAATAAATAAATAATGTACTACATTGGACCATTGACAGGGTAGATAGACAATGTAGATCAAGAGATAGCTATGGGTTCAACTATTATTTCCATCTCACAGGATGGTTAGTCATGCATGGCATTAGGGGAAGATAATACCGGCCTTAATACAAAAGCAAACCAGCTCTGACTGATCAGCTGGTTATAAGATTAATTTAGGAACTGTACTTGGGGTAGGTCTCGGGCCCATTGTTGATGATACGATCTGTATTGAATTTTGTAACTAGCACATCAAGATTGTAACTTGCTTAGCTAAATGAATAGTGGGGTTCAGTCCCTGATCATCGAGCCCATTATATGCTTCTGTAACTTTTTCCACTACCCCCCACAGTATGGGTATTGGGGTGCATAATAAATGAATTAAACTAAACATGACACATTTACAAACTAATTCTTGTAGATGTTCTAATCTGTATGAATAATTCTAATTATTCTTGCCAGTTGAGTTTAGTTCATTTATTATGCACCCCATACCCATCTTGTGGGCAGTACGGGAAAGGGATTTTTGCCGCTATGCGCTTTAATGTCTTTGCGAGACTGTACCAGTTAATCACCAAAATTTGTAATAATACAAATTAATTGTACCTTCTTATGTGTGTGAGTAAATAAATACGTTAATAGACGCTATATTAGTGTGGATTCCAAGTTGGGTTGAGTCAATGTCCTAGAGCCCAAGTTGAGTCACAACAGTGGGTGACTGACGGCTTCACTCTACGGATTCTAGAAGTTGAAAATGGTCATTGATTGTAGTAAGTTAGCTCGTGTCACATATTCTTTAGCCTTTATTAAGATATTATTGGTAGCTGAAACATAATATCTCATTATTAGCGTTGTTGTGGATTGTAATTTGCGTTGTTATTGATTGTGAAGCCTTAATAAGGTGAGCTGTCAAGAGGGCTTCAGGGCAGGTTAAAAGATCATTTGCGTGGACAGCGAATATAATTATCCATTATTATTATTATTATTTTGTTTTCTAAATTATCTAACATAAGCAGGATGCATTGCAGCGGACCTGTTGATCTATTCAGGGCGGTGCTCGCATAGATTGAATCATTCCATGATGTACAGTATATGGCTAATCTATCCCCTGTCTTACATACAGTATCTGTCATGGGGTTCAACCACTGCAAACTACCTCAAGCCAATCATCACTCAGGACAAATATGCTACCAGAACTATAACAAACTCTTAAGTCTTAAGACAGCACACAGCCCCTCTGTTCAAGTCCCTTAACCTACTAAACATTCACTCACTACACATATTCTTGTGTGCTATCTACATGTACAAAATCTTGTTCCTAAATGCTAATAGGAACAAGGAATGGTAAGTGTTAAACAAATAGTGAAACTCAAGCCAAATAAATCCCCAGGGCCAGACGAAGTGTTTGCCAGGGTGCTTAACCCTTGGACCGCGCATATTACCCCCATATTGGGGGGGCCTAATACCGAAAATTATTCAAATTATGTAAAAATAACTTAAAAATGTTAAACAAATCTCCAACTTATTGGCTTTAGTGTGGTGAAATTTTCATCAAAATATTTTTAGAAAATGATTTTAGACAAATTTTTAAAAAATATGAACATTTTGTTGATAAGGAGAACAGCTCCTAATAACTGGATCTGAAGGATAATGCAGTAATAAAGAGATGCAAGTACCTGTCCGACACTCGAAGAAGAATAGTAGTAAGAAGTGTCCACAAAGTGGAAATATAGTTGGTGCCTTTATATCATTGCTGAGTAATATGTATTAACACAAATAATAATGAGTAACTATGTTATTATGCTCTATTTTGTTATATATAATATAAATTCATTGTCCAATGTTAATATATGTTACTTTCATCAATGTCTTAAAAATATTTTTGTTTAAGGGAATTTTTTTTTAAGATTTTAGTTTTTTTTCTCCTTTGTTTATTATCCGAGTTTGTTGTAACCCTTACTTCCTGGAGTATACATGTATTTCCCTAACTATGTGAAGACAGGATGAAATTGGTCAACAAATAAGTCGGTCACAACTCACAAAACTTACAACTTATTTTTTTTGGCTGATTTTTCGCCGATTTAAGATTTAAGAAAGACATAGGTAAATACTAGTTCAGTAACAGGGTTGATGATTTGTGGAACCGATTACCACTTAACATAATAGAAGTAGGATCCCTTGATTGTTTCATGTGTAGGTTATACATATACAGTAGTGCATATGAATGAGATTAGGTCGCCCATCTTCTATAAATAGGAGCTGCCTCATATGGACCAATAGGCTTTCTGCAGTTACCTTCATTCTTATGTTTTTATGAATGTTCAGCTTCAGGGAGCCGACGGGGCTCCCCACAGAAAACCAGCGTTGAATGTAATGAAATGCTAGTTTCTGGGTGAGCCCCGGAGGCTCTCTGACACCCCCCTGCTCCACTGGTATAAAGTTACTTGCTTTTATTTTTCACCTTTGCCATGCTATATTCCTCTTACTGGTTATTGTCAAAGTCTATTTGCATTCTTTATTATTATAAATTACATTCTTTATAATCATTAATAAATTACCACAATTTCTTAAAAATGCAAATTACTTTTCCATATACATCCTGCCTTTCATTAAGTGCCCAGAGAAAGTGCTTGTTACAGTTATATGGTGTCCAGTACTATGTATGAATTAATGTAAATACAGAATATATTTATGTATGTAAATACTGTATTATTATACATACCTGCACCTGTTTCTAATTTTGCATATTTTTTTACAGAAAAACACCAATTTGAAATTCCACAGCGTGCTGTGTTTAGCCCTGAAGATGTGATTAAATGGGAACGATCAAATGCCTACCAGGTAATTCAGAAAATACTGTAGTCATAGGATAATCGTAAATCTTTTTACATTTCTAACTTATATGTGCTGGAGAGATACCTACCATTAGCCTAAGGGATATATATAAAAAAGAGAATTTTAAGGATATGGTTTTGGTTTCCTGGAGTCGGGGACAGGAAAACTATTAGGCTTATCGAGGTTGTCTTAGGCCATCTACTGATCATCCTCATAATGAAACCTACAACATTTACAAATGTTATGGCCTCAGGTAGCCAGTAACTGGGTTCTTTATTTCAAACACTGTGTATGTGGCCTTCGTGCCACTTCTTACATGATGTGTTGGTGTTTTGCTACATTTATTTCGGGTCATACGCTGCACTCGCTCGTCTTCTCTCTCCAGTCATAGCCCCCTCGATACTGGGGGTGTTCTGGATTTTCTATGTGGGGAACTTTCCTGGTTATTTTCTCTATATGCGGGTGTAGGGTGGCTCGGAGTGAAGCCTTCTCCATCTCTGCACTACACCTACTCTTCTCCTACTACACACGCAACTCAGGACATCGTCCTCTAGCGATGCTCTCAGAATATTTCTTAGCTATGCTATGTCATGATGCTATGGTGCCTCCTGTTACGGCCCTCTCGGGACGCAACGGGGTTCTCACTCTGATGTTATTAGAGTAAGTTGTATCCGACCCCAAGCCAGTAGTGGCTTTCAAGGGATGTGATCCGTGACGGAAGTAACTTAAAGGGGAAGGGAAATAAAGGCAAGAACTTAATATAATATATTGACCACCACCAATAAATAATATATAAAAAGATTACACGGGGGGAGGGGTATTAACACTGTACACAAACGTCTTCTCCTGAAGACTCTGGATCCAAGCTCTCGGTGCTAAGTCTTCGGTGCTTTCGTGGCCTCACAACGAATCCTTTGAGAAGCTGAGCCTACCCTGGCCACAGGTCAGCCAAAACACAGGTCCACTGGGGGCACCACTGTGGAGGCCGTCAACCACAAGTCCAGCAGGTCTGCTGGCAGGTTCCGGACCAGCAACGCTGGTAAGGCCACTCCACGAGCGATATTAGGGTAACGCCCTAGACAGGAGCCTCGTGTGATACCACAAATCACTCTCCTGTCCTCAATACCCCAGTGGATAATCGTCTCCAGCAGTCGGTCCCGGGTAATCCTTCTACTGCCACTCCACTGGCAGGGTAACACCACAGTGTTCTTCCGGGGGGACGACTTCACAGCTGCTGCAGCAAAGCACAAGGTATGGAGACGGCTGCCTTGGGTAGACTGACTCAACTTCCATCACAGCAGTCCCAGGTCGACTCTGTAAGCAGACACGTCATCAATAACTGGGACATACTAAAACACCCCACTTACAGGCTCAGACACAAACGCCTGACATATCCACTCCATAGATGGCGTTGTTGTCTGAGCACCACCTCACCAGAGGTCAGCAGCGGCTGTGTTGAGCGCTGAACGAGACTGGAAACTGGCCCTCGTAGCCAGTACTCGTCGTCCTCACCAGGTGTCGTCGTCCATTTGGTGGGGGTTTCGGGAGCTGACCCACAGATGGCGCGGTCGTCACTGCTCCGTGCTCGGACGCTGGATCCGGGTTCGTAACACCTCCGCTCTGCAGAAGAGATTATACGGTCTGGCGATGCTATCTGCCAGGCACTAATTCTCGATTTTGGATGAGTGTTGGGCTTTCTTTGTAGTGCTGTTGGCCGGTTTGCGTGCATCTTAACGTGACCTTACTATGTCCGCATATGTTGTTATTCGTTACACTGTGGGGCACGGCCCCAAAATTCAGGACCTTTTGCTTTAATCTTTTGGCAACTGAATCTTTTCCGGATATCTGGACACTCATTCCTTGCCTGTCTTCCGTGCTTGGCTGCCCCTCTATGTATACTTTGGATTCTCTGTTTATATAGTGGATTGTGTACATTCAGTTGCTGATTGCTGCCTAGGTCATGTTCGTTCGTCGTATTGATTTTACAGTACTCTCTTGTCCTCACTACCGGTCTTTGGGCCGTAATTATTTTCTTTTTCATGGCATGTTTCCGTATATCCTGCACATGGATGTTCACTTGAGGTGAGATGGTACAGGACATGATTGAGATGAATGAATGACATAATGAATATTAATAGGCCATTAAATGCCTATGTTCTTGCTTCTACTCTTTCTCTGTTGGTTCGGGGTCTTGGAGTGGGTAGAATGTAATTACGTGTTGACTGCTGGTCTTGATTTTTTGATGTGTAGGGCTTCGCTGATGTCCACTCTTCTGTTGTCGTTATACCTGTCGGTTATTTCAGTGTTGCTTGTTAAGATGTCTCTGGTGATGGTCTGGTTGTGTAAGGAGATTATATGCTCCTTGATGGAGCCCTGTTGCTTATGCATTGTAAATCTCCTAGAGAGAAAGAGACGTTGTTGTCTTGCCTATATACTTTACTGAGATCTTTGGGGATGACAGTACCCAACCCATCATGTGAAGGCATAGACAATGTTGGTCTCTTTTAACCACTGCATTGTGCCGTCCAAGAAAACCCTTTTTTATTTTTTCATACACAGTCGAAACGCATGCCCGGAAGGTTGGGTTCGAAATGAATTCCTCGGACCTCCAGTGAGAGGCAGCCACTTTGAAAAAAATTCCCAGATCTCCCTAGGGCTGCTGGCAGGATCAGTTCTGAATGAGCAACCAAGGGTGGTGCACGCGCCTCTGGCTTCCAAACATTTGTCGGACGCGGTGTTGAAAGATCACTCTCAGTCAGTGAAATTCAGACCTTATTGTTTAAAGAACATAATGGTCATTCTGGGAGATATTGATGAAGCTAGGCACAATAAAGACCTAACACAAGGGTTGGATGCAAGTGATACAGCACCGATGAGGATGATACAGTGAACGTATCCAGTTGTAGCTGAGCGTCACCCATGCTCGCCCGTGTTATCTCCAATTTTTTTTTATAAATGATACATAGATGAATCGTTTTGTGAGTTCAGTGATGATGCATCTAATGATGGGGATTCCCGTGGCCCTGAGACGGAACACACGCTCAGGAAAGATCAGGCAGGCTACTGCTAACCGGTGCCCAAGTCTACCAACAACCTTCTAAGTACTGAACCCCTGGGATGTGTACACTCACGGGGACCTAGAAGGGGGTACCGCCAAAAATACAGAAGTGTACAAAATACAGATAAGGGGGAACCAAGCAAAGGCAGAACCCCCCCCCCCACCATGCAGGGAAAACAAAAACAAAAATAAAACCCCGCAAGAGGACAACGTACCCAGGCGGAACAGAGCCGGCCACCATGATAGGTGAAAACTAGATGCGCAGTACCCTGCGCCCCTACCAGTGCAAACTGCCTATGACCCTAAGGTGAACAAGGGAGCCAGAACACCCCAGCACACATAGGACGGCCGAAAGCCAAGCAGCAAACGACCAGAGGCAGAACCCTAGGAACTTGGGGAAGGCGGCCCAAGCCCCAAGGGCAGTACTTACCGGGTACCTAGGTGAAGGTAACCCTAGGTGCATGCAGCCCGAGTGCTGAAGAATTACTCCTGGCTTGCGCACCCCCTGTGTGACAGCCACCACACCACAAGGGCACAGAGCTGAAGACAAAAACTGGAGTCAGAGTACACGACTTCAGCCAAGCGCATCAGCCTCAGAACTGGGGTTTTGGATAGCCGGCATGGGGGGGGGTCTGGGGTTCCCCATCCCCCTCCCGGGTAGGGGGGGGCTGTGCATATGGCGGTGCGGCGACGTGGTGTCGTTATACTCGTTTGCTCGTTTTTGTTTTGGGAGTTCTGTTCACTAGTTCGGCTTTTAGTCGCAATTTCTTAATCAGAATAGGGTTTGTTTTGGGATGATTACCTTTCTGGGTGCCTGACCCAGTCTATGGCAGACATAGAATGCTTCCAACCACATGGGGGTTTCTATAGGCCATTGCCCCTCGTACCTCTCAGAGGGGGCCAGGTTCTGGCTCGTGGTCCCCGGTAGGCCTATGAACTCCTTTCACACTGATGCCAAAGTCTAATATTAGCAATATCAGCCTGGATAGCTCCAGGGAGCCTCCGGGTCTCATCCAGAAAATGGCATTTCATTACATTCAATGCTGTTTTTTTCACCCACAGGGTTATAAACCCATGGAACTACGTACCTGTGGAATTCATAAATTCCAAAACTATGTTGGATTTTAAAATCTACCTGGAAAACATCATCAAGGCAAATGGGGGGGGGGGGAGGGACCTTTGACACGCTTCTGGCTTCCTGTCCTCGACAAGGCCACTAGGGTCAGTGGTCATCTGGTAAATCAGGTAGATAAAGGTAACGTGATTGTTAAGAGCTTGCTGTCTGTTTATATTGCTAATTTTTATTTTAGTTCATTTATTATATACTCCATACCCATCTAATGAGGGGTAGTGGAAAAGGCTACAGAGGCACATAATTAGATCAGCAACTGAGCCCCCAATTTTTTTTTTAGCAATGAAGTTACAACACTGATGGGCTAGTTACATAACTTGTTAACATAAGTAAACAGTGTCTTCATAATTTACTAGACTTTCATATAAAGCAATAACTTGGTCTTGTTTTAGTCATGTATATTTCTTCTCCCCATCAGGACATATTAGGTTTCTTGACTGCAATGAATGCAGCAGTGAAAGGCAAGAAGTTGAGTGCTGAGTGTAACATGAGTCCAGTTACAACTGGACTACTAAACCTGCTGGATACACTCAGCCAGTGGATAGATGACATACCTCCCATTGACCAGCCTCAGCGTTATGGCAATAAAGCATTTCGGGACTTTTATGCTAAACTCAAGCAGGTACTATACTGTACTAATTTTTTTTAATTTGTAAACTGTATTAGTTTCCTGTTTATTTTGTATACTTTAAAAATATTGGGATGAAACAACTACTAAAAATGATAGGAGTGAATTATGATGATTTACAATTCAATCATTGTTAACGGGAAGTCACAGCAAAATGAAAGTCCTTCGAATGGAATGAAACTTTAATGGTTATATGTATATTAGGGAGTAATCAAAATGCAGTAGTAAAAGGATCGACAAAATATAAGCCAATCTTTCTTCTTGATATTCTGTGTATGATAAAAGTTTGAAAGATTGCAGACTTCAGTAGCTTGGCGAATTAAACCTAACTACAACATTTCACCTAGATATTCATAGTGAACAGAAGGTGAATTGTTTATTTTCACTATCACTGACACACAACAATAAAACATGCAATTTGTCTCATTAGTTTTCTCATTTGCATACTGTATATCATGTTAGTTGTTCCATTGTTACAACACAATAAAACAACTACAGTATAGCAACCTAATGCATCCTTCCGAAATGTCAGATTGAGCTGTAAACTAGTTAAAGTTCATTGCTACCTGTCACACACAGTAGTGTATATTTATCTGAATGCTGTACTCACCTAGTTGTGCTTGCTGGGGTTGAGCTTTGGCTCCTTGGTTCTGCCTCTCATCAGTCAATGTACTGGTAATTACCTAAGTGTAGTTACAGGATGAGAGCTATGCCCGTGGTGTCTCGTCTTCCCAGCACTCTTTATCATATAACGCCTTGAAACTACTGACGGTCTTGGCCTTCACCACCTTCTCACCTAACTTGTTCCAACCATCTACCACTCTGTTTGCTAAAGTGAATTTTCTAATTTCTTCGGCATCTGTGTTTAGCTAGTTTAAATCTATCACCTCTTGTTCTTGACATTCCAGGTCTCAGGAACTCTTCCCTATCGATTTTATCAATTCCTGTTACTATTTTGTACGTAGTGATGATATTGCCTCTTTTTCTTCTGTCTTCTAGTTTTGGCATATTTAATGCCTCTAACCTCTCCTCGTACCTCTTGCCCTTCAGTTCTGGGAGCCACTTAGTAGCATGTCTTAATTAATTATCTGGTGACTATCAAGACTCCGTCAGTCGTCCCCACAACCTGACCATTACTCTTCCTAACAGGAAGGTTGGTGTACAGGTTCCTGAGCTTCTTAAGCTTTTATCATATCTACATTTGAAATTGTGTTTAAATTACAAAGAAATTAACACGTGATGACCAGTGTGACAGTGTCAGACCACAGGAGGATTAAGACATGAATTTCCCTAAGTACTTTCGTATTTAATAATACATCTTCAGAAGAATATCCTTCTGAAGATTTGAAATTGTGTATGGAGTCAGCCTCCACCACATCACTTCCTAATGCATTTCATTTATTAATTACTCTGACACTGAAAAGGTTCTTTCTAATATCTCTGTGGCTCATTTAGGTACTCAGCTTCCACCTGTGTTCCCTTGAGTGAGTACCACCCGTGTTAAATAATCCATCCTTATCTACCCTGTCAATTCCCCTGAGAATTTTGTATGTGGTGATCATGTCTCCCTGATAAACACTTCTGGTGGATTTTGGTAGTTCTTCCCCCTGATCCAGTGTGTGCTGTTTTGGCAGTGGTTCATGCAGTTTTGGTAGTAGTACTGGTGCTGGAGAGTGTGGTAGTTTCTGTAGAGTTGGGGGGGGGGGTGTAGTATGTGTGCACCTGATGGTGAATGGTAGTCCAATCTTGGGCATTTCTCCCTCTCCCTCTCCATCCTGCAATGTTTCTGTCTACCTGCCTGCCTGCCTGCCTCTAAAAAACTTCCAGGGTTATTATATTGGACTTCCTTTCTTCTATAGTTTTGTGTACCTCTCACATGGAAATCAGGGCAATGAAGATCATAGCATTTTCTCTCATTAATTGAGAGTTTGCATAGTTTATGGTGGAAATATCTGCACTTTGTTCCAAAACGACATTTACCCCTCCCTAGTATGTTTCGGCATTTTTGGGGATGTATGAATGTGCATTTTGTGCCTTTGGACCCATATCTGCACATTCCTTTTGCATAATATTTGCAAATATTATCATTTGTGATTTTAACCTGGTTGTTTATATCTGTGCGTGTCTTGGCCGCCTCTGTTTTGGGATAGTCATTGTTTTTTATCCTAACTTTTTTGTTTCTGCATTCTTTCTCAGAATTGCTCTCATCTTTCTCATTTTTGTTCTCATTGTTCATATTACTGGTTGGCTCTTCAATATTACTGTCGTTTTTATGTACTTCGACAGAATGTCCTTCCACATTGCTAATTTGACTCTAAACTATCAGTCCCTGGGTTGTTTTGTTGTTGTTATTTTTACATAATCTGCATATATTTCTGGTAGCTTTTCAGGGAATGGTAGCCTATGTACTTCAGAAATGTTATTCATTAGTTTGGTGATGTTTTCCCACATCAGTCTATCATTGTGACAGATCCAGTGAATACCTTGTCAGTTTGCATAGTGTGTAGGTAATTGTGTACAACTCGGGTGAAATCTTGTGTTACAAATGATACATAAATTCACAACAACACTCTTCCAAAGTGATTTAAAGCAGTTGATATGCACCTCCATGTTGGGTTTGTGGTGTAGAGGTTGTCTGTTCCCCTATTTGTGATTTACCATCTTTATTCCTTGTTGTCTGTACTATTTTAGTATTTGTAATATATGTATATATTTATATCTTCAAACCTTTTGTACAGGTACTTATCATATGGTACAGGAAGGTAATTCCACTGGTTGGTAGTCCCCCTGGTAGTAGTCTCACTGGGATGTGTTTGACTGTCGTCCTGTCCCAGGTCGCTACCCTGCAAACACACACAACGTAACTCTCTCCATTTTCCCCTTGTTACAACTTGTAATAAAGTTGTTACATCTTTTTATAACATTTTTATAACATATTTGAACGTTGTTACAACTTGCTATATTGATTGCTACAACTTGTTAGGTGTTAAAATTTGTTCGAACGTTGTAGCAGCGTCGTATTTTCATCGTGTGTTTGGCGGGTAGGTGGATATGACGAGTTGCCAGTTACTTGATCTTGTAATATTGTTGTCTTATTTACTCTGCCTATTACCATAAGCAGTTTTCTGATTAATTTCCGGTCTATTATTAATTCCTAAATTCACATTCCTATATTACAATATACAGTATATTCACAGTATATTATCACTGAGGGACATCTTTTACACTAGGTAGGCCTCGTGGCTGGTGGCTTACAGCCATGAGGTTGTAAGTGTGTTGCCTCATTTTGGCACTATTATACACTTTTAATTTCACATGTACAATTTTCCTACACTTTGAACTTGTATGTGTGTTGTGTTACACATTGCACTTCACTGTTCAATGTACCACTGTTCACTATATTTAAGATATTTTGGCTATACACATGTATACATGACCCTCATAGTACTGGCTCCCACATGGTCCCACATTTATTCTCTATTTAACACAAAGTTCCATTATTAATCATTGTGGGGGAGGGTTAGTGTTTTGGGAGAGTGAGAGGGGGTGGGAAAGTTGGGGGGTGGGGGAGAGGGGTGTGAGAGAGAGCAATGGATAGTCACTAGCTAGTTCTTGTCACATAGATGTTACAAAAAATTCTTACCCTAAAATGAGCCACATGAGATTTTTAAATATATGTGATATATTTAAAAATTTATATTTTAAATCACTCTGTATACCATATACATGACCTAGAGAGAGAGAGAGGTACCTACTAGCCAGCCTTCCTGCTCAGCACAGACTAGGTGAGTATAATTGTTGTCCTGTATGGCAAGGTTGGTCAAATTTCCTGTCCTGGTACTGCAGCCACTGCTGGTTTCTAGGTGTTCCAGTTGTGCTATTTTTTCCTGTCTTTGTCAAATAAGTGTCAGTCATTGTGGAATAATTTCCATGCATTGCAGCACACTTTCGAGATCAATCACTATGGATGCTCTAATGACACTTCACAGATTCAAGCAAAGGAAACAAGGGTGCCAAAAAAATATTAGAAAGTTTTCTTTTGCAAACAGTGGTAGATGGTTGGAACATTCTAAGTGAGAAGGTGGTGGAGGCCAAAACTGTCAGTAATTTCAAAGCGTTATATGACAGAGAGTACTGGGAAGACGGGACACCACGAGCGTATCTCTCATCCTGTAACTACACTTAGGTAATTACAAACACTGTTCTCTGTTATGCTGTTCCTGACCCACTGCCTACTGTTGACACTGGTGTTGCCACTAGAACTTGTATTTATTTTATGAATCTTATCTAACGCTAAATGAATTCACTACGAAACAATGATCACTGCATTACTTTACACAGCATGGGGACCAAATACTATGTTTTGTTCTCTATAACACTTCAATATCCCGAGATACTGATATTAATTCACGGATGCTCGCTGACTGACGACTGAGTACAGTACATGTATCAATGCCTAAATACACAATATGGTGATGTATACATTACTGTAAATATGTCCATATTGTACATCGTGACAATGATGTGCAGGTGTGGATTTGACAGTTAAGATAACGACATTACTTGCTTATCCTTACTAATCTTTGACCCAACCTGTTGGAATAGTCAATATAGCATTGGACTTGTTTCTTGTAGGTCGGCATTTGATCTCTGACAGTACAAATGGTTGGGCACCACTCCTTCATTCTATTCCAACTCCTTGTCCTCATCTCTCTTCCAAGTGCTTTATAGTCCTACTGGCTTAGTGCACTCTCCAGATAATTATCTTACTAATTTCTTACTCAGAATGGTGAAGAAGTTGTACAAGAAGCATTACCAGAGGAGTTTCATGCAGCTGTCCCAGAGATAACAACCTATTTAATAGAGAGTGTTGGCAATTCAACTCGTATTGACTATGGAACTGGACATGAGTTATCATTTATAATTTTTCTTGCCTGCATCTTTAAAATAGGGGCTTTGAAGCAAGAAGATTCTATTGCAGCAGTCACAAAGATATTTAATCGGTAAGACATATTCATAGGTGCTTGTTGGATGGTAATATTAACTATGTAATTAATAAATTTTCCTTACATTAATAAATAATGTAAGGAAATGGCTTCCCACAAATCGGGCTTTTCTTGGGGGAGCCCCTTGTGACTTCCTGAAGCTACCATCTCCGATGTAGGTGCCATCGGTCGCTAAGTTATTTGGCCTATTGGAGACCGTGCCAGAAGTGGATCATTGATGCCACCTCCTTCCTCTGGCACTGCGAATCATTTGGTTGCTCGGACGTGGACCTCTTTGCGTTGGCTTTGTGTCCTAACATCTTCCTCTTTATGCGGCACCATTCCATGAGTGTGACGCCCTCGCAGCTCAACTAGTCTAGGTTTGGGTTTCTCTACCTCTTCCCCAGTCCAACTGTTGCTCTAGTTCCTGGTGCAGTTGGAGTTCTATGAGGGGAAGGCGATTCTTCTGGCTTCTTCTTGGCCGACCCAGCCTTGGTTTTCGTTGGCGCTTGCTCCGTGTCCGAATCCTGCCATTTTTCTGCGGCTCCGCCTCTTCCGGAGGGTTGATCAGACAACGTGCTTTGCTGGTTTGACCTTCTCTGCTCTTCATGTCTGGAGATTTTAACGTGGGTGATTCCTCATCTTTCTGGCAATTTGGTGGCTTTGTTGAGGTGTCCCACTTGCAGTCTTCCTCCGGGCAGCAGTGTGTGTGTTTAGTTCGTGACGTTGGTTTGCCACTCTCTTTATTCCTCTTTGCAGTTCTTTGTTTTGTCCAGCTCTTTATGTTTTGACTTCTCTTAGTCAGCATCTTATGCCCCTCTGTCACCTCATGTTCTTTGTTCCTGCGGCACTGGCTGTGGTTTGCGTTTGGGATCAACACTTCCTCGGCTCTGTTTCGCAGGCTGAGTGTTCACTTCCAGCCTTCATTGTGCTGCCTGAACTGTCTTAATCTCTGGCCCATATTTCTTCTTTTCTCTTTTCCACTTCGTTTTGATGTCTCCTTCTGTTCGGCTTATTTCTGGTTGCCGGTTTCCGAGCTTGGTGCACTCCTCCGGTTCTGGTTCTTGGCCTTTCTCCCTGTTGGGCCATTTCCTTCCTATTGGGCCATTTCCTCTGTGCTGCTGGCCCCTTTTTTTCTGGCTGAGATAGGGTCAGATAGCCTCCAGAAGGGTCCTTGCATCTTTGAGGTTTGTTGGTGTGGCCAGGGGTGCTTCATCTGTTCTCAGATGGGAGTTTCTACCTCGCCCTCTGTGCCACCAGTTCTGCCTCAGTGGCTACCTTGTAGATTGTTCTGGTCTCCTGGGTCCCCAGATCCGGGGGTTTCTTTTTGGGTTGTCTGCAGTGTTTGTTTGATTGCCAGCCTGCGATCTTTTCTCACGTCTGTGTGGGTTCAAAGATTTGCCATTTCTCAGCTGTCCTCCCATTCCTGTCCTGGGCTGGTTTCGGGTGTGGGGAGTGTTGAAGGTCGACCAGGATGTTGGCAGCCTGGTGCTTGGAAAGTGTTCCCAGGCCTTATTGCCCTTTGTGTCGTGTTTGGTCGGCTTTCTAAGCCAACAGTCTTGTCTTTATTTTGATGCCTGTGGTGCTCCCTCCTCCCTGGAGTGTACCCCATTTCTTCCTTCTCGACGGGTAGTTAGTTTTAGGGAGCCACAAGGGGCTTTTTCCTGAAAACAAGTGTTGAATGTAATGAACTGCCAATTTCTGGGCGAGTCCCAGTGGCTCCCTTACACACTCGCCTCTTCCTAGGGAGTCTGGTTCTTACATCATTCATGAAACTGATGATGCAGTGGCCTGTTCCCCCTCCTTTTCCAAATGAGGGGGAGGGGGTGGGGAAAACAAGCAGGTGCTAGGTTATGACATTTGTTATAAATGTTAATATGGGTCATTTATTTACATAGTTTGGGGAGTTTGTGGCTGTTTTCGAGTTTGTAGGTGTCGGAAGCAGCCAGCTGTAGTTTTTATCTCTGACATTCTGGGTGCTTCCTTTGGTGGTGGCATAAATGAATAACTTAATATATAAATGTCACCACTCCCTGCCCCTCTGTAAGGAGACCAGGTACTGGCGCCGTGTCCCCGGTAGGCCAGAGAACTTCACGACTGATGGCACCTAATAGATGTACCTACATTGGTGATGGTAGCTTCAGGAAGCCACCGGGGTTCATCCAGAAATTGGTGTCTCATTACATTCAATTTTTTTTTAAAGTAATATAATTAGTTAATGAAAACATGTCTATAAATGGTGATTTCTTACCATGTCTGTTCATTGCACAATTATAAAATGCTGTTTCCTAAATTTCTTTTAGGTATATTGCTTTATCACGTAAACTTCAGATGGTCTATAAGATGGAGCCAGCAGGCAGTCAAGGGGTATGGAGCCTAGATGATTATCAATTTATTCCTTTTATTTGGGGATCATCACAACTACAGATGCACCCAAAAATTGCTCCAGAGATGTTTAGCAATGAGAAGATCGTCAATGATAATGCAGATGAATATATGTTTTTGGCATGTATTAAGCATATATTATCGGTAAGTGCAGGAAGTCATGTTTGTGCTATGTGCTGAGGCTGTGATCCTGAGTAGTGTCAAAGATTGGGTGTACGTGTTTTTAAGTACTGTACTTAAGTTCTGTTTTTAACTTAACCTATATTGCTCTCCAATTTCCTCTTGAGTTGATGCCACCCCACTCCTCACAGCTACAAAATGGCACTTAAAATGTAATATGATCATAAATAATATTATCTTGTTTTCTGAAATTTAGCTTTTATTTTAGAATCTTCTCCAAGGTTTATTGAATGGTGTACAAATAAAAATTCTGGATCCCATTTCGTGCCTGAGAATCTTCATATTTCCAAAGGTTTCTACCTTCCCGCATTTACCCTTCGGTTGCTTGCACGGATTTGTTTCAGTACCTTCAGCAGAATTCAGACCTTTCTCAGTGATGGATCTGGCCTTCTGAGTATGAATCATTCTCGACTTATTGGCTGCGATGTGAGGTTCTGGATTCATCCTGGCTAACTGATATCTCCTCTTTTTCTTGGAGGCCTGGCAAGGATTGTGAGGGACCCACATGTTTGATTGGCTGGAGGTGTGTTCAGTCTTTTGGACATTCATAGATGGTGCTTCTTATGCTCTGCTCAAGGACTTCATGTTTGCTCCAGTGCTCCCCACAGATGTGGGCAAGTTGCAGCTACCTTTGCTATCTGGGGGCTTGTACTGTGGATGACCACAAGGCATGTGTGCACTTGGCAGTGGTCTAGTGGGTTGGGCGTACCCAGAGAGTCTTCACGGAGAGGCTCTCTGGGTAGCTCCACGAAGATGTGGGTTAGCTTGATAGTCCAAATACAGTAATTGCAGAAAGTACTGTCTAAACAGAAGGATGGGGTGGCCTAAGCAGCTTTGCCCAAGATTGCCCCCTCTCTTTGCCCCCCCGCTCCTTCGAGAGGTGGTGGCTCCTTTTACTGTACTCGGTCTGCCTTAAGCGTTAACAGGCTATGTTGGCCCATTAGTTAGATTCAACTTGGTCTCTTTCTCTTTTGTCCACTTCCTCCTCCTCTCCTCTTTTTGGATGATGCAGTGTCCCAAGTTTTGTCTGCAGCAGCCTTCTTCTGTTGGCCTACTGATCACTTGTCATTTTCTCATAATTCTGCATCTAATAGGTGGTGGTCTGGTTGGGTTGAAACCTCACCTGCTGCTGTTCGAGGTAGGTCCCAGGGGAGAGTCAGATTCCCAGGCCATTCTGCTTCCTGTTGCAAGTTTATTTTCTGCTAGATGTCACAACTGCACATTGTGGAATGATGGTTCCACTCGTATGTGCTGACCCTTTCACAGCTCACCCCTTTGATGCTGTTGTAGGGGGCATCTGGCTTGTTTTGCCAGCTCATCGTCTCACGAATCATGGGCCTTTCAGGTCTTTTCCCATGGCCTGCAGTGGTCGGTCCCCTCTCCCTTTCTTGGGGTCAGGGCTTTCAGGTCGGGTATCCTATCTGGCTCTGCTTCTGGTCATTGCAGGTTGGTTGGCGTCAGATGTTGTCACGTTGATATCGTCCCTTCAGTATGTGTCCTGGTTGTTCCCAGACCCATAGGACGACTCACTGGACCTACAGTACATCCTCAATATTTTGGGTTTGAACACTGGATATATGCAAATCACAGACCACTAAGGAGAAAGAGAAAATGATGCAAGCTGTAACTAGAATGGCATTACCTCTATAGGCGACAAAAACAAATTGCAAAACATTTTAAATGCTCAACTCTATCTCAAAAATAACAAAGAAGGCTATGTAGAGAAATAGAAATGATTGAGCTAAGATTGCAAGTATCGTATAAAATTAAGGAGAGACAGAAAGAGCAAAAACGCCATTAGCAAAATTGAGAGGAACCCAAAATATTCTTTCCCCTATGGAAAATCTAGAACAAAAAAAGTAGGGAGATGGATCTTTAACTTCCTAACAAATAGAGTGTAATAGTCAACAAAGTAAAATCTGAATCATCCACCGTGAAAAGCTCAGTTCCCCAAGGTACTGAGCTTGCTCAGATACGTTTCCTCATCCTCATATCTGACATAGACAAGGATAGAAACTATAGTACTGTATCATCCTTTGCAGATGACATTAGAATTTTCCTGAGAGTAGACAACAGAGGACACAGCAAACCTCCAATCTGATGTTTAATGAGGATAAGTTTCATTTACTGCAGTATGGAAAAATGTAAACATCAAAGCAGAAACCACGTATAAAGCAGTCAAACCACACTATTAAAAGAAAAAGCAATGTAAATGATTTTAGAGTAATCATGTCTGATGATCTTACTTTTAAAGAATACAATAAAGTTCCTGTCACAACTACAAGAAAAATAACAGGTTGAATCGACTTGAGAATGGTCCAGGACGGACCGAAACGTCGTCGTCCCTTCAACTTCTAGTGTGTGGTCTGGTCTATATAACAGGTTGAATAACAAGAACCTTGCCAGTGGTACTTTTTAAGACATTAGGGCTCTCTAAAGTGGAATTTTATTGCACACTTGCCCCATTCAAAGCTGGAGAAATTGCTTCCCTGGAAAGTGTGCAATACATCCTCTGCCACTAGAATCCACTCAATAAAACATCTAAATTATTGGGACCATCTAAAAAATTTAAATCTGTATTTCCCAGAGCACAGGTGGAAGAGATACGTAAAAATTTACACTTGGAAAATATTAAAAGAACTTGTCCTAAATCTGCACACAAAAATAACACCACATGAGACTAGAAGGCATGGCTGGATGTGCAAAATAGACCCCACTGAAGAGCAGAGTTGCAATAGGCATCCTGAGAGAGAACTCGATCAATATCAAAGGCCCAAGACTTTCCAACACTCTTCCTCTATACATATGAGGCATAACTGGTCGACCTCTCAGTGTTCAAAAGAGAACTCGACAAGCACCTTCAAAGAATACCTGATCAACCAGGCTGTGACTCTTAAGTCATGATGTGAGCAGCCACATCAAATAGCCTAGTTGATCAGACCAGCAACCAGGAGGCCTGGTCAGAGACCAGGGCCACTGTGAAATTGAGTCCCCAGGATCTTCAACAGATATTCAATCTTCATTGTCTGACCAACCTTCTGCAGCATGACCACCTTGGCTTAAGTGTGCCTGGTTTTACAGGCTGGAGCTTGAATGGTATCCTTGGACCTCAAGGATGCATACTGGCTCATCTCTCTTCATCCCAGGTTCAGGGGCTGGTTAGGTTTTATGGTGGAGTATCAGGCTCACCACTTCAAGGTTCTTCCTTTTGGTTTGAATCTGGCTCCCCCATGTGTTTACCAGGTTGGTGCTGGTGATTGTCACCTGGTTGCACCTTCTTGGGGTTTGTGTGTTGGCTTACCTTGACAACTGGCTGGTATGAACTCCCAGTCATCCCTTGTCAGCTCGTCAGGTTCAGATTCCTGGTGAACTGGCGGAAGTCCCAGTTGGTTCCATCCCAGGTTTGGACTAGGGTTTGCCTCTGTTGGGACTCTTGTCAGCTTCTCTTTCCCTGCCTCTGGCAGCTTTGTGTGATCTGCAGTTTCATCACCAGCTGGTGTTTGATTAGCCCGTGGGTGACTAACCGATCAGTTGAGTGGTTGTGCAGGAGCATCAACTTTGCTTGAATTGTCTTTCCTCTGGACATTGGTCCGGTTTCTTGGTTCTGTCCGTTTCGCCGCTCCTGGGACTGGTGGGTTTGGCCCTCACCCGTCCTTTGTTGGCTTCTGTCTTGCCAGCTTCCTCTTCTAGATTTTTAGTGTTTGGTTCTGTGGCGAATCCTTCCCCAATCGCTCGGTGTGTTCAAGGACACTTTGGGCTCTGTGTTGGGGCTTCATTAGCTGTGCTCTCATCACATCACCCAAGGTCTCTTCTTTGTCCTAACTTATTCTGTTCTCCCTCCTCCCTGGTAAGTTTTTCCTTCTCTGTGGATAGCTTCATGGAGCCATAAAGAGCTCCTACCAGAAAACCAGCATTGAAAGCAATGAAATGCCAATTTCTGGGTGAGCCCCAGTGGCTCCTTGATATTCTCCTTCCCTTCCAGGTTGTCAGGAAGGTTTGTGTATTTACTTGTATATTTGATCTATGACTGACTGCTCAGGCCCCTTGGTGGTGGTGGGCCTCTTGCCCCCAAACAAGTGGGGGAGGTGAGGCGAATGAGCTTATGCTAGTTTCATGAGATTCAGTCATTTGTTTAATAGTTGGGGAAAATCATTATGTGGCTTTCGAGACTTCAGTCTCCTTTGAACCCAGCATAATTTATTTTGACTCGCTGACTTTCTGGATGTCTTCCCAGTGATGTGGCGAAATGTTACTGCTCCCTTCACCACTGTGCAGGGAGCAGACCAGGATCTGGTTCTGGTCCTTGGTAGGCTTATGAACGCTACGGCTGATGTGACCTGGTAGATGGGAACCATCTCAGTGTACAGCTTCAGGGAGCCACCAGGGCTCAGTAATTGGCATTTCATTAGATTTAGCACTTGCTTTTTATTAGAATAAAGTCATCTTTTTTCAGTCATCAGTTTACTCCATTTACTAACCTATCCAGATACGTCTAAATGTAATTTTCTAAAAGTAATTCATCAACTTTATTCAGTAATTAAAACATTTAAGCTTATTTTATAAACATGATAAGGAAGTGACTGCTTGGGTGTTTAGCTGCTTATTGTACAAATTCTTTTTTCCAGGTGAAAACTGGGCCATTTGCTGAACACTCCAACCAGCTGTGGAATATCAGTGGTGTCCAGTCTTGGAGTAAGATAAACCAAGGCTTGATTAAGATGTATAAAGCTGAGGTACATTATATCCTATACTTTTGTTTTAGTAGATCAGTACTGGGTGGTGTAATTTTTTCTTTGCATAACAAGTTTTTGGATGGCAGTGTTTCCCTAATGGATTTTTTAAATATTTTTGTGAAGGTCATGGTTTAATTATAACACAGTAATTCATTGTGTCAGGGAACAGGCAGCCAGTGTATATATACATGTTAGGCTTATGTAGAGGTCCTCCACCCCGCAAGGTTAAACTGACCCGCCTCAGGATGCAACCCCATAACCAGCTGCCTAACTCCTGGGTACCTATTTACTGGTAGGTGAATAGGTGCATTCAGTGAGAGGAAACATGCCTAACCATTTTTGTCCCACCTGGGATTCAAACCTGGAAATCTTGATTGAGAGTCAAAAAAATGAACTCAACTGTTCTACCGGTATTCAAATAGAAGTGAGAACAGGGAAGAAGTGGCAAGTGAGGAAGTACTGTGATCAGAACAAAAGATGTACAAAGGTAAAGTGAAAGTTTGGGTGGCTCTTATATTACTAATAATAATAATAATAGGGCGGCATTTGACAGGACTGGGGTTTGTAAGTCAAGATATAAGCAAATGACGTGTCATAATAACATGGCTGAAAATATGATGACAAAACCATGCATCAGAAAATAGAGAAATGACAATGTTTTGGTCCATCCTGGACCATTAACAAGTGGCACACGGCTTGATAATGGTCCAGGATGGACCGAAACATCGTCTCTCCATTTTCTGATACAGTATTTAGTTTGGTTGCCAAATATAAGATTAGAGTAAGTAATTAAGTGCAGTTTCCCTAGGTGTGTGCCTGCCCCTGTCAAGACAAATTAGCATAGTAAAGAGATGAGAACATTTAAGACAAATTGAATGCTTTAAGTTTTGATAAAGTTAGAAATGTCCTTCTGCTAGAATATACGAATTTTAGAATGAGAAGTGGGAATGTTGGAGAATGAGAACTAGCCAAAAGTAGAAATATAGATTTTTCTGATAAGATTTTGTGCCAAGATCACACATTAAAGTATGATATTTAAGCAGTATGAAAATCTATTACATTAGCATTAGTCAGGATTTGGGGCCATATAGTTTCATTTTGCCTTTAGAAACATGTTGTATACTCTTAAGCCCAGGCTTAGAGAAATATTGGAATTCCAAGTTAATTAAAAAATAGTAATTTTGGGGGTTCTACAAAGATATCTCAAGTACTGTAATAATACAGTAGTTTACAAATATTTTAATGATTTCTCGAACATCTTACAGGTTCTCCACAAATTTCCTGTTGTTCAGCACATGCTGTTTGGAACCATCTTGTCAATATCTCCAGCAACAGAGATCACCTTCCATTCTCCAGGCACTGATATGCCAAATATGAGAATTCCTGCGACTGTTGGACAGGGATTTATGCCTCCTCGAATGAATGCTATGGCTTCACAAGGAACAATGCCAGTAACAGATGGAATGCCAAAGAATATTGGTCAGATGAGTAAGATGCCTCAAGATTTGCCATTTACCGATACTTCATCAGTTATGCCCCGAGATAATAAAATGCCTCAAGGATTATGTTCAGTGGACAAAGTAGGCTCTAGTATGTACCCTGCCAGCAAAAAAACAATAGGTATACCTTATGCAGAAGGAAGACATCCTGCAATGTCTCCATTAAATTCTTTACCTCCTGACATATTTCCAAAGGCCACAGATCACGCACAGTAGTGAAAAACCACAAGCATACTTTAATGCTCAAGAGGATTGTGTAATTCTGTAAAGGTATGACTGTAGTATTACAGTATTCACCAAATTGGGGAAAAACAATATAGTGTGTTTAATTATGCCTTATGTAAAGGTAAAATACAGTATAATTTCTCCGAGGCTATGGGTCCCTACACTTGCACCAGTGGTGGTACCCCCTTCTAGGTATAATTTCTGTATATTTAAAATATAGTACGGTACATTGAATTAAATTCATCTTGTAAGGTTGTAACTAATTATGGTACTGTAATGCAGTCATTTTCTAAACTCCAAACTGCTGGCTTTGGTTAATATTGGAATGATTGCCAGCAGACATATTAAGGAATTTACTTTCTCCTGTATTGATTTGTTTTTACTTGTATTTACTCAACCCCAAAAGTCAGTCAGTCTTCAAGTGGTCCAAGTGACAAGACCAAAACCTCCAAATACAGACTTTTAGCTGTTAACAGATTGGTTTGATCAGTAGTTGTCCTGCATCATCAAAATGTTACCAGGTAGTGGGTTCTTGCTGCTTTTAATGTTGACGAGTGTCTTTATGTACAGTATATCACTTACAATGTCAGAGTTGAAATGTATGCTTTATGCTTCTTTCAAAAATGGGGATGATTTCTACCTTGAAATCATTTATCAGATGGTATGGGTGCTAAGCCAAAAGACCCAGGCATGAATGTCGAGCCTTGTTAAAAGCTGAATGGCTTTATTTTGAAAGTGACACAGCTTCAAGTAAATTAGTATCCAAAATGACTTGTGGCTTTCTTCCCATTTATGTATTCATTTGGCCGAATACTGGAATATTTTTTCCTTTTCCACTACCTCATTTTTTAACACTACACCTTCACATACTTGGTGACGATTATGCATTCTCCAAGATGTAGAAGCTTAAACAAAGGAGATAACGACAACAACAACAAAAAATAATTGCCCCCCCCCCCAAAAAAAAAAGGGTGGATATTGGTGGAAATAACAGATATTGGCATTGGGCACTGTATTTATATGATATATAACAAAATACAGCATAATTACATACATACTCATTATTATTTGTGTTATTATGTATTTCTCAGTAATGCTAGAAAGGCACCAACTGCATATCCATTTTGTGGACACTCCTTACTTCTATTCTTTTGTGTGTGTCGGACAGGTGCTTGCATCTTTGCATTATCCCTCAGTTCCAGTTAATAGGAGCCGTTCTCCTTATCATCGGAACTTTTTTTTTTTTTTTCTTTTTTTTTTTTTTTATCATAGAAAATCCATTTCTTAACATATTGGGATGAAAATTTTCACGATGCTGATCCCAAATAACATGAGATTTGTTTAACAGTTTGCACTATATTTCATATTTGGACAAATATTTTTGTGCACCTGGCCCCTTAACACATCAAGTATGAAAGGTATTCAGTTATCAACTCTCTTTAATTATGCTTGTGTAATCTGCTTTGAATGTGGCAAGCAATATATAGATTCACAGTTTAAGCTGCTCGGCCTTAAAGTAGTGGCAGTAACAAAATATTTGATTAGATAAAAGTTTGTTGCAACAATTGGTTAAAATATACAATAAAGTTCTAATAGAGTATACAAATTAATTTGTTAGCGTTTTTTGTTGATTACAAAAATGTCATCTGTTCCAATCATGATTTTGATTCAAATTTGATTTTAAATACTATTCATATATTAACTTTTATATTTCATTTAGTGAGGAGTTCTGGTTGATGTAAAAAATTATTGTTGCTTGTTTTTTATATTAAATGTTTGTATTTTATAAAACAGCAGCCATAATGATTCTATGACACAGAAGCTAGTCCATGAAATATTGTGTTTGTGTATATTCTTGAATGTACAAGCATTCATCAACATAATATACTGAACAAATGAGGACTGGATCCAATTAGCTATTTACTGTGGTTCGTTGTATATGGTGGTTGTGTACCAGCTATCACTTCATAATTTTTGGGCTAAAAATACCTACTATACTTCATTATTAATTACTATATCTTTAAAAATTAGTAGTGGTTTGATAGAACTGTTGTAATAAACTAATAATGTTTTTGTTTTTAATCTTATTGAACTCTCGCTAAATATAAATAACAGAGTTCATGAGTATATCCAGAAAAATAATCCGGCCATGTTTTAGTTTGAACAATCAAGAGTTGACTGTATATAGTTATAAATTTGTTGATATTACTGGAGTTTCAAAAGTGTATATGGCTACATTTATAATTATGAAGGATAATGCATAATGTCAAATACTGTGTTTTATGTGAAATGTTTGTAATGCCTCTCTGTAATTTAAATTGATATGCTAATCCAAGAAAATATTTCACTAAAATTTACTTGCTGTAAATCCTCCCAGCAGGATGTAAATACAATGGTACCTCAGCTTACGAATTTAATCCTTTCCCAGAGCCGGTTTGTAAGCCGAAAATTCGTAAACCGAAGTGAATTTTCCCATAAGAAATTATGTAAGTTGAATTAATCTGTTCCACACTCCCCCAAAAATTATCTTCAAAGTAAATTTTATACCTAATTCACCCAAATCTTCAGTACTAAAGGATGTACAAGTTATTACTTACCTTTATTGATGACTCATTGGCGTATGGAAGACGGGGAGGAGGAGGGGTGTTAAGTGTTTGGAAGGGGAGTCCCCTTCCATTATAATATCAGACAGTGATGACTTCTCTGGGTTGCATACACTGGCACGTTTTGCCTGCATACCACTAGAACCTGCTTGTGGCTCACTTCTCGATTTTCTCGCTAAAAATTGATCCATAGAGGATTGTTTTTCTTTTTGTTGTAACACTTGTCTGTAGTGAGGCATAACATTGTCATTAAAAAGGTTAATGCAACGGCCTACTACAGCTTGCTCTGGGCGAGTCATTTCAACAAAAGTTTGCATTTCTTCTCACAGTCTACACCACTTCCTAATTGTTGAGGAAGGGACATTCTGTACCGTCTTCTTCCCCTGAAGAAATTTCCTCGGCTCCCTCTTGTTGCTGCTCATTTTGAAGGGCTAGGAGTTCTTCGGTGGTCAGTTCTTCGCTGTGTTCCGCCACCAACGCCAAGCCCAATTTCCTACCCTGAGTAACAATTTCCTCAACAATAGGCACTTCAGGTCCTGGCTCAAACCCCTCAAAGTCTAGTTCTGAAACTCATTCAGGCCATAATTTTCTCCAGCCAGAGATCAGGGTTCTTTGAGTCACTTCTTGCCAGGCTTTGTCATTAAGTTTTAAAGCACTACAAATGTTAAAATGGTTTTTCCAGAACTCTTTGAGGGTGAGGTGTGTAGAATTAGACCCTTCGAAACATTTCCGGAAAAATGCCCTTTCATGAAGTTTCTTAAAATTGGATATGATTTTCTGGTCCATAGGCTGAATTAGAGGAGTGGTGTTAGAAGGCAGGAACTTTATTGTAAAAAAATGTAATTTGTCCAACAATGCATCTTCCAAGCCTGGAGGATGAGCAGGAGCATTGTCGAGGAGAAGCAGGGCCTTGAGTGGCAAACTTTTCTCCTGCAGATATTATTTTATGGCAGGCCAAATCAGCTCATTCATCCACTCCATAAAAAATAGTCACCCATGCCTTACTATCAGCCCTCCACATCACACCCATTTGGCTTTTCTGCACATTATATTTTTTGAAAACCCTTGGATTTTCAAAATGATACAAGCATGGGTTTAATTTTCAAATCGCCACTCGCATTACCACACAACACAAAAGTTAGCCTATCTTTTCATAGGCTTGTATCTGGGTAATGTATGTGCTCTTAGGCAATTAGTCCTGTCTCGTCACAATTGTTTCATCATATAAATTTGGCAAGTTTTGCCTGTTGCTATGGTGGTCTGCTTAGCTTATTAGGCTTGCCTAGGTTGTGGTCTTCCTCTGTTGCCCTCAAGTTTTCATGGCAGCTACTTGCAGTTTGCCTGTTACAGACAGGGTTTACCGGCTTAGCTGGACCCAGTGCTTGGGCTTCCCATAGGGCTTATCCACTCTACAGGCCCTGGAAAGCCAGGGGGGAGAAGCTCAGTCATACCATGGATATTAAGTCCGAGCCCACTCTTGTCTTGTGCGAATTTGAAGGTTGTTCGTCCCTGCCTCGGGGAGATAATCCATACTGCCTGTTGGGTCGGGGATACCAACGACCCGAAGTCTTGCTGGACATGTTCCCTGCTTGTGCTCCAATTTACTCATGCCTTATCTGATGATCCTAGGTATCGAGCAGCAGTTGCATTACATGATTGCTTCTGTCTTGTAATGGGCCAGGTTCATTGCTCGGTTTGAGGCCCTGGAGCTGCCCAGCTTGAGTTTTAGGGATTCTGATTTGGGGGGAGTTGGTCACTTCGGCCTTGGTTCAGTCCATGCCCCCTTTTCCTTCCTAGGTGGGCGTGGTTTGCCCTGATCCAACCCCCCCTCCCCAGCTTCTGGTTCCCAAACAGCTAAGGGTTTCAGTTCGGATGGCTTCAGCTAGCTGACGGGGCTCCACAGTAAATTCAATTGCTATAAACATAAACAAAATTTAATGGTAGGCTTACAGGTAGAAAAAGCAGATATTTTTCTTACTAGAAAAAATGTAGTTTTGGTTAAAAAGGATACACATACAGCCCAGTCATATTTAAAAAATTTAATATTTATAATTTTTTAAAAAAGTTTCAATAAAATGTTACTATATAAATTGTCTAAGCAGATTAAGCAAGTACTGTAAGTAATTATCAAAAGAAGGCACCAAACCAGTTAGGCTATGTAGCACCATCAAATGTGCGGGATACTATTCATATATTACTATTACTATTGAATCATAGCTCAAGTCTTAGACGTAGAGAACCTGAAGCCATGATCAGTGGCCCAAGACGACATGGCATCAATCACAAGTTGAAGCCGGCGTAGGAGAGGCTAATCATCACCCTGACAGGAAAGGGTAAGATTGTCGACAGAGAGAGTGGAGAAGACCATTGAGGGCAACCAGAAAAAAAGAGTAGAGCTCAGAATACTACCATGGGGAACACCTTCGTATTGCTGAAAAGAGGCAGAGAGAGTGGTACCAAGCCTCACCCGAAAGGAAATACGAGAGAGGAAGATGACAACAAAGGCCAAAAGAATGAAGTTGGAATAGAATATGATATCGCCAAGTGGTGTCGTATGCCTTCTCCAGGTCAAAAAGGACAGCAACAACTGAGGTCTTCGCAGCAAAAGCAGTACGAATATAAACCTCCAAGTTCACCAGGACATCTGTTGTGCTGTGGCACTTGCGGAAACCAAATTGAGAAGGGGAGAGGTGGTGTAAGCAGATTAAACAAATCTAGTACTGTAGCCACATTTACAATAGTATTATCCTAAAGAGAAATATTCCCCTGTATTCATTAAATTCTTGTGTAGTGCATATTTCCTCAAAAATTCAATACACTAGATTTCTGTATCTGTTAACATTGAATTCCAATACATTTCTGAATATGGTTTAATATGTTTTAACATGTTTAAAAAGGTATTATGATTAGCAGTCATTTCTGAAATTATTAATAACAATAATAATAATAATAATAATGAGAAAATTCAATAGGGCTGTGAGGTAGCGCAAACCTACGACCAAGGCATTGCCAACCGCATACTCTACCACTGGACCACTTGTAAAGTCACTTTTTACAACTCTACCACTGATTTTTAAAAAGTGACTTTAAAAGTCAGCAGTGGTCCAGTGGTAGAGTATGCGGCTGGCAATGCCTTGGTCGTAGGTTCATGCCACTTCACAGCCCTAGTGGATTTTCTCATTGATATATATCATGTTAGTTTGATTTCTGTGTTAATAATACTTTATTCATAAAAATGTACATACAAAGAACATAAGACAGAGGTATATTTGAAGGTACAGTATGCAGGGTTGCACATTAAAGAGTATTTTGGGCAAACTTTAGAATAATTCAGAAATATTATTCATAGAGATAATGGGGTAAACACTTAATATTCTATTTATTCTACTTTAAAAGTCAATAAAAAGATTCAAATCACCGGTGTCAAAACAAGATATGAATCAAATCTGAAAAAAAACATTTTATTGAGTAAATCTTAACCCAAAAGTAAACACAAAATTTAATATGGGGGAATTATTTTATTTAAATATTTAAGGACTATTGAAAATGAGTTGACTAGGCAAAAGAGTGATCACTTTCCAAAGTGCATGGACCAGTATGGGTGAAGAGCTTTAAGATACATAACGCCTACATGAGGTAATATGTTTTAGAAGTTACAAGCTCAGTTATGTAAATTATGCTAAATATTTATAAACCATGGTCCATGGTGTGAGATTTTAATTGTTAATGGTAAAGAATCTAGAGCATTCCAGCTCAATTCATCAGTTATAAGCACTGATGGTATATGTGGCAAAGGTAATCAAAATGCACACTTGTTCTTAAAATATTTCATATCCTGAAAAATGAGAAAAAATCAATAAGCAAAGAGAGCTTACCAATTTGTGGATAATGTATCAGTCAAATTCTTGTGCACTAATGTCTTGTAACAGAGGATGAAACAGGCTGCCCAAAGGATAAGTTAAAGGTTTGATATGCTGCAATAAACAACTGGCTAATATAGCAGAGCTGAAGTACTAAAATATATATAGACATGTACAGATAATTGCTAGCAGTAAATGAAAATAAATGTAAAAACATTTTCTTCATTCAAAATACATTATACATTTTATGATTAAGAATGAATCTTGTGTACATATCTTGCATAAACAGTATATTATTTATATATATATATTATATATTATATATTATATATATATATATATATATATATATATATATATATATATATATATATATATAAATATATATATATATATATATATATATATATATATATATGCGAACAAGCCTGAATGGTCCCCAGGACAATATGCAACTGAAAACTCCAGAAGTGACTCGAACCCATACTCCCAGGAGCAACGCAACTGGTATGTACAAGACGCCTTAATCCACTTGACCATCACGACCGGACAAAATGAGGTGATAGCCGAGGCTATTTGAACCACCCCACCGCCGGCACTCGGATAGTAATCTTGGGCATAGCATTTTACTAAATCACCTCATTCTTTGGGGCACACGTGAGGAACACAAATGCGAACAAGCCTGAATGGTCCCCAGGACAATATGCAACTGAAAACTCACACCCCAGAAGTGACTCGAACCCATACTCCCAGGAGCAACGCAACTGGTATGTACAAGACGCCTTAATCCACTTGACCATCACGACCGGACAAAATGAGGTGATAGCCGAGGCTATTTGAACCACCCCACCGCCGGCACTCGGATAGTAATCTTGGGCATAGCATTTTACCAAATCACCTCATTCTTTGGGGCACACGTGAGGAACACAAATGCGAACAAG